CTTTGAGTGTTGGGTATTTTGTCTCAGCAACAAGAAAAAAAAATTAAGACAGAGAAGTGGTTTCATTGCTGTGACTATATCTGACCATGTGGTTCAAGAGCCTTTGGGAAGGTTCATGGAAGGAGTTTGAAAAGGCTCAGAGACGTCAGGTGAAAAAGTAAAGCTGGAGCACCTTCAGCTATTCTACAAGGGAGATTCTGAAGACCTCAGAAGCTCAGAAGACCAAAAGGCTAACGGAAGTCCTGCTGGTAAAGACCAGACTTGGGAGGTTTCTGCTGGAAAGAAGGACTACAGTTGCTGCTAACTCCTGACAATGTGTGTTATTGCTTGGCAGAAAGTCTGTCTGCATTTTGCTCATGTCCAGAGATTTCTTGAGACTAAGATTAAGGATGTCAGACTAACTAATCTGGCAGAAGAAATTTCAAGGCAGTCAAATGATGAAGAGGTGGTATGGCTATTGTTGAGTGCTTTCAGCCAGATCTATCTTGAGAATCAAGAGCAAACAGCCCAGCAGAATGATTTAAAACACTGTGAGCAGAAAGGAAACTCTAGTAAAGCTGTGAACTGCAAAGACAGAACAGAGGTTGCTGAGAAGGAACAAGAGAATAGAAAAGGCAGAATGAGGGCATCACACGAAGCAGCAGCACTCCATCCTTTGCAGCCTCAAAATCACAAAAGGGAAAGATTTGCTTTGAGAAGAAAGCAACAGGACACTATGTTCCAGAATGGTTCCTCAGAATTGGATTCAGAATGTCCAGAAATCCAGACACTTGATCTCCATGGTTAAGAGAGAAGGAACGTCATCCATAAACTATTGCTCCTCTGCCAAATGCCTCCCTGCCTTAGACTCAGCAGATTATGGACTGAAACCTTCACAAACTATAAACTAAATAAACCTTTCTCCTTAATAAAATATTAGGGGGGCAGGGCTGGCTACTGCTCCAACTGGCAGTAGACCTTCCTTGGTATCATCCATGTGGTACTGCTTTTAGATGCATGCAGAATGCAAGAGTCATAGAGTTTGGAAGGCTTTCACCCAGACTTCAGAAGGTCTGAGAGACCAAGCAGTGTGCCCCGGAGAGGGCTGTGTGTGAAGCTATGGTGTGAAACCCAAGGTGCAATGGAGAACCCAGAAGTTTGGCGAAGCCAGAAACACAGATTATCTGAGGAAAACGGCAAGCAGGGAGCAGAGTCGGCTCAAGAGAGAAACCACCGGCAGTGCTGAAGCCCTCGCAAGTCCACCGCATGCCACAGATTGCCTCAAATGACAACACAATAATGCATACAGATGATCCAAAGATTGGAGTCAACACACAAAAACAGTGATGAAAGTGCTCACGTAAGTGTGCAGCAAATATAGTTAGAAAATTCCAACAGAGAGTTAACCCTACAAAACATAATTTAGAAAAGCAGTTTCCTAGATTAAATGTAATAGAAGTGTTTAACGTAAGACTGAATACAGAAAAGGAAAACATTAGTGAAATAGCGAACCAGAAGACAACCAATAGCAGATATCCAGCTGAAGTATGGAAATTTTTTAAATGGAAGAATTCAGACCAGAGAGTAAGAGGAAAGCGAGATACTGGCTACATGCCTAAAATAATTTACATTTGTCAGAAAAGGAGGGAAGGACATAGGGGGGAGGGAAGAAGTAATATTTGAAGAAATATGTTAGGATTTTTCAAAATGGATAAAAGACCTCAACTTACAACTCCCCCCAAAAATCCCCACAATGCCAATGCAATAAAGTAAAACAATGACAACAACAAAATCTAGACCCATCACAGTGAAACCGTGAGACAAAAATCTTAGCTGTCTGAGAACTCCTAAATTGCTACTAAATTTCAACTATTTGAGAAATTATCAATCAATCAATCAATCAATCAATCTTACGACCATAAGATTCTGTTGAGAGGCAGGATTCAGGCATCTTCTATTTCTCGCTATGTTTGAAAATAAACTTAAATAGCTAGAAAAACATTTTAAAATGTCATTAAATCATTGAGGAGTTAAAAGCACAGCCAGGGTGCCAGAGAGAAGTGAGGTGAAGAGAGAGGAGCCCCCCCACCCCACCCCGGAGGCGCGCAAGCCACTGTTGAGTGGAGGGCTTTTGCTGCTTCCAGAGAATCTGATTCTTCAATCTGACAGCCTTAGGGTGAAAGAGGCACAAATAGAACCCAGAGGCCACACGGTGTGGCGGGTCTATGGGGATGTAGCCCCTGTGTAGCCAAGGGAAATGCACGTCACAACTTCACAGAATAAGAGAATAAAGCAAAAGGACAGGTCAGACCAGGAACTGCTTGACTTCCTTGAACTTACTTAACAGAGTTCTGCATTGGTATGCTGAGGCTCTCAGAGTACAAATGCAAATCCTTCCCCAAAGTAGAACTTCACTGCGCACCTAAATGGAATCCTTAAGTAATGTTGCATATACTGCTAGGACTTGGTCAGATAACCAGCAGCAAAAACAAAACAGTCTTTGTGGACAGAAGATGGGAAGGGGAAGATAGCAGCTGCATAGCAGAGAAGGCCGGAAAAACCACTTTAATCAGGGTCAACTGCACTAGAGAAGGCCCCTTCCCCAGGTCACCCACTTTCTTTCCCTGTCCGGACCAGGAGACACAGAGTAGCCTGACTGTCCTATCACCTGACCCACTGCATGTTTTCTCCTAGAAGTCTGAACCTAAGCCAAGGCACTGAACACATCCCGGCACTGATGAACTTGTTTAGCTTGTTTCCATAGATACCAAATTAACCCTATCTCTAAGTCAGCTCTCTGAGCCCTCACTCAAACACCATCACCTGAGCCCTCCCCTGCGGACACACACGCAGAGGTGGGACACTTGTCACTGTCCTTCACAAGCACCTTGCGGCCAGTTCCCTTAGTGAGTGCATGGGCCCCACCTCCATGGTGCTTAGTAATTCTTTGTCTGGAATTCCATTTGGCCCTGACCTCAAGACAAGTTGTGGCGAACACTTGTGGAAATTCCTTTACCGGCCAGGGATTTAGCTCAGCAGCATAAGCACCTGCTATGCAAGTGCGCAGTTGTGAGTTCGATCCCTGGTTAAAAAAAAAAAAAAAAAAAAAAAGTAATTCCTTTGCCATTGTTTTGGAAGCAACTCCAGCCATAAGTTGGGCAGGACATGGACAGGGCAACCAGTGATAAGTCATGCTAATGTCATACCTCCCCAGACAGGGTGAACGAGAGGGTCACATCAGCTTTAGGGTTTTTTCTTTCATGGAACCTGCAACTCCAGTGGAACTATGAGAAAACAGAAAGACAGAGAAACACACAAACTGCACCAGAGCAAGGCAGCAGAAACGCAAGGTGCTGTCCTGGGATGAATCAAGGTGTGGAAGAACATCAATAGAAACACCCAGGAGGCTGAGCAACCATTACAAACACAAAGTAAAAATTCAGAAAGATGAAAAAGGGTCAATCAAAACTGGATGCTGAAGTTGCTCCATTTTATCCAAAAATGGGAAAAAGAAAAAGTTGAAGGAGAGGTGAAAAAAGAATAACAAAGGCAGACTTGAATTTGTGGCCTTTGGTGACCACAAGAATTGTGGTTCAGACTGCCAGTGCTCACGGAATTCCAGAGGAACTTTCTGCACCACTTGGTTTAAAAATGAGAACATCATTAATCACATAATAGAGCTACACTTGAAATTTTAATTTTCAACGAGACAGAAGTCACCATGTACCAAGTTAGAACACAAGGAAAAGAGTTTTCCAGGATGGTTAATAAAGTCTACTGTATCATGAAAGTAAGGCCAGACACCTGAATTACACAGGCAAAAAATAATCAGCAATGGAACAGGAGTTTTGAGTAACAATAAACAAACAAATAACAACAACAAAATAATCAACTGCCACTTAGGGAAATACAAAATGTACACAAAGTACACCTCTTCACCCATCGCCTTGGCGAAGACTGGGCTTGGCGTTGCTGGAGTGCACACTGATCAGTCCCTTAGGAAGGACTCTGGCAGAGGTTAAGGCCTTTTGCTCAAGAATTCTACTGTTCTTTTTTTTAGTTTTCTGGCGCAAGACAAATACTTGTGTATGTACAAATCACCAAATAGAAGTCTATAAGGCGTGGTTATTGGAGCTTGTTGATCAACGTGAACAAAGAAAACAGTCTACGTGACGTCACATCAGAGGGGGCGTGGCTTCAAAATTGTACACATAGGAGCTCTAGGTATTACTACAAAATGGTTAAAGACTGAGGGAGGTGCACAGGTATTAAAGTGAAAGCATCTCGAAGATTCCCGTTTTAAAATACAGAATGCAAAATACAGACACTGTCCTCCCTGGAACACAAGATATCTAGACATACATCTAACAAGACATAGTTCCCGTTACATCCTTCTACATGAAGTTTTCTGAACAAGACTGTATTGTGTATTTAGTTTGCACTTAAAAATATTAAGCAATGTTATTTCTGATTTGACTACAGGCGAAACGACAGAATTTCTGTCATTTTTCTGATCAGAGCATATCACCCGCTGGAACAGAACAATCAAAGGAAAAATCTAAGTCGCAGCCTGTACCAGGCTTTCGCCTCGGTGGGTCTTTCTCTTTCGTTTTCTCCCTTTGATCAGAACCAAGGGACAGGGAGTCAGGTCCAGGGTAGGCCCGAGGTGACCACTCTGGTGTTGGAGATGGCAGATCACGGCTTGAAAAGAGGCGGAAAGTTTGCCCTGAGCAGCCAGCCCCGACCCCGGGGACGCGGGAGGGAGACGAGCGGAGTCCAGCGGAAATACCTAAGCCTGTCTCCAAGGACGGCCCCGTCCGGAGTCCGCGGTGGCTACACCAGAAAGTGGCGTGCTCTGCGGCAGCCTGAACTCGCCCCGGCGAAACCCCGCTGCTCGCCCACTCTGACCCGGTCGCGCCCCGGCGGGGCTGAGCCGAGGGACAGCGGTGCGCGCCAGCGAGCTCACCACTGCGCAGCAGCGAGGCTGCCTGCAGAGGGGCCTGGAGGTCGGGGAGACTCACCTGCCGCTCAGCTCCCGGCCCCCACTTGCCATCTTCCCGCCGAGCCCCGCCTGGGCCTGGCACGGTGGCCCCCGAGCTCTCCGCGTCCCTGCCTGAGTCCACCGTAGCTGCCTGGGCCCGAGCAGGAAGTGGGTCGTCGGAGAGGACTGACTAGGAGACCGGGCTCCGCCCCGGCGGGGAAAACAGAAGCGAAAGTATTTACCCGGCCTCCGCTCGGTCCCGAGAGAGCTCCCTGCTGCCTCGGCCCAGTGCCGCTGCCTTTTCCGGAACCGGGTAGCAGGGACACCGAGGGACGGACTGTCTGGGCTTGGAGGACGGGGAGGTCTGGGCTTGGAGGACGTTCCCTGGGACAAGCGACACCAGGTCAGGATAAAAGAAACGCACCCAAACCAGAGCAGTCTGCCAGCCGGGCTGGGCGCACCGGGGCTGGGGAGCCCCCTGTTCCCAGATCCCCTGGCTGAGATGGCTGCGAGTGGGGAGAGGGGGGTGGGCGGGAGCCAGGAGCTTGCAGCCTTCTTCTATCAGGCCTGGGGCAAAGCTGTTCTAAAGCCAGCTGGTCCTCACCCTGGGACACAGCTGCAGAGTGCAGACGTGCTGGTCGCTATGAATGGGGGGTGAGGAGGGCAATCCTCTTAGGGGTCCCGGAAACCAGCAAGAGGTGTGAGAGCGCTGCAAGGCTCCCACCCCACTGGCCAGAGCAGCTCTGCAGGTGCAGGAGTTCCCAGTCCCGTGGCTGTGGGCTGCTTCCCACGGTCAGGGGTGATGGGGAGGCCTCTACATCCGGGCTCCCACGCTTCGCACTGGGGCAGGACGGAGGCGCGCACTGGCCTGATCGGGGATTGAAAGCGCAGGGCGACTGGGATGGGGCGACCTCCACCTCCATCCTCGCCAACACCGGGATGTTCCAATCGGCTTCCCAGTCCCCGCCCCGCCACGAATGAGAAGTGACCCAGAGGACTCATTCCGTACCAGGGCCAAGTCAAACAGGAGCAAGAAGTGAAGGAAAGAGGAGCCCCAAAAGGCCAGGCACTCGAGTCAGAGCCAGGCAGGCGGCAGAAGCCCGCTCTGACGCCAGGGCCCGAGATACAGGAGCAGGGGCCGGAGGTGGAGAAACTCGGGCCTGGAGGCAGCCAGAACCCTGGAGCGATGGATTCGAAACCGTTTTCCTCGGGCTCCCACTTCTTCCTGCGGTCAGCCAGGCTGCTGCCGGCGACACTGGAAGACATGGGGAAGGGGGCTTCCGTGGTCCCTCTACTCGCGCGCTTTCCCTGCAGAACGCTGAGAAGGGCGTCCTTCCCAGGGGGCGGGGCAGGGTCACTGCACCTTTGTCTGTCTGTCTGTCTGTCTGTCTGTCTGTCTGTCTGTCTGTCTCTCTGATGGGCGGAGGGGTTGGTAAGCTAAGCCGTCCTCTACCCCTGTTCTCCTTGGGACAAAGCGCCCCAGCAAGGCCTGGCACCCTGTACTAGCCTGCTCTCTCGTCCCGTCTCTTCTTCCTCTGCTCTGGTTCACCGCTCGCCTGGGCACTGCCACGGTGAGCCAGCCTTTCCCTGGGTCTGCTAAGGTCACAGCTGGCACCAGGGATCAGTGAGCCGCAGGCTGGGCAGGGAGATCCACTGTGATCGGCCCTCGCGGGTGTGCGCTGCCACACTGGGGCTGCTCCCGCTGGTGGGGAAGAAGGCGTCTATGTCAGGGGTGGGGACAGCTGAGCACACGCGACACTGCGGGACCGACGGCAGCTTTAGGCATCTGTGGGTCTCTGTGGAGGAAGCAGTTTCTCTGATCCGGAGCACGGCAGACGCCCCCCACCCCAGCCTAAGAGGCGGGGGGGGGGGACGCTGGCTGATCCGAAGGACACGCCTAGTCCCCACCTTTCTTCTGGGAAGACTTCTCTGACCGGGTGGTTGGGGTGGCCTGCTGCTCGCGGGCTCTCCCTCCAGACCAGGGCTCTGCGGCTCCCAGCTCAAGGGCAGAGGCCCAGGGCCGGCGAGGTTGACTGCAGTAGCTGGGGTAAACCGGACCCCTCAACAGGTCTGAGGCAGACCCCCCCCCAATCAGGAATAGGAGGGGTGTCTTGACCCCGCCCCCATCTCGCCCCTGCTTTTTGTTGCCTCCTAGCTGGTTCAGAACCCAAGTAAGCAAAGGGGTGACACCGGGAAAGAGATTGTTGGAGGTGGAAACGCGATTATTCCAGGGCGCGTTGGGGGTGGACATGCGGGTGGACAGCAGGGGATTCCGTGGCAGAACAGGGCCAAGATCAGGGGTGAGGGGTCTGAGCAGCGGGGAAGGGAGAGGGAGCCCGGAGGACCCTGGGGTCCACCTGAGCACCACTCAGGGCCTGGGGAAGCCCCCCAGACGTTCCCAGTCCTATGCTGCTCGCGGAGCGGGAGGCTGCCCAGTGCCACATCCCGGTCCCCGCCGGCGCAATCACCCTCACCCCGCGCTAGGGTTTAGCCGCCGCTGTGTGCGCTGGCGCCCAAGGCAGCCCCCCCCACCCCCCCACCCAGTCCCTGCCTACTGATGGGTAGCAGCAGAGTCTGCAGCCCGCTGGTACCGCCCCTGCCTTTCCACAGCCCCAGGGCACAAGCGAGGGAGGAGCCGTTGGCTTTGGGCTCTCATCTGAGCCCCGGAGCATCCCGCTCAGCTCCGCGTGGCGGGTACCGCCTTTCCTCCCGAACTTGGCTCCGGTCCACGCTACACCCCCCCCCCTCGTGGCGGATCGCGGTATCGCAGTCTCCTGTGCCTGGGTTCCCTGTGTCCTGCGGAGGAAACAGAAACCGAAAATCCTGTTGCTCAGAAATTGTCGAAACGTCTTTACATTTACAGCAGACGCTCTGTTATTTCCTTTTAATAAAGGCGAATCGATTGAAAGCGTAGATTTTGGATTTTATAATTCGACAGTCGGTGAGCGTAAACAGGCGTGGCTCACACTGACCATCTGGACTGTCGTTACCTTCTATTGGGGATGGGGGTGAAAGGCAAGCACGGGGGCGGAGGGGTGGTCACCGTCCTGCTCCAGCTCCCTGCGGGCTGAAGTCTCACACCTGCCCAGACTCTCCCTGTAGGGTAACCCTGCGAACCTCTGGTTCGAGCCTCAGACCAATCTAAAGCATCTGTCCACACCAAACACACTACAAAAAAAGATGACACACAGTGAAGTGTTTTTTTTTTTTTTCTTTTAGTAGTGGGGGTCAAGTTAAACCCCCGGCCCACACACGGTGAAGTTTTAAGAAAAGACACCAGATGTACTTGGTGCTGGGGTGGTGGAGAAATGACAGCCTACCCGTGCTTCACACCTCTACTCCCTCGGGTGCCTTCACTTCCGCCAGCATTCAGGGCCCTGGGCCTCCAGAAGGTCCTGGAACCTGTCCGGGTCAGCTCCCGGCCAGGCCCGGCCACTGAGTAAGCCTGCCCTTTTTGGAGCAACCCCAAGCCCGGCTTGGAGCAGTGGATCAGGCATCTCCTCTCCCGTAAGGGTGGAGCTGAGGCCACAGGGGTCAGGCCCGCCTCAGGGAGACCAAAGAGGTGCTTTCTTCAGTTTATAGTCGGTCCACTGGCGTCCGGCAGAGTGTCTGGGTGTCACAGTGGCAGAGGAAATGGTTGGGGACAGAGGAGGGCACCCCTGGAGCCCATGATGACCTGAATGAAGAAAGCCTTTTACAGCACAGCCATTCCCAAAGGGTCTGCAAACCCCACCATGTCTGCTGCATGTCTGCTACTAGGCATGGTTAACTGGATGAACCCAGGACTGTCTGGATCTTAGGATGCCCAGGTTAAGCAGGTGACAGAAGGTGAGCACCCAGCGACCATCTCAGTGGCCTCCACTCAGCACACAGAAGGAGCCTGTCAGGCATAAGTGGACGCTTCCATCGGGTGGAAGGCCCATAGCAGTGTCCTCGAGGAGAGGAAAGGGTTGCTTCCCAGAGTTGGTGATTATGAGACAGGGAACGGGCTTTCAACCGTGGGAAGAGTCTTAGTCAATTCCTTGCACAGAGGCCTTGGTGTCCCAAGTGGATTTCTGGCAAGGGCTGATACCTACCTGCTGGCTACTGACTGGAGGAGCCATGTGGAAGGGGCAGAATCTGCCTTACCCTGCACATTCTTGCCAGAAAATGTGGTGAGCAGGAAACGGCTAAAGCTGAACAGCTCAGGTTCTCAGGTAGGGACTGTGCCCAGGTGGGCAGAGTCCTGCAACCTCTAAGACCAAGCTTGTCCCCTGGCTCTGCCTAACAGGAAGAAATGTTTTTGTCTGTGTTTTTTGGCTGCCAAAGCAAGGCTGGCTGCTCTTGGGACCAGGCATGAAGAAACAGGAAGCTGCTTCCTCAGTGGCTGCTTTCTGAGTTTCTCAGCTTCTCCCCAAGGCCACTTACTTTTGGTCTCTTTGCACAGGCCTCAGGGAGCTGAGTTTTTGAATAGCATCTGAAGTTTCTAGCTGTTATGTTGGTTAGGAGCAGGGTCCCCTCTCACTCCTCAGTAGACCAGCTCTGACCTCTTCAACACCCAACCTGGTCTTGGGGGGCACTGATGGCTTTGGGTCCCATCCCAGCCAAGGAGCAGAAATGCTTCTGCTCAGGAGCACCAAACCTCTGCTAGGAGATGCCCAGAACTATATGCCTTTCTACTTTTGTGTTCCTGAGAGTAAATCTGTTTCAGTAAGCAAATAACAGAGTAAATAATACACATTGGGAGAAGACATACACTGTGCTAAAACTTCGGCTGAGATAATGCAAACCTTCTAGACACAGGAGACACTCAAGATGCTGCCGAGAAGCCTAAGAATTTTTCTTTGTAGCTAAAGGAAGAGACTGAGTGATAGCATCTGATGGTATCTTCCTTGCCAAGGGATTTGAACTGCAGCCTTCTGTCTGCCTCCTTCCTGCTCTGACTTCCATCTGCATCTAAAAAAAGAAAAAAAAATGCCATGACTCCCTGAAAATAAGACCTGCCCAGAAAATGATCAGGCTTGTAAGCTAGAGATCAAAGATGCCAGCCCCAGTCTGCCTGTCCTTATCTGCCGTCGCGATTCTCTTGCTCGCCGGCTACTCTGTAAGGCAAGTGACTCTGGGCCCTTGCGCAGCCTCCCAAGGCCATGCATCTGGCTGAGTTACACAGGAACAGTGGAAAGCCCCAGCCCATCTCCTTCTGGAACAAAGTGTGTATCCTCCACCCAGGAGAACAGTAGCTGCGGGCTACTGAGCAAGACCAGTGGGAAGTTCAGACGGAGGGGTTGTTTGAAATGTTGCAGAAAAATCACTGTCAAACCAAAAGGAAGACTCTGCAGTGAGGAGTCAGAAGGCAACTTTGATTATGCTAGTGAGCTTGTGGGAATCAGTCCCAAATCACCAGCCACAAGTCAGCTGGAAGTTCCATTTAAACACAGTTCACAAGCAGGAAGCACAAGGCCAATGGCAGGATATTACATGATTGGTTACATGAATTAAGTCATAGGTTGTCAAGCAAGCTTGTTCTAAGTAGATTTCCTGGGAATGAGGGGAGGGGGTTTGAGCAGAGCTCTACGTGCTCTACTTAACTCTACTTGTTAAATGTATCCTTGACTGAGCCAGGCTGTCCCAAACAAGAAGTGAAGTGAGTTGGAAATAATACATATTTTTCTAAGTAAGAAAAAATACAAGCTTTGTCGCTGGCCATAGTTAGGTTGATCTAGTGCTTTATCAGGGAGAAGCAGCTGGATGCAGACAGTCAAGGTTAACTGAGCCCAGCACGCTAACTGTGGGATAGGCAGCAGGAGCACAGTCAAGGCCACCGATCAATGTTTAATTTTGCTATAAAATGTCTATGAGTTTGCTAGTCGATAACTTTGCCCTTATACCAAGACTCATGGCTTTACAGCTTGGGACAAGAATGGCAGCAGCTTCTAGGGACACCAGCATACAAACTCCAAGACTAAGAACCCCACAAGGCCCCATGGTGTCACAGCAAAGCCCCCACGTCTCCAAGTCCAGGTAAACATGACTGACAGACATGGTCTCCTTCTGTGCCCCTGCCTGTGCATTAGGCAGGATGGAAGCCTTCCCTTGTAGAACAATATGCAGCTCAGCCTCTGCCTCTGCAGCACAGCTGTGGTGACACAGTCACCCTGTCTAATAGACTCAAATACCTCCAGCCTCCATCCTTGTGCCCCTCTGGCTGGCCTGGAGCTGCTGCATCCTCCCATGGACAGCAGGGATCCCCACCCAAGAGCACCCTGGTTGGTTCCTTATTCAGCCATGTTTTCCTCGGTCCCCCCAGCCTCCTGTATCTCCCAACAGCAACAGCACTTGGTTCCTTTGGGTGAATGACCTCTCCCCTCAGGTACAAGAGCAGAGGGACTGTCCATCAATATGCCTGGAGCAACCTGGCCAGCCAGGGAAGTTGTACTCTGGAGTAAACAGTGGCAAAGAATTAAAAATTAAATCCCAGTCAGTGACTATTCATTAACATCCTAGATGAAAGGGCCCGATACTTTCTGAGGCTGATCCCTGTAGTGGCTCTGGCTCCTGCCCTGCGTCCTGGCTGTCTGCCAGCTCAGCACTACTGACCTTGCCCCGGAATTTCATCAGTGAAGTCCCTTCTCCTCTATGGCAGAGAAACTGGTCTCCCTTGATGGCCAAGAGCCTTTACTGACACAAAGATGCCTGTGTTGATTTTGTAAAATTGTTTATTATTTATGTGCTATGTAGTTACAGACATCTTCTGTAATAAATGCTCATTTCATTAATCCTAATGATAGTCTAGTGAGCTGCTGTGACCACTGGGATCTCCATCTTAGTAGGGGGGAAGCCAGTGCCTAGGAAGGAAAAGTACCTGGCTCAAGGACACACAGCCAGCATGTGGGGAGTGGTCCATGTGCGTGGACCTCAGAGCCTGCCCGTGCTGTCTCCCAGTACCATTGGTTACAGCACCAAAATTAACTAAAAAACAAATGCAATTGAGGTGTAATAAAAAGTGAAAGCTATTGTATGAGTGCTACAAAGCTTTGTTTTCTGATGTGTAACAATGCCCATAGGATAAGTACATTTTATTAAGAGGGTATACTCACTACCTCCTCCATCTCCAAAGATGCATATCACAAAGCCCAGAATTATTTCCAACAAATTGAAAACCATGACTCTTTTTCTTTTCTGGGCAAACCTACCAACCTGTGTGATTCCTAGTGGTGAGAAATACAAGGTCAACGGTTTGGAACTTTAAATGGGGAGATCTTAGGTTTGGATGAGACCAAACGTAATGGAGAGATAGGTTTGCCAGTTGTGGGAAGGAGTCAACTTCCTTAAGCCTTTGTGCCCAGAGGCTGCCATAGTAGTTCTTGCCTCTCTACTTCCGCTTCATTTAATGTGTACCAGAGCTCCACTAAGCCTGAAAGAGCTACCCAGGGGCATATTAGAGTCACTAGCATTGGTGCTTGCCAGGGTGGTTAAACTCTGCAGAGCAGAAGAGTGTGCCTGTATTAACACATCCTCCTTACTCAGTTTTCTATTTTATCTTTCTTAATTCTGGATCCACTCCAGAATGCTATCTGCTCACTCTTGCTGATGCATGCAGGCCAGTGCTGCCTCTCCCGTCTTGCAGCACCACCTGGAGCTTATCCAGCTGGTCCATGCTGAGGCCTCTGCCTCATCTGCATTTAAACAAGGGGAGGGGAGCGGTGGGGCAGAGGGAGTCCATGGAGAGCCCAATGGTTTCAGGAGCACCTGGAATTCAGACCTCTTCTGTGCATGGACCTCAGCCCCATCTGGAGTCCTGGGTTGGCTGAAGAGATCACCTAAGTTTAGAATTCAGTCTTCTCTGGAGTTCTGTCATTCTTCAAATCAGGACCTATGACAGCCACACCTTGCCGTCAGCCTTCCAGCTGCACACATGCGAGTCTCTTTGCTTTAGGCTGGTGACTGATAGATCTAAACTGCTCATTTACTCCTATCAGTACATTAGTAGCACTCAATGATAGTCGTCAAACTCACAATTCTTTTTCTTTAAGTGTGGAATTTTTAATATTTATTATTTATAAAAAGGCATCACAATTTTCAGTGTTGACTGTTTTCTGATGTAGAGTCTAAAGTATAACAACAGAAATTCCTATATGAAGTACAATGAAATATTACAATGAAAATAGCCTAATCTACAGAAAATTAACCTTCAACTAACCTTCAAGTAAACTTCAACTATCAAACCTAAGGCAGTCTTCAAAACCCACAGTTCCTATGCATAGTTACTTTTTCCCTCTTCTGAAATGCCAAACAAGCACACCAGCTACTCTATCTTTTTGCCTACAGGTGAAAGTTTGGTAACTGCACTTCTAACATTCCAGGGAAGATGGATATTCCACCTAGCACCAGTGGCCCAACTCCAGAATCACATCCTGAGACTTGGCTTTCTAGGGCCATTATCTTAGGGTGCGTTCTTTAGAAGGACAGTCAGAGATGAAATCTCTTAAGCCGGTTATTTATTAGTAGTTCTCTGAGGAAAAAAGGAAAAGAGAAGCAACATGGAATAAAGGGTAAAGCTAAGCCACCATGAAATCCAGCCTGACCTCAGGAAGAACACAGAGTGGTGCCCAACCTCATCCCTGGTTGCACTGTCAAACAGGGACTGGCCTCCAGGGCAGGTGGTGGTAACAGCCTGCTGAAGCTTTCACCTGGCTGGGTCTGAGGGTCCCCAAGGCTGAAAGAAGGAACCTAGCCCACCCTTGGAGAGTAAGTTTGCAGGTCCACTGATTCCTATCACAGAACAAGTATTTTCAGGATGCATGAGTAAGAGGCATGAGAAAGGTTCACTGGACAGAGATTTTATGACACGTGCAGCGTGAGTGTTCAGAGAAACGAGACTCACAACGAGTACATTTAAGGGGGCGTCTTCAGTATGGGCGATCTAAGAGGTGATCTAGGATGTGTCTTCAACACCAGCAATCTGGGATGTACATTCCTACTGTCAGGTTACCCTTCTGGTGGGTTATGTCAGAAGGCTAGCCTTCTACCTGTGTTTGAAGTTGAGATGTGTTCCAGACCCCGGCTTTACAGACTTATTGTGTATCTTTAAGACCTTTAGAAACTTTTTAAAGTGAGGTTACTGGAAGGGAAAAAGGCTTGAGTAACTTTGGGTCTTTAAGCTGCAGTGAGGTACATTTTAATATCTCAATTTCCTTGTCTCCTTTCTGCTGAAGCAGGAGACTGCATGGGACCCCAAACAAGTCAGTCAGACACGGAGCAGGAAAAGAGGGCAGTCTTACTGCTAGCGTTCCTCAGTGACGAGAACAAAGCTATGTTTCCACTTTTATACTGCTGCTATCATACAGGGCAATTTTTCATTGGAAATCAGCACAAAGCAAAGCTATGGAAGCAAAAGAATGATTAAAAGGAAGTGAACAGTGATCAAGGAGGCAGGAACTTCAGACAAACACTTCCAAGTCCTCTGCACTCCACTGACATTATCCCACAGCTGAACTTGTACATGGCAGGGATCAAAACGATCAGGTTCTTCAGAGAGCTCAGCTATGTCCATTTGCCAAGCAGCTTAACTGTATGGTTAACCCACAGTTGCCCGACTTCACACCAAGAGCTGGTCTCCTCTCTCACTACCTAGTTTTTATTTCCTCTGTTCCAGCTCAAACCCAGCGCCAAGTGATTCAGAAAGTCTTCAGGCATGGTGAAATCAATGGATAACACCCACTGTATTTGGAGGTTGGAAGATTTGGCCAGAAAAAAATCACGCCAGGACACCAACCACGTCTTCTGCACCAGTCAACTGCTCTCATTTGTTTCCTGAATAGCAAACACTTCCTTGAAGTTCTTCTCAAATTCAGCCTCCAGTCTAAGTCCCATTTGGCCAAATTCATGGTACTGGAAATAAGATAATAAAGACAAAAGAATCATATTGATTGTCAGTGTTATCAAACACCTTGTAATTGAAAGTGATCATGACTGTCTCTTAGATACTCTAAATTACACTAACCAGGTTTGCAGCGGTTGATGGATTGTGTCAATCAGAGAAGTTTGAAAACTTGACTAAGTTGGCTCAGCAATTCTACACTCTAAAGTGTAGAGGACCTGCCCTAACACAGCTATCTGCACCCTAGGTTGTACAGGACCTGCCCTAGAGAAGCTTGTTGCCTGGATGGTACAAAAGGCAAACAAAGAAGGACTAAACAGTTTCTGTTCTTCCAAGGAGCTCCAGTCTTCACCTTCAGCTTGGACATCTTCTCCTGGTTTCTAGCACGACTCTTTGGCTTCCTGCCTGGATCCTTCAGTCTTCCAGCATGGGCTCTTCAGCCTTGCACCACAGACCCACTGGTCTCCTGATACAGGCTTTCACAGAACACTGCATTGAGCTTGGACTGCATCCTTCAGCCTCCTGTGTGCAGACACCCTCTGCAACACTGTGGCTGACCACTGTGAGCAAATCCTGTTATTTCTTATACACTTGTATATCTTGTGTTATATCTACTTCTCTAGTAAAACACTGACTAAAACAAGGTTAAACCTGAAAACTCACACAGCTACCAGTAAGTCCTGCACCCCACAAACATATTTCTTATTAATGGGACAGAAATGTGAAATCATTATTACAGTGTGGGGCCATTAATTGTTTGGCTTCAGTTGTTTATTTCAATGAACATTGGACAAATAACCTGTTCTTTTTAACACTGAAACCAAAGAAGAGTATAAAGTGTATAAGTGATCTTTTCCTCCTTGTCACCTCTATTCCTCTCTGGTGACCCTGGTTAACTATGTGGCCCATGCACAGGTGACAGACCTGGAGCTTGAAATTTCTACAGTAGGACACAGAGACCACAGACTTGTCTGTGGGTGCTCAGGAATAGGAAGGACTTGGCCGTGCTCCAAGTGCTCCTTTCGGAGGGGAGAGGAGAGAGTTCTGGGGGACTTTCAGGCCTTTCCGGTTGCAGTGACACCTTCTGACTCACTGTTTTAAATCTTAAACTGAAAAAAAAAAACCATTGGCTTCCAGAAGCTTTGCTTATGCTGGCTTGTTTTAGGAAGATAAAGGGAAACAAACTTTTTAGGTACCAGGAAATGAGAGGTAGAGAGACCAGGGAGAAAGAAACTGAAATGGAAAGCTGCTGACCTTGTACGAGGTCCTGTGGTTCTGAAAGATGAGGCGCATGTCCTGCACAAACCCTGCCACTTGGGTATACTCCTTCTTAGTTAACTTTGTCTTGATTTTGTCCAGCCACATGAGTTCCTTTGGAGCTTCAGAAGTCTCCTTAATCTGACAATAAAAATACCAATGAGAGAGCTACTAGCACAGTTCCAGTGCTAGTAGTAGTTACCTTCTACCATTTCTCATCCAAACGGACAGAAATACAGAACAAAGAGCACTGATCTCATATTCTCACTCCTAGGAGATTTTAACCAAATCCCACAGGTATCTACTTCAGAGTCACATAACATCAAGGCAGCATGCGATCATGTTGCTACTTACATAGTAGTAATATGGAATTTTGGCAAAAAAGGAGCTCTCAGAGCAGCAGTAGACCTTCAAGAGGAGAAACTCACATTTCTGCAAGAGAAGGGGCCCATCCGTGAAAAGCAGTTTGGAAAGAAGGAGCCCACATGCATAGCTATATAGAAGGCACAACTCACACCATTTTTAGAAATTTCCCCAGATGTGTGACTCTGGGAAACAAACATGCAATAGCTCTGTTATTTTTTTTTTCTTACAAATAGGTTCAGTTGTGATACCAACATGAGGGAAGCATGGCTTAGCAGTCTAGGTCCCCTTTGCACAGCCTTTCCCTTCCCTCAGGCCTGTTTGTGCTTCTCAGAAGAAAAGAGAAAGGAGAAGGTTTGGGGTCTCCAATGACTCACCAACTGTTCTTCAGCCTGCATCTGCCTTTCCAGGATCTCAGATTCCTGACAATGCTCTTGGCTTTTGAAGGACCCCACTGTGCAGAAGATGCAACTCCACGGGTTCCTGAGGAGTTCGATGCAATGTGAGCAAAGGTCAGACCCCTGGAATCAGCTGCCACTATCCTCTTTTAAGGAATAGCCGATGGGCTCAGCTGGGCAGGGAGGGACTCTCAAGAGTGTCCAAGACCCCTATATGGGACCTTGAGCTGTCAGCCTCCCTCCCATCGACAGGGACACCAGGTGGTCAGTCCTTAGAAAGTGGAGTCATGGTGAGTAAGAAGACTCTCTTTTCCCCATCAGAGGTGCTGGGAATAAGCATGAGGACCCCAGCAGTAGGACATTGGGCTTTAACGCATGGAGCTCCCGGGCCTTTACTGGCCTGTTGAAATCTGGTATAATGTGGGAACCAGTTGTATTTTCTTCTTTCCTGAATAAGGAAAGAACAGCAACAACAACAACAAAAAAACTGGTGCTTCCCATTCCCTGTCCCTTGGACAAGAGTCCCTGCTACAAAACTTTGTGTAGCTAAAGGCACCAGCCACCAGCCTCCACATCCCAGAGGAGATGTTTCTGGGAGCCCAAGGACATGAGCTACCTGCTGCCAGTGTCTTTAAACTGCTTTCTGCCTCTCACTGCTTGATCTCAGTCCCTCAGAATCCCTGGAAGTTGCCCTAAGAATGTGTGGCTCGGTTACTTTTTTCTCTTCCTCTATTGAGACACAAATAGAAACTCTGGAGGGGAGTATACATAGCGGGAGGAAGCAGCCCTAGGGAAAGACGGAGGGAATCTCACGTGCCTCTCAACTTCCACAAGTGGCAGGTGACAGTACTCGTGAAAGGCTCTGGAACAAGTGTCACAGCAGAACAGCGTTCCCCCGTCCCTGCACACCTCACACTCATTGGAGTTCCTCAGCTAGAAGGCAAAACGACACCCACATCACCGAGATTGGTCAGGTTCTGCAAGGCTTCCCCTGCATGAACCCAGAGATTCAGCCTGCGTGGACACATGTACTTCTTTCCAGAGTTTTAAGGGTCACCATGGAGACCCATGGAGAAATCTGAGAACAAGACATCTCGGTCTGCGGGAAGTTCAGAGGAGAGGGTGAGTGTCAGAGCAGAAGAGTTTTCTTATGAAATCACAGATTTCTAACACATTCTAACAAAGGAATATAAGCAACAAAATAGGAGCATGATTTGAATGGAGTCAGAATAATTGTATTATCTTGCAGATTAAACAAGATCCTTAAGTAAAGCATCGAGTCCATTTACCTACACAACAGTGATGAAACTGACTCATCCAGGGGTGATTTACTTAGAATTTAATGTGGTGGAATAAACTTCTGACATATCACTGCATCCCATAGTCTTGGCCATCAGTTCTCCATGAGTGGAAGAAAAAGTCAGAGGAGGATTTCCTAGACTGTGGGTCCTGTGCCTGTAACAGTGCCTCTTGGGTACAAGTATGCAGTGAGTGCAAGGAGGGATGGAACTCGTTGGTTCTGGATCCTCCATGATTCAGAAAAATGGGCACATCAGGTGTCGAAGCGCCATCTCTAACGTTCAGGGTGTGTAGTCATAGCAACTGCCAGAGGCTGAAGACCAACTATCTACTGTTGTTTTCTGCTCCCATGAAAGAGCTGGAGTTTTATTGTATAAAAACAATAAAGAAATTCCCCCGAAGCACCAGATGGGAGATTTTTCGCTAGTCTCGCTGTGTGGGATCTTTAGCCAAATTAAATTTTCATCTGGAGAGGTCGAAGTGTGATAGCATTACATCCGAGTGTTGCATCCTATTTACTGAAAACTAACAGTTTACAGAGGTAGTAAAGAGGACAATACATGCCCGCTCTTTGATGTACAAATACCTGTGTACTCATGAATAAGAACTGGTTTGTGACTGAGCCCATGGCCGTGTGAGGGAAACATGGTATAAGGCTGAAATTAAACCTCAATATTACAGGCTATCTGGACATCAGGTAAAATTGCAAGGCCCTAGAATGGCTTAACCATAAATTTCCCTTTTTGCTCCGTTTCTTTGGGTAAAGTCCCCTAGCTAATGATACTTCTTGTGTGGGGGACCATGTGCCATTTCTACTTGTCAGTGAATAGCAGGTTTGAGTTCCCTGCCAGCCACAGAAATAGGCAAATGAGCCAATCACAAACTCTTCAAGAGCCAGGGTGCACCCCACCCACCCAGCCCCTGCTTGTTTTGTTCTCTGCTGTGGTCTGGGGTGTGTGGCCACCCAGGGATATAATTAGTAAGTGTGACTAATAAACTGCTGCCCATCTCATCTGTCCAAGCATCAATCCTAAAACCCTAAGCTGGGAATTCTTCCCTAACCCTCAGAGTTAAGGAAGCCATGTGGGTTGGTTGTTTTTGGAGAAATCTCTGCCTTTCTATGAAGAGGACACATAGGGGAGATAGTGCGTTTCCATGTGGGAACAGAGCTGCTACTCAGATCTCAAACTGTCTCCTTTCAGAAAAGAGAGGACCAGGAAAGCGTGTGTTCCTGCACACACATCACAGGTATTTTCTGATTTTCGTGATTATGTTGATTTCCAGGTTCACACCATCAGTCACTGACTTACCACTTAGCTTTCTGAATTTTCCTCTTCTTCTAAACTTTAAAGGATAGAATTCCATTGGCCTCAGATCACCAAAGTCACTCTCAAAACTTTAGTTGTACCTTTACGCCCTCAGTTCCTGGTCTCTCCTCTGCACACATGCACACTCCTGTGCTCACCAGTAGCTCCTTCAAGGCTCCGCATGAACAACGCAAACCCATCCTGTCAAAATGTAGCTTCTCTTTCTGCCCCAAACTGAAGTCCTGGACAGGTTCTTTCTTTGGTGCTTCCTTTTGGTTAAACATGCACTACCTACCACAAACCTGGAAATCCCACCTGTGCCATCCTGTCTTTCTCAACTCTCAAATCCAGCCCATCCCAGCCCTATAATTATTAATTTCTAAGTTTCTTTGAAAATTTATGATGTTCCTGCAAAGTCCACTGTGTATAAGGATGCTGAGGTCCTAATGAATGGTTCTACTTTATATAACTTTTTAGATCTGGGCATGGTGGCTCACACCTGTAATCCTGGCACTCCGGAGGCTGAGGCAGGAAGATTGGTGGTGCAAGTTTGAGACCAGCATGAGCTACAAAATGAGCTGAGGCCAGCCTGAACTGCATAGAGAGACTGTATCTCAATAAAAGACAAAAAAACATTTTAAAAAGACTGGTCTATTTCTGACAGTATATTTTATCTAAGTTAATGATGCATGAAGACCTAAATGTTCTTCCCAGGGTTGGTGGACTAAAGTAATTTGGAACATATCTGTGTTATTTCTGAGTAGGAAAAGGAATCAAAGATGAGAAGACAGTGATTAATCAACATTTTGAGAATGATACTTGGGCTTTGAAAAATACTTTTAAGTGAATTGAGATCTTGCTCATTTATTTTTCTTTGAAAAATGGACATAGTATGGGCTCCCAGAAACGTCTGCTGAAAGTTCTCACTCGTCATGGGGATTTTCAAGTACAACCCTAACTGGTATCTGCAACTGCTGGACAGGGGCCCATTTTTCTTCTCAACACGAGACTCATGGACACCACCATCACTGCCAGAGAGGTCCCAGAAAAAGATAAGGAAATAGTGAAGGTCACCAATGTTTAAGAGTCTTGCATCTCAGCCTTTTCCCCTTGCATACTTCAGCAGCCATTTGGGAGCTAGCACAAGCTGAGAAAAGCAGCAGCCATCCCTGCATCAGCATACCCAATGGCCATGATCAGATACCCATAGCCAGCAGTGGCCAGAAAAAAACAAACAGTCTCACTTCAGAGAAACTGTAGCCAATGCAGGAAGTGCCTGGGACCTCACTACCCACTTGCTGGGAAGAAGCCAGGAATATGTCAAGATAAAGAAGCAAAGGCAGTCTCTGGCTTCCAACCCAAGAAGAGCTGGTCCAGGAGACCTAAACACGAAAAAGATCAGGAGTTGCACACCTGAAGTTTCTGAAGTGTTGGCCACTGAAGTAAAGAAACAACTTCATGAGGCTATAAAAGAAATGAGAACAGAAATACTATTTCAGGTAAAAGAAGAAATGAGAAACATAATAAAAGAATTGCTAAGCACCTCTAAAGAAGACAGATAAAAATAGAGGAGCATAAGAAGATGAAGGAACCCTTGAATGAACAATATAAAAGATTTAGAATACATGAAACAGATTCAAAGAGAGATCCAGGAAATTAAAAACTCCATTGTAAGTTGGCAAAACTGCTAGAAAGCAACTGAAGATAGACTTTTAAGCCTTGAAGACAGGTTTGCAGCTTGTGATCGCGAAGGGAAAGATCTCTTAAAAATAACAGTGAACCAGGAAGTAACAATTCACTGGCTGCAAAACAATGCAAAGAAACATAATTTAAGAATAACAGGTGTCAGTGAAAACGCAAATGACATTAAAAGTCTATTTAAAGAAGTAATAGCAGAAAACTTTCCAAGCATGGGGAAAGGATGTGACATTCAGATAAGTGAGGCATATAGAACTCCATTAGCCATAATCAAAATAAATCTACCAAAACAGAGCTACACCCAGACATATAATAATCAAGATCTCAGAAATTCAACACAATAACAGAATATTAAAAGCTGTGAGACAAAAGAAACAGATCACCTATACAGGAAAACCCATCAGAATCACAACAAACTTCTCAACACAAACCATCAAGTCAAGTAGAAGTTGAAGTATTGCAAGTCCTGAAAGAAACTAACTTCTAACCCAGGTTGATGTATCCTGCAAAATGTTCTTTCAAAATTAATGGAGAAACAAGATACTTCCATGACAAAGGACAACAAGGAATTCATGACCACCAAACCAACCCTACAAAGAGTACTGAAGGACATTCTAGAGAGATTAAAATAACCACAGTTCCAGGAACAGCAGCAGAGGGAGATCACCGAGTGGGGCAGACAGCTGAATGGAGGGGAAAAGTAGGCAGCCAATGGCAGGAAAATAGCATGGCAGAGACAAGCCAGTGCATGTTGGCCATAACCATTAATGTAGATGGCCTCAGTGCATCAATAAAAAGAAACACAGGCAGAGTGGATCAGGAGACACAATCCATCAATATGCTTTATACAAGAAACACATTTAACTAGAAAGAAAATTCATAGACTGAAAGTCCAAGGAGAAAGAACAATGCTCTAAGTCATAGGGAACCCGAAAAAATTAGGGGTAGCTTACCCATCAACTGCAGAATGGATAAGAAAGACACAGCATTTTTATACAGTGGAAAGCTACTCAGTTATCAAGAAAGATAACCTCAAGGCTTGAGATCATGCTCATGGGTGAAATGGCTCAGAGTCACATGGGTGAACACCGTGTTGTCTCCTAGTATAAAAAAACTAAAAGAGTTTGTTGGGATCCAAAATGCACACTATATATTGTGAAAGTGAAAGGGGAGAAAATGTCTAAAAAGGAAAGGCAGTGGCTCTTGCTAATCTATTATTGTGTTTTGAAACCTGTATTGTTTTCATTATTTTGTTTAGTTTGGTTTCATTCTGCTCTATTTTGTTTGACTTTATTATGCCTGATGAGCAGTTATTTTGAAGATAACAAGAGTCATTAAGATAGCCATTATTGATTTCCTTTTATCTTGTTTTGAAGTCCTGTACCATGTTCATTGTTTTGTTTTGATTGACTCTGTTCTGTTTTATTTTGCTTGGTTTTGTTCTCTTCAAAATAAAAAAATTTTAAAAAAGAATCTTGCATCTCTAATCTTTTAAATAAGAGATTTCAATCTTCGGCTTTTACTCATCAACCCAGATGCCCATTAAAATCATCAGCGACTGGCGTGTGGGGGATGGGGTACAGGTATCAATCAGTATTCTTCTTTCAGGGATACAGTACAATGCTATGCTTCCACATCATCTGGGATTTAAAAGGCAGAATATCCAAGTCACTCTCCAGGCAGATGAGATCAAAATTTCCAGTAAGCTGGCATGCAGGCCATGATCTGTACACATACCGCGCTCCAGGGCTGTTCGGACTACTGAAGACTCCTCTGCGGAAGAAGAGTGAAACTCATGGTGGAAAGGATATAAACCTTGTTGAGAGATTTCTTGGAAGGTAAGTGTATACAAAACTACTCAGTGACCCCTCCTCTGTTGGCTATCATATGTCATTGCTCCTGCGTGATACTCTGTGAGGTTGCTCCCACAGTATGTGCACAAATGACCCTGCATAAAATGTCCATCCAATCGTCATAAGAGGAATCAAGGTACAATCTAGCAGCTGACAGGTGGGGCCCTCGTGCCTTGTCAGACCCCAAAGTGGGTAACCATACTGTAAGCAGAGACAGTACAGGGCCTGTGGGATCAGAACAGGAGATGTGTGATCCGGCCCCAGCCAAGCAGTTTGAGGAAAAGTGCCCTGTGGCTTGCTAAGTGATAATAGCTTGACTCCCTTCATTCCAGGCACAGGGGCATCATATGCTTTTCTCTGCAGGCCTAAGGACAGGTCCCACCTTGAACTTGCCAGCAGGGTATGGCTTGCTCTTTCTGGCTGATGCTGAAGGCCACCTTGAGCTCTGCCACCACTTCCAGGGAGCAGACGGGGGCTTTTCTTTCCCATCTCTCACTGCCTTCTTTAAAGTGCCATTTTCCTCTCAAATTTGCTGCTTACCCATCATCTGCATGCCAGCTCTACCTCTGTCTTCTTCAAGCTGTTACTAGAGCTCTCAGCGGTATAGAGTTCAGCCTCCCACACTCACTTTTGAGAGGAAACGAGAACATGCACTGTTTCCACTGAGGCAGACAGGAAGGATGTTTGCAGTGGAGATGCCCAGCCCTGGACCCATGCACCCGGCTTGGGGCACAGCTGGTATTCCCTGCTCATCACACACAGCACTGTGCTCCTCCTGAGAGTGAGGCTGCTCCAGGGAAAAGCAGTGGGAACACAGGTGATGTGCTCAGGAAAAGGCCTGGGCTGCTGTGATGGCCTTAGCTGGGAGTCGGTACTTACGTAAGAGTCCGTTTGTCAGAGTACTTACGTCAGAGTCCAGTGTTCTTTTCTGAAAGAGACAAAGGTTAAATGATAATGTTGAATGTGATGTTTCATCAGTCACCCATTGTATCACTTCCTTTACTTCAGGGATTTATGCCACAGCCTTCCCTTTGTTTTTGTTTCATATCTGCTTTTATTAGCCCTTATGCTTAGAGAATGAAAACTACTAAATTATTATTAATTTATGCGTCAATGAGTCACATAATTATTAAGTTATATGTCAATGAATATGATCAATGCCAGTTCCACTCCCAGCCCCCAGATGCTGGGATTCTGACTTTCCTTTCCAGGCCGACTGGAGAAACCCCACTGGTTCTCCTGCTTGGAGGATCCCCAGGGAGTTTTCTTTAAATTAGGAAGTGTCATCTAATGGGAGGAGCATCAGTGGGAATCAGGCTGGGGACTCATCCTCTGAGGTCCCCAGTGACCACAAGGTCCAGAATCTTGGAGGCCTTGCAAGGGAAAAAGATCTCACTGCCTAGGAAGACAGTCCTGAAGATAACTGTGCCCAAGGTCCCAGGTCACCTTCCTCCTGAAAGTCAGCACCTTGCCATTTCATCCTGAATTCTGGAGCCTGCCCTACCCACTCTATTAGTTACCCTCCCAAGTAGGACAAGGAGGATGTCATCCTGGGGTCTGTCACATTGGCCTCCTTTGCATAGCACTGTCAAGCCCATTGCCAGGGGCTTAGTAGTTGCTTTGTAGTTGTTTGTTGAATAGATACACAAGTGCATGAGAAATGAGCATTGTGGTCACTCAGGAAAAGATATCTTAACACCCAATAAGTGACTATTTCCATACCTTACTATAAATTCTCACCTTAGCTACTACCAGCAGGTTTAACCATAAACTGTGAGCAAGGAACTTGCCAGCAGCAGCACCCACCACATGGTACAGAGAGTGATTAATATACCAGAGGCCAAGAGGATGGGGAAGGACGACCCTTTAGGAAGACCCCTTGAGAACCAGGTGGTTCTACCTCCGGAGAGCTGTGCTCCCATAGGGGACAATGGGAGGGTGCTTGGGGGAAGGGAAGAGAGAAGCCGACTTATTGATTAGCTCAGACTGAGTCATCTTGGATTCTCTGGAGCTGGCTGGACATGTTTTGTCTTAATGAATGCATCAAATAATGCATCTTTCTACAGAAACCTTGGGGGAACCTAGTCACTGAGATTTCAGTCACAAATTCAGTACAGTAGAGTAGGTAGTCTCAGAGCCAACTTTGAGAAGCTCATGATTTCATGATATGGTAGTGGTACTGATGGTTATATGTAAGTCAGAGATTAGGGAAATGGAAGTTCTTTCATCTCTGTCCATCACCAGGTTCTCTCATATCCAGTCTCAGAGAAGCTGTGGAAGGCATCGACAGTCTCAGTGCCCTCTCTGGAGTTCACACTTCCACACAGGGAGAATTCACCTTCAGCAAGGGCAGTGAGGTCTGCACAGTCCCTTTGGTTGGGCCCAAGAGCCCTCTCCAAGAAGGAAGTTAGTAGTTTAATCATCAGTTTTGCGTTACTGTAACAAAATACCTGAGGCGGGGTTACCATAGAAAAGAGGTTCATTTAGCTCACAGTTCTATAAGTTTAAGGGCTCACATCTTATGGACTTTTTCCTGATAGAGTCCCAACATGACACATGTAAGAGACAGAGAGCAAGCATGTGTCTACAGCTTCTGGTTTGTCTCTCTTCTTATAAAGCTGGCCCTGATAATTTTACCTAATCCTAAACCTCTCCCAATGACCTCACCCTAAACACTGCAGCTGAATTAATTTTCCATCTTTTTAACTCATCACAGTGGGAATTAAATTTCAACACTGGCACCCTTGGCAACACACTCAAACCACATCAAAAACATTGGCGGGGACTTCAGCCTCTAGTCATTCTATCCTCAAGTGCTTCATAATGGAAACAACTGCCCAAAAAACTGTGTCTACGCATATTGGTGATGAATGAAAGATAGAAGAGATAGGAAGGCATCTGTTTCTATAAGCCCACAGAGAAGGAAACTCAGCAATGTGATAGATGAGACCCTGGCAGAAGGCCATGAGATACTTACCTTGGGTTTTTTACTTGGCGGGATTGGTAGATATTCTTTCTGAAAAAAAGAAAAGATTGGTGGTATCACGAGTCCTCATTTTTACTTTATGAGCTCGGTATTTCGCCCATCTTCCAGGGTCTTCTCAAATTCAAGGTGTTAATTGAAGTTTGAGATCTCAGGTCAAGATTTCAACTCAAACTTAAGGTGTGTTGATGATGATGATTTCCCATACTCCCCCAGTGATTCGAGGCAGCACGTAGACCCACATGGTCCCTCGATTGATGAAGGGAGCCTAATTATTTCCATTTCCTTGATGCCACGAAGAGCAGATTTCATGCTACTGTTTTTCTGTACACAGAATGTTCCATTCTAGACTTTTCCTTGTCAGAACTGTTCTCTAATTTTAGTATATATGCTGCCAAAATGAGCACTGGAACTGTTCTCTAAGAAAGACTCAGCTCAGTGCAAACTTCTCTATAAAGCTTTCTTAACCTCAAAGCCAGAAATGCCTTCCAACCGCCGAGATCCTGCATCTCTTCCTGTTGGCGGCCCAGGTTAGAGCAGCGACTTATTGCAATCCTGTTGTAAGTGTGCAATTGCTTCCTGGCCAGGGGTCACTTGTCCTCACTCATGGTCTTAGATGAACCAGATACCCTGATTTCTATATCATTACAGTGACCCAGGGAAAGGCCATCTAGGATGGGTGATATTTAACACTGTACCCTAATCAAAAGCCCAGAGTTCATATCAGGTGGTTGCTGTGAGGAGCAAAGGAGTTATTTTTAAATGCAATTTATTTATATTCATTTTCAAGAATAAATTTGCAGAGGCTGTGGGTGTTACTTTGGGGCAGAACATTTGTTTGACATACGCAAGTCCCTGGGTTCCAGCAGCAGCAGCCTCCTCTACAACATTGTTAAGGAAGAAATATTTGGTAACTTACCTGAAGAAATATTGTTGAAATGGTCCACAAATCAAGCACTAATGCCACAAGTATTTTCTGACATGTGTACCATTAACAGTGGCTCTGAAAATGTAAGGATTCCCCTTCCACTTCAAGTTACTACAATGTCATCCAATTTCATAGTCAGTGGCAGAGTCAAGGCCACACTGTGTTGCCCGACCTTCAAAGGAATACGAATTAATGTACCAGAAAGGATTAAGCTGTGCAATGAGCCAGTCAAGTAAATACCTGGGTCACCTGTCAGTGATAATGTGTGCCTTGTGACCCAAGTAAGGGAATAGGGACAGTTTTCTGGACACAGAAACTCGTCTAAAGCTTGATGCTGGTGACTTGTGACAGTTCAGTCCTTGTTTGAAGCCTCCTGTCCCTGCAGTACCTGCATCAGTTCTCTGAGGGTCCATCCATGGCAGCGCACACTGATTTTCCAGTTCTTAGAAGATGCACGACCTCCTGCAACTTCAAACTCCCTGGGGCTCAACAAGCTCCCATCCTCGCTCCTGATGCTCTTCTTCCAGACTCCTGTAAGACCAAAACAAGCTGAGCCCCATCCAGTATACCACCTACTCTTGGCATCCTGTGCCCTGGTTCTAGGGCTGGCTGGGCTCAGAACCATCTCAGGAGAGCGGTTGCTTCCTCGCAGACCAGGGATCCACACCCAGTCTGAGAAGCAAGGAGAGAAGGGAATCCCCCACCTTATTTGCGTGTTTCTTGACCTTCATGCAATGAGGAGAGGAATCACCAGCAACACTCTTTGTTTAAAATATTTCACTCTATTAAATGACATAAAAATCAATGGCCCTGAATAATGAGCAGAACTCTTTCTACTCCTTTCCCAGCCCTCCAGGACAGAGCCAGCCTGCTGAGCTCTGTCGAATCCAGTGGAGCTGTTGCTATTACCACACCTGCCTGGCTAACGACAATAAATTATTTCTCATACTTTGGGATCACGGCAGTTCGATGTTAACAGTCATTATGGAAGTGTCAACTAGAGGGAAAAGTTAATTACACAGACAAGACAGCCATGGGGTAAACATTTACACCTGGTGGTATCCTCAGGGCTATAATGTGGAAGAGGGAGGATCAACCCCAAGAGGTGAATACTGGTACTGTATCATACTTTGCAAGGTACTTTATGTCTGTCTTATTTTCTCTCCTAAGGATACAGTGAGGAAAGTTTTAGTATTCTAATTTTACAGAGAGGAAAGTTCTCATGACCCAGAAGGGTCTGTCTCTTCCCAGTGCCTCCCTCAAGTCTGTTTTTGGCTGCCAGGACATGAGCAGCTTTCTCTGCACCAGGCCCTGCCCCACGATGTTTTAGCCCACAGTGGACTGAACCCTTTAAAAACTGGAAGCCGAAATAACCCTCTCCTCCTTGCAATCGTGGGTGTCAGGCACTTTGTCTCAGCTACCAGAAAGTGGCCAAGACAGGTAAGACACTGGGAGGTCTTTATGCTGCTGAGGTCACTCACTACCTATGTGAGGGATAGAGATCCTTCTCATGGCAACCCAATCATTCTCTGGCCTCCTGTCTTGCAAAGTTATCTCTTCATCCTGCACAGGCTTCTGCCAATGCCCTCTGCCATCAGAATCTCACCAAGGGTCAAACACATGAGGATCTTGGATTTCCAGCATTCCACGCTAAATAGGCCACTTTGTTTCCATGGTACCTTTGCTTGGTGTTTCCTTATAGCAATGAAAAATAAATTGTTTTCACCAGCAACGGGGTTTCTGCAGAAGCCCTGCTCCCCACTGAGATTCCGGGGTTCCGGTGTGTGCTAGGCAGAGGCACCTAGCACAGAGTAACCTTTGACCAAACCCTGGGCTCCCGTGCTCAGCCCAGCTGCCCTGGCAGAAGACACTTCACACGTGTGTCACGTGTGGTTGCACTCTGTGTGACTCCCATGTGACCGCACTCTTGGGTTCCTCTCCTTTCCTTCCCTTTGCTGACTTTGCTTCACATTCCTTCACTTTAATAAAGCCTGGCGGTGGTGTGACCATATTCTGAGTCCTCCCTGTCAGTTACCAAGCCCAGATCTGGCCTCAGGGACCCCCAGCACCAGTGTCTGCTGCCTCAGCCATGCTCTAGTCACAGGGGTACTTCACCACGGAAGAGCACAGAGGACCACAAAACTCACCTTGCTTAAACACCTCCTTAGTCAGAGTCCCCGCAACATTACCACAGGTCACAGGAAGTTTAGGAATATCAAAATTCGCGTTAGTTTTTTTGAGGTATCTGAAACCTGCAAAAAGAGTTTTTTTTTTAATTCCATCTTCTAAAACTCTCCATTCTTCCAAATACACCTTGAGATCCCTCCTTTATAATTTAAAAATGTATTGAATTTTCTCCATGAATTAATTATATCTGCAGGAGTTTTAGGGAAAACAGGATGTTCACAGATAATACCACCCTGCAAATCACACCCTCCACCAACTCCGGGAAAGCCTGTGATCAGAACCTGAGCTCCCAAGCTTGCTGGCCCAGCTACCTACTGCACCATGACTTTCTCCCTGATGTTTGGGAGAGAAAGTTCTGGTAACTTCATGCCTTGGAACTTAGGAAGAAGGAGAAAATTCAAATTTGAATCTACTGTCCCTGTTCAAAGCATTGGCCAGAGGAGCAGAGCGGGATGGCAGTGGGCACCCAGCTGGATGCCTTCTGTCTCTCCTTTGGCCTCTGCTTTGCCTCTTCTCCACCTGAGCTCTCTTGGAAGCTCAGGGCAGTGGCTCCAGCGGAGACTGCAAATTTCTCGGGGAGCCCTGCTCACCACATGAGGGGCCCTGGGGATTTGAAGCCAGTTCTGAAGGTCTTAAAACGACCTTCCACAGCAGCCACTGCTGCTCCTGCCCTTCCAGCCGTCAAACAGGCTGGGGGTTCTCTCCTGGATGGGGATAAGAGGTCATCCACGGTCCTTCCAGGGTTATTTCAGATACACACAGACTATTAGAGCTTGGGTGGTTCTACTAGGATCTCAGTCTAATTCACAGGCACCCTCTGCTACATCTTTACAGATGAGGAAATTGAGTCAAAAAGAAAAAAAAAGCAAATGCCAGGTCAAAGTTACGCAGCCAAAGGAAGTGTATTAATTAGAGCATGAGTGTCGTGTTACCACCTAGGGTCAAGAGAAGGGTCTGTTGTCAACAATCCGTCATGCTTTTGAGATAATCCATGGTTATTAGATGACAATCTTAATGTCTGATACTGACTCCATTAGTCAATTAAGAAAACTAATTAGTCACTTACAAGGTTAGAGCAAAAATTTAGATGCTTAATCATTTAAAATATATTAGTCACTTATTCTTACCTTTTTTCCTAACTTTCCTCAAAGGTTTACTGTTAACTCTTTTTCTTCCTGTGAAAATTGAAAAGCAGCATCAGTATCTTCTGCTTACATCACTGCACTGAAAACAGGAATGTTTTACAAAAGCACCATTCACAGGTAATTTCTCAGGAGTCCGCCTAGTATTTGAAGAGAACTATCAAATGTCTGAGTCAGAACAGAATTTATTTTCTGCAAAGAGCCACCTGGTAAATCTTTAAGGCTTTGTGGTCTATAATCTCCACCGTCACTCTTCAGTTCCACTGGTGTATATGAGAACATCCATAGGTGATACGGAAATGAGAGGAGATGTTCATGTTTCAATAAAGTTTTATTTACAAACAGTTGGCAGCCTGAGCTTGCCCTATGGGCTAAGTTGACTGACTTCTGCTGAGACTTAGCTGTAAAGATGGTGAATAGTGGAGATTCATTCTTCATTTCTCTATTAATTTCTTCAGTTCATCCCAAATACATTTTAAGCAATGTTTTAGTATGTTTCTCAAGCAACGAGGTGAGAACAAGAATGAATCTGAACATATGCTGAGTGTTTATTTTGTGCCAGGAACTACCTTTAGACCTTTTCCTCCATGAATTCACTTAATCTTTTTTAAAAAATCTGTCAAATAGTTACTAATGTTATCCTCATTTTACAGATAAGGAAATTGATGCTTTAAAAAAAACCACTTACATAAAGATAGTGAAGCTCCCCTTTAAAAAAGTGAGGAGAGTCTCAAGATGACCTCATGGTGGATTCTACCAATCAGAAGGTTGCCTTGAACCTAAACTGTAAAGATCTTCCTTCTGCAGATGGTGGGGAAAATGGCCAAGGAGTTAAAAACCAACACAATGAGAAGGGGAACTGGCGGAAATTAAGGTTCAAGGTCTAAGAATTGTAGAGGTAAAGGCAGCAGAAAGACTGACTCAAAAGATTAGAAGAATGTAGGACATCATTTATGTGTGGGCTGAATGTGTCAAAAGAGAGTTACTCCATATGCACGTTTAGGTTTGCACCATTCAAATTATTTATGAAAGTGGCCGCTTTCTGTTAAAGACTGCCCATCCTTGTGTGCCCATGGCTGGCATCACGGGTCCTGATTTGGGCAGTCTAGGCATCAGAAAAAGACCCTCTCTATATACTTAATTCTGGATGCTGTTCCTTTGAGCAGATTGGGACCAGACTAGGCTGAAAAGGAATCTTTTGTTCAGTCAAACACAAAAAAGCCTATGCCAAGAGAAATAATGTTATTTAAATATGATACTGTGAAGGCAGGCATTCAGGATGCTGAAACAGGAGGATCTCTGTGAGTTCGAGGCCATCCTTGGCTCCATAGTGAGTTCAAGGCAAGCCTGAACTGCATAGTGAGATCCTGTCTCAAAAGAAAAAAGGTTGGCATTTCATGGTCATTAAAAAAAAATAGAATAGAACTCTGTTAATAGTTGAGGCTAGGTCTGGGGATTTAGCTCAGTGGCATAAGCACCTGCCTTGCAAGCAGGCAGTCGTGAGTTCGATCCTTGGTACCAATAAAAAAAAGGAAAAAGAAAAAAAAATAGTTGAGGCCAATTGTTCTGAGTAAAAGTGTTTTCAGAATGTTTATGTGACCCTTTGGTTTCCTCAGTATCACAAATGTCTCTATATCCAAGAAAAGGGCAAAAGAGCCCAGTATTCCTAACTCCCAAGGCAAGTGGCTGGTCTAGCCTGTGTATGAACAGGACAGTGAATATGTGACCGGCTCCCCCATCTGTCTTCTCCTCATCTAGGACTTAAGAGAGAGGCTGCAGTTCCTTGGAAAGAATTCAGGCATCTCCCTCCAGCAAGGTGCTAAGGCTTTAAGATATTCACGCAGGAGATGGGCCCTTGCCCTTGAGGATGTCAGAGTGGGAGACATTGTAAGACTTACCCCGAAAAGTGTAACAGTGAGCGTCGTGACTAGAACGGGAAGTGGTGAGAGTACCGAGCAGGAAGCCAGCAGGGCAGTTAATGAAGCCATGTGATTCCCATGCCTGGTGGTGACTCTGCTGGTGGCTCTGGACTAGGTGCTTTTGAGAGATCCTGCCCGAGGGGTGCGGACCTCCCACAAGACCACCCTGGCTGAGGGTGCTATTTTTCCTCCCCTGATAAACTTCAGGAATTAACCAAATCTGATTTGCAATGGTTTAGACATCCACGTAAAGCAATCAGGGAAAAGCACAAAATAAAGCATGAGAATTTACGTGTTTATTGAACAAAACTTTTTTACCTTTTAGCCAACCCGTTTTCCTTACAAATCTGTTATTTAGGACTGAGGAAAATTGGTATCTGCCTCTCTTTCTTCCTGAGAAAACAGAAAAATATAAAAACACAAGCTGCCATATAGTTGCCATGTATGTAGCGGTACTTTTTAAAAATCCACTTTAGTGTAACTTTCAAAAGCTATAATAGAAAGAGCACATATTTTACATAAAGCATATTTATAGAGCATGAATGGAGCCAGTGGTTGGTTAGGGCTGGGTGGTGCGGTGAGGTGTAAATAGCCATTAATTCCAATTTTCTTTCATGTAGAACAAAAACCTTCTGACATTAAATTTTTGTGATGGTGATGCAGTTATACAAATACCTCAGCAAGAAACCTCCCCTTATTTATACACTCTAAGTGGTGAATTGATGATTCGTGAATTACATCTCAGTAATGTTACTTTAAAAGTAGTCCAGGTACCAACATTTATATTAATTGGCATCCAAAGACCCATATTAAGAGAGGTCTAAGATGTATTTCATTATAATAGACTTTTTTTTTTGCAAAGTTTTAGAATCTACTACCATGGAATATATCTATTATGTAAAGTAATTCTCACAACTATGCCATGAATCAAGTTGCATATATTGTCTGTTTTTGAGATGAGAAAAATTTCATGCTTAGAAAGGCTTCCTTCTCTCTTGAAGATGAAATAGTCACTCTTGGAACAGCTGAGGCCAGAACCTGGGTTTCCTGATCCTAACTCCTGTTGTCTATATCAGACATTCTCCTCTGGTCAAGCCTGATGTTTCTTCACTATAATGCATGGCTCGATGTGAAATATGTAAGTTTTTTACCTACGGATTGAAGTTTTTGTTCTTCTCTTTGTTTTGGGGAGACCTCCATCGACATGGACATGTGTGAATGCACATCAAATATCTGATTTGTTACACTGTGGAAAATACCATTTTCGAGATCCCATCCTTTTCTCTCATGTCTAGAACATCTACCCCAAATTTTCTTTCTCAGATTTCACAAAACAAACATTTTAGCGGAAAAATTAGGCTTCAATAAATCTGTCTTACCTCCCAAAGTTGTAACTCCCACTGATTCTTATGCGATGGTGAAATAAATAGCCAAGGTCACTACCTTGCCAGGAGTGGCCCAGCAAAAAGTCTATTACAATTGGTACCCAGAGACAAAGACCAGAGCAGGTAATGATATTTCCCCCGGTTGAGCACCGACTAGCAAAGAGGAGAATGATGGGACCACATAATGGAGATGTGTCTGCTTCCTACGTGGTGGCCATGTTCGCGAGAAGAACTTTCCTTTATCCCAAGATGAAGTCTGAGAGAGACAATCAGGACTGGAATGGACTGAGAAAGAAGGCTGGCCTCATTCACTAGTTTACTTTACAGATGAGGAAACTGAAGCAAAAGAGATCAAGGGATGGGCCCAGGCCCACACAGTCAAAGGATGAGGGAGCCCTAGGTCACAGGTCTCCAAATTGAGCTGCTCTGGGGTGCAGTCGCTGCCAGGTTACACCTGTTAGAAGGCAGTAGCTATTTCCAGCCTTAGAAGTCATCAGATCAGTGGAGGAAGCATTGCAGTGGTCCCTAAGTCCCTAGAGTTTGGTTCAAATATATCTCTAAGTTTTTTGTTTTTCTCCCAGACACATTGCCTAGACAGGGTACATTTCTCACTTCTTAGTACAGCTACATCAAGCAATTAGAGAAATGGGTCATTTCTAGAAACAGAGTAGATCGCTGGAAATTAGATGTTTAGTTATTAAAAGTGTACCACGACCCTCTTCTCTTCTTACCTCTTGATTGGATTCTTTTCTGTGTGGCTCTGTTATGCATTGTAGATGTACCTGCCTGTGTCCCTGAGAAAATAGGAAAAATACAATTATAGACTTACGGGGGAATACCTTCTCCTTAAGCTATCAAGACTAGATGGTTAATCTCAGGCTCATCTTGTAGTTCATTTTCATATCCTCACATTTCCAAAAAAACCCTGAAATTAGCATTTCACTTATGTTCTGAGCAGGAGTGTATTAAATTAAGTCTTAAACAAGCCAAGCACTTATAATCTATTAATTTTATAGTTGCAACAAATATATGAGATCAAGATGATTATTACCCCATTAAAGAAACTAAAACATTCAACGAAAGCTGAGAAGAAACTATAAAATTAAATGAAGGCATTGAAGTTTTTTTAGTGGAGAGAAAGTTACATGGCAGTTCTATAAAATCAGTTGGGAGAAAATCAGTTGGGTGTTCCAAGTGAAATACTTGACACACGTCCCAATTAAAGATATTTTTATATTTAAAAGTGATAATAAATGTGACCAAGGGCTTTGCCTACTTGGCTTTGGACAGACATATGAGTGTCTAAAATTTAACCAGAAGCAGGCTCATCAAGGAAACAGTCTCCCAACAGTTGTGCTGCAAATGTTAATTAAGGACTGACTGGATAGAGGCTGCAACAGAGAATTGTCTTCCAATTTGCAAGTTAATTGACTGGAGATGGACACCTTAGCATTTGCTATCAGTCACATGTGTTTTATTTTCTAAAGCATCCGTGCAAAATGTTTTTTTTCCTTCTTGTATTCAATGTCCCACCACTCAGTGACCATCACTGGGCAGTGCTAGTTGGCATTATGTAGACCCAAGAGGAACTATTTTCCAAACTACTCAATCCTAAATAGGCTAGCAAAACTAAAAATAATCTTTACTTTTCAGTCAAACCTAAGTACACTTATTGTTTAATAATATAATTCCACTTTCTGGTTTCCAGACTAAACAATTACTCAAGACCAAAACACCTCAAGGAACAAATACTAATAAAGAGAGCTCATTGTAAAAGCAAGAAAATTTCAGCCTTGCACACTGTCATTACAACAATATTCAACCAAAATAGCAGGAGCTCAAGCAAGGGTTCCAGAGGAGCTGGGCAAACCAGGATAAGAAAGTAGAAAGAGGAATATTTAATAGCAAGGCTGAAGAAAATACTAAAACGGTGGAAACGTGGTCCTCCCAGGAGGCACAGTTATCCCTTTACTTTGTCTCATGCCCGCCTCTGCACAGTGGAGTCACCAGGCGTTGGAAGGCCACCCGCCAGGGGTGGCTCCCCTCTGCTCCTCTGTCACAATGCCAGCAGAACTGCAGGAGGCCAGGAAGTCGAGTGTCCCACATTCCTCCCTCCTGGGGACCCATAATCACAGTGGAGAGAAATTCAGATGTCTTATTCTTGCCGCTCTTCCCCTTCCTGTATTTCAGCCAGGCTTGGAACTTAAGCAGTGGCCACTACCCTGGACAGTCCAGTAAATGAAGAATTCTTGCTGACTTTCTCTCTGCTTCTGCTTGGCTATAGCTTTTCTGAGATGGGTAGGTAAACTGGACTTACTTTCATTAAACCTGTTTAGGTCAAATATTTTTAGGGAGAAAAAGGAAAGACACTGAAATCTTCTGTAGCCCTTGGAGCCTTTGGCATCACAGGATGTGATGCTTCAGTCCACTAATTTCTAATGTATCATTCCCATGTTTTACCTTGAGCTGTGTGGCTGAGCAAGAAAAGATTCAGCTTGTACTGTGTTCCAGGCTCTAATACTCATTTCATAACATGGAAACCCTTGTCAGCATTACAGTGGTCAGAATTTACAGACCTTTTTTTTTTTTTCCTGGTGCTGGAACTTGAACTCAGGACCTTGCTCTTGCCATGCAGGCACTGTGCCACTGAGCTGTATCCCCAGCCCCTGTGGTCAGAATTTAATTTAAAGATGTCTTAAAATAATTGTTATGGTCTGTAGTAAACTTTAGAAATAAGTGTGACAGGGCTATCAATTTTCTTTTTTCAAAATTTCAGAAGAAACCCCGACAACTGGGCACAATTTAATAAATGCCAGTTGGTACCTAATGTAACATATTTGATTTCTTTTTTACAACTCTCCTTCCTTTCTCCTGCTCCTCTGAACACCTCTTAACCCCCTTCCCCTTACCAAAGATTTATTTCCTCCTTTAAGAGGATATTTTGTTTCAACTTTAAAAATTTTTTTGTGCCAGGAACCGAATTTAGGACCTTGCGCTTGCCAGGCAGGCAGGCTGAGCTGTATCGCCTTCCTTAAGAGGATATTTTGGAAAAAATTAATTGGGCTTTCTCTAGATGGTATTTTTATACAATTTGACTTTCTGAATTTTTGTTATGCATATGTAGACCTCTAAATTTTATTTTAGCAATGATCTGAGAAAATTTTTAATCCTAGACAATGAAAGGTCAACCTCATTTTCCAAATGATTGTCATTTTAAATTGGTACTAACTCCTCACAATGTATATTCATGAGGCACCACAAACATGTGCTGATAAAAAAACCCTCCTAAGTGTTTTTCTTTGCATGTATTAGTTTTTAAATACTTTTTCATACAAAAGTTGAACATGCTAAGTATTAAATACTTTTTCATACAAAAGTTGAACATGATAAGTATTTCCAGCATTCATACATACATTTAAAAACTACATAGGTGAATATAAACTTCACCTCTATTCAAATGATCAAATGTAAACAATGGGGCCTGGGGATTTAGCTCAGCAGCATAAGCGCCTGCCTTGCAAGCAGGCAGTCGTGAGTTCGATCCCTGGTACCGATAAAAATGAAAAAAAGACCAAAAAAAATTTTTTTAAAAATGTAAACAATGCCTATATTTTCATGGATGAAATGCCACTGAGTTTTCTGAATATCCATATCTATGTCTCTGTATAGGTAGATAGAAACTTACGCACAAATCTAGATTTAGAGATAGATAGATACTTTCAGAAATGTATATGTTTATACATTATTGATGTATTGGCAACATACACAGAGAGTCTGTTTTCTTCATTTAACCTTCTTTGGAATATGCTTCCAAATAATAAGAATTATGAGCTAGAAAAGAAAGTCACACACTGAAGGTGGCAGTGTCACTCCATATCTCTGAACCATTATTATATGTATGAGAAATAAATCATTTTGAGAAACTATTGCATTTTTTTTATCAGTACCAAGGATCAAACTCATGATTGCCCACTTGCAAAGCAGGCACTTAAGCCACTGAGCTTAATTCCCAGCCCCTAACTATTGCATTTTTAAGTCCCTCTATTGCAACGTCTTAACCTATGCGCATAGTGGCCGCAAGAACATTCCATCCTCAGGAGAACACAAGCCTGGAGCCTATGACCAGCTGATCTCAACAGCTAGGGCTGCACCACTGTTACTTTAATCTTGTTGCTGAAACAAAATACCTGATACCCAAAATTTAAAAGGAAAGGTTTATTTAGCTCACAGCTTGTGGAGGTTTCAGTCCATAATCAGCTGGCTCCAAGGCAGGGTGGCATGGCGGAGGAGCAGCCATTCAAGATGGCAGAAGACAGCAAAAGCAACAAGAGCAAAAGACGGAGAGCAAGCCTCTTTTCCTCCCTTGTATTGTACGCAGGCCACCGCTCTCAGGTGGGTGTAGCACTCACACCATCTCTGTGCCTTTCTCTTACACAGGCTCAGCATGATTACAAAGTGAGGATCCTGGCCCTTGCTGAGTCACTTAACTTTTAAACTTGCCAAGCTGACACAATGAATCAACCATGACAGCATCGTGGAGTGTAAAATAGCCACCTTAGGGCACGTCCTCTACACCCTAGGATACAGAACTGCTGAGTCACTTAGTTAAGCTTCTAGGCTTCTCAAGCTGACACAGTGAATCAACTGTTACAGCCACATTGCCCACTTACCTTTTTGACATTTGCTTTGTGGCCTTTTTGTTTTAATTCTTGACCAGTTGTACCCTTTCTTTTTTCCTTCAAAGAAAATGAAGTGAATCAGTCAGAGTTACAAACAGTATTCTACAAGTCTTATACGTCAGCAGTGTGCAAATATTATTTCTAGCTTTGGTCATAGGAATTGGGGAACCCCAAGGTGCTCTGTTCCTGTCTGCACAGCAGTCAGCCCTCTGAGCTACCCTTGGGACTGTCGCGGTGCTTAACACTGCTGACCCTACTTCAGGCTGTGGATCAGCTGGCCACACCACTGCAACTGGAGTCACTCATGTTGCAAACCTGATTGTCTTAGACCATTTGCAGACTGCTAATGATACACTCTCTACTTAACAAGTTACTCAAAACATGAGCCAACTGACTTCAAAGCCCTCATCTTCTCCTACCAAACACTTCAGGAGGAAGTTTGTTCACAGAAGGGACTCACATCTTCCCAGATAATCATCGGGACAAAGTGAGGTGATGTACAAACCTATTTTGAAAATTCGAGTTTCTCTTATGAACATTCTTGGGGACAGGACCTTATTTTTCCCCTACCAACCTAGTAGACATAGCCTTTACGTCTACTATGTGCCTAGGGGTTCCGATTTAATTCCAGTTAATATTCTATAAAAATGCTTTCGTCCTACTAATTGTGAGTGAGAAGAGCAGACGATTGGGGAAAAAGATGAAGTATGGTCACTGGGGTGCTGCATAGATTCCGTGGCAGTGAAGAATAGGAATCCAGGCATCACCGGGGGAATGCTGAGACTGTTATAACCTAAGCCCCTAACTGCTGTGCCGCTGTGTTGCCTGTTCTGTAAAGTGCTGTGCTGCTCCGCCTCCCCTTCCCCCTTCACATCTAACTAGGTTAAGTTTCAATTTCCTGAAAGGCCATAAAAAAAGGCCTGAGGTATCAGTTCCTGGCACCCTCCTTCCATACTCGGTGGCCCATCATAAATTGCACTAATTGTGCTGTTCTTTACAATAGAAGTGCTTGCTGTTCTTTAAGAAATGATTAACCTCAGGAAATTACAGAAAGTTCTATAAGGTCCAGCTGCCAGCTGCAATCTAATTGTGTCAATAGCGACAGCATTCCTGTGGTTTTTTGCTTTATAAGTCACTGCCTTTAGCTGTGAGGCGCGCAGTCTCCAAATTGGCTCCTGGAGACTGTGATGCCAGGCCTGGCCTAAAATAAAGCCTTTGCTCCCCAAATTTTAATTTCTTGCTTCCTTGGGTTTTATTCCGGGGTCCGAGCTATCACAGAGACAGCGCCACCTGGTTGGAATCAGAGGCTGGAGTTAGCACCCATTCCCCATGGGAGGGCTAGAGCCAGGGAGGGAGCCAAGAGCTCAGGCCTACAGCAGGCCAGGGCCACATTGCGGGCATCGCCCACCTTCCCTTGGCCTAAAGCTCACGTACCCTGGGAAGCTCGATAACTGTGCGCCCCTTTTTTCCAGAGATACCAAGTGTGCCCTTGGGATTGGGCTCCTTGGGTGAAAGCCTGGCATAAGCTTGTCTCCCTCCCAGAAACATGGTAACCTGCCCTGAACACGTGGTCATCACTTAAGGCATGAGACTTAGGGCAGTTATGGCTTGAGAAATTTTTTTTTTTCTTTTTGTCTTTTTTCCTTTTTATCGGTACCGGGGATCGAACTCACGACTGCCTGCTTGCAAGGCAGGTGCTTATGCCGCTGAGCTAAATCCCCAGCCCCATGGCTTGAGAAATTAGTTAAATACTACAGGAAACAAATCAAGTTTGCTGACAGTCAACTTGTAAGATGGGGCATGGACTTTCTCAGTCACACAGAACTGTTTTAAAAAACAAAAGTAAAAAGAAAAGAAGGCTGGTGGTGAATCTCAGTACAAAGGTCCTACATTCAAAGAGAAGATAAAAGAGGAATGGGGAAAGAGAAAGAGAAACAGAAGAAGGGAGGGAGAGAGAGAAACAAAGAAAGAGCAAAACCATTGTTCGCTTGGTGCCCTTATCAAAAGGGATCTGACCACGTGGGCGTGATTTTCTAGTATACTGGGCTTTCTAGTCAGCTCCATGCGTTCCTGCGTGTGTGCTAATGACTGTGTGTGACGGCTTCGGTTCTGCTCTTTTTTTTTCAAAATTATCTTGGCTGTTTGGGTTCATTTGTGGTGCCAGCAAACTGTGGGATTGCTTTTTGACATTCCTGTGAAAATGGCAATGGAATTTTGATAGGGACCGAATTAAATCTGTAGCTCACTTTGGGAAGTATGGATATTTTGGCATCTTTAAGTTTTCCAGTACATGGATATGAGATATCTTTCCATTTATTTGTTTAGTGCTCAATTTCTTTCAAAACTGGCTTGTACTTTCCATTCTATGAATATTTCAACTCCTGGGGTAAATTTCTTCCTAAGTATTTTGTTCTTTTTGATGCTATGATTTGTGGAATTTTCTAGGTAGTTTGTTATTAGTGTATAGAACACAGCTGAGTTTTGTATATTAATTTTGCATCCTGAAAATTTACTGAATTTATCTATAACAGATTCTTTTTCAGTCTGGGTGTCTTTTTACAAGTCCTTTTTCTTCTTAGTTGCTCTTGCTAGGACTACATTAGCATGCTGAAGAAAAGGATGAAATGAGCTCTTAGTCTTTGAGAAGAGCATCAGGAATCCATAGTGGGGAAAAGGGCAAGGTTCTCCAGAGTGTAAATAACACAGCCAACTGAAACTATCAATATTTTTTTTCCTGTAGAGACAAGCAACTTCTCCACACTTCCTCAGGCCGAGGTTGTAACCACCACCCGTTCCTGTCCTCAGTTGAGGCAAACAGGCAGAATATGCAGGTTTGGTAAGCTGGGGTCCCATTTCATTTCCACGGGGGGGGGGGGGGGGCACATCTCTCTGCTCCCCTCCACTCTGCTCCTTGCTATGAGGGTCCCTGACACCCCTGTACCCTATGAGGTGGGCACTTGAGGCCAATGCAGCCCCTCCATCTGCTTGGAGCTAACACTGAATAAACCTCTTCTCCTTTCCACTAACATCGGAGGCCTCCTTGGATTTGCTCAGTGGTAAGCAAGTAAGTCTGAGCACGCTGGTCAATGTGGCTGGTTAACAGAACACTGGACACCACACACCTAAAAGAGGAAACTGGACATGTGTCTCATACTGGGCACTGAAATTAATTCCCAGTGGAGTGAAGCCTCAAATAAAGATCTGAAACTAGAAAATTCCTGGAAGAAAAGAGGGGGAAAGCTCCTCAATACTGATTTTGGCAATTTTTTAAAAATGCAAAATAAACAAGCAGAATGGCTTCAAACTAAAAAACCTCTGCAGAGCAGAATACATGTTTTTAAAAAAGAAAATACAATCCATGGAATGGGAGCAAATATTTGCAAGTCATTCACTTAATAAAGGGCCGATACCCCCAAAATATAAGGAGCTCACACAACTCAATAGCAAAAAATATAAAAAATGAAATTTAAAAAAAAACCCTAGTTTTAAAATACACAAAGTACACGAATAGATATTTCCCTAAAGGAGGCATATGGATAGAAGGCCAGTAGGTATTTTTAAAGGTGGCCAACATCATTAATCATAAAGAAATGTCAATAAAAATAATGAGCTATCACCTCACAACTGCCAGGACGGCTACTATCACAAATACAAGAGATAAATTGCTTTAGTCAACTTTCCACAAAACTGCAGGACAGAATTCCACCAAGCTTCCTGCTACGATATAATAAGGATTTGTTTTCCTCTAGTTTCCAAACACACGTTCCTGACTCCCTTCTGAGCCCTCATCGGTGATATTGACCCCATATTGTTATTAAGTCTCTCATGATGGCTTAGCTACTTTACAGTCTGTTCACAGTGGTTTAAGTACTCCCTAAGCAAATTAGGTTTCCTCTGCCAAGTTCCCCACCCCCTTCTGAGCCTTCTCTTTAGCTTCCATAGGTCTGCTAACAAACTGCTCAAGGCCTTGCAGCCTTTTCTATTGTCCTGTTTAAAATTCCAAACTCCACTCATTGCCCCTTTCCAAAGTCACTTTGGTGCATACAGGAATGTACTATAGCTGCGCCCCACTTAACGCATTACATAGCAGTGGGGGGACAGTCTGAGAAATGCGCTGGTGGGTGGTTTTGTCATTGCGTTAAAAATCATAGTGTGTAGCTACACCAACACCACCAGGCGATAAAACCTTAGGAGGCCACCATCATAAATGTGGTCTGTTAGTTCAGAAATGCCATTCTATACAGCAGAACTGTACCGAAAATCTGTACTGCTCCTAATTTCTCCCATGATAACTTACTACAGGTTTGGTTCTTCCAAACAACACAAAATTCCTCACCATTACATCAAAAGCCTCACAGGGCTCTCACAGCTGGAATCAAGACGCCCACAGCCTTCCTCCCTTCCTGGGTGCTGTTGGAAGGGCCTGTTGCCCTGCATTTTCCATTCCTAGAGGTCGCATTCTGTCCTTGGTCCTCCATCTACAAACCCAGCAATACTGGCCCTGCTGACCCATCCCTGTTTGGCCACCTCATCCTCTTTCCAGAGCCGGGAAATGTTCTCTACTTTTTAAAAATTAATTTTAGTGGTACATTTCTGATATACCTATAAAATGATCACACTCATCAGAAGGAATTTGTACCTGCACGTAATACATCTTGATTCCTTTTCCCCATCTCCCTTTTCAACCCTTCTACCCCTCCTTATTCACAAAACCTTCCTTTCATCTTTTTCTCATCTGTTCATTTTTTTCCTCTTCCCTTCCTTCCACTCCCTTTCTCCCCTCCTTTTATAACATTTTCTTCTTACTTTCCCAACATCTATCATCCATTTTGGTCCTCACAGTTAAGGAAAACGTAATTTTTATATACAGTGGAATACTTGAGATATTCTTGATAAACTTGAGAGATTTCTAGATAAAAGAATATGATTTGGGACAATACTTTTTAAGTGAAATAGGACACATATATTTAAATATCACATTGTTTCTCTTGTGTGAAAATGTTCTTTACTTTTAAAAGCTTACTTATAAGATTAGATAATATAATTTTCCCACCTTAGGGTGCCTAGTTTGATCATATCTATAAAGTTCCTTTTGCCCTATAACATAACAGATTATAGGCTCCCAGGATTGGGACATGGACATCTTTAGGAGGCCATCATTTTGTCTACTAATAGTGTAAATAACCACAGCAATAATCCTGCTATTAAAAACCCTTATCTGTAACAACCCTCATCTGTAACATCAAAAGCAATTATATTCTCAGTTATTCTTACTTCTTTTCCTCTTGGGTTTTCCTAAAATAGAACTGGTTCCAGGATCCGCAGTATCTAGAAAATTAACAGGTGGAAATGAAGAGACAGGAATTAATAAGTAAAAGTTACAAATCTTATGAAAATTCATACCACGGGAGGCTCGAGTGTATAAGGCTTTAAATTTGGATGACCATCCCTTTTTTTCCTTTACAGGAAGCCAAAAACCTGCTGAACTGAAATCTAGGAGTCCTGGATGAGTGCCGGGTCTTCTTTATTTTCTCAGTGGGACTTTGAAAGACACTCTGATATCTATTAACAAAGCTATCTGGACTCAGTTATCACTTCCCAATATCTGTGTAATTCAGTTTCTATGTTAAACGAAACAGCTCTCCTACCCTGTTTAGGTCTTAGGATTTTCTGTATGGATTAAACAATATTTTATGTGCCAAATAGTGTACAAAATCCTTATGTAAATCAGTGACATGCTGGAGGATTTCCATCAAAAATGTTACTAGATTAGGGATAGCTGATCTGAAGTCTTTCCTCCTGAAAAGTAAGTAGCAGGACCAGTTTGCTGTTGACAGAAGTCTTACTAAAGTTGTGCCAAAGTGACATTATTCACTAGCAGAAGGACACAGGGTCTTCTCGGGTTCTTGGAAAGACTGGGTGTGACTTAATGCACCAATGTGGTGAAGAAGATGCCCGAACATCTTCTGTCCAATCTTAGGGATTGTATTCCCCCATCTTGATCCCTTTTATTCTGAGATAGGGTCTCACAAAGTCTCTAAACTGCCCAGGCTGGGCTCTAACTGTGTTCTTCTGCCTACACCTCACTTAGCTACTTAATTTTAAACAGTGTATTTGTAATACTTAACCAACCCAGCCCAGCCCACTACACGTGACTCTATAAGATTTCTTCCCTCCCTGCAGTTCCCAAAGGACTCAAGTCAAGCAAATGCAGAAAGGGATTCTGGGATTGCTGGACCACCTGCCACCACTCAGTCTGGGATCTGTGGCACCCACCCCATCCAAATAGCGCGGCCATAGGCATCCTTACCCGCTGGGTCACATGCTTGGCTACTGTCTGTGCTTGCCGATGGGCCTTCTGAAATTTTGGGGCAACACATGACACAGGAACACTTCTCAGCTTCATATTCTGATTGCTCTGGTCCTGGGCCAAAATTGTGATTTTATGAAAACTTTTCACTCGCTCTGACTCCACTTCTTCCTCTGAAATCTTCTCCTTTTACTGTTCCTCCCATCTCAGCAGTCTCTCTTCTTTTCCTCTCCTGACTCTTCCTTTTTATCAGAACTAAACATGTTTTTATTTTTATTCTTTTGGTTGTTGTTATAATTACCTTGTTCACTGTGGAACTGTGGGCTAGAAGTAAGCTCTTCAGATTCTTCTTCATTCAGGGGGCGGTCCTGCAGCTCACCAGGTTCTAACAAAAGCAACAAAATTACTGTCCATGGATCCTGCAAATGGTGGCCAGAGAAGTCCTCCCCCTGCCTACCGAGCTGCACACTGACATGGAGCTAAGATGCCTGCTCACCAGGAGAAAGTACCTGCTGCAACAGTCATGTCTGATGTCTAATGGAGCTGAGCTCTTTCCATTTTGCATCTCATTTTCTACTTTTATTTTTGTACTTATAGCCCTAAGAATAAAACTAAAGTACTCATCTTCCAGGAGAAAAATATTGTTCTCTGGAAATAATAAAAAGTCAGTCTTCCTCTTCCAATGCCAAGTGAAGTGTTCTCGATAACAATGTGATTACTGATTAGTTTCATTAAACTCTTATTGCTGAGTGTATCTTATTTAAAGACGAATATGGAATTAGATATAAAGTAGCTACGTATTTTGGTTTGGAAGGGTAGCAAATATTCTCTCCACATACGTGCATAATTTTCTCCCAGTGCATGCACTCTCACTTTTCTTGTATACATTTATAGAAGTCTGGTTTTCTGTGTCTGTCTCTGATTTTCATGAGCTTTCTGAATAGTAGATGATGGTGAACCCAAGCAAATAGAGGAAGACAAAAGTCTGATAAGTCCCTGGTCAAGTTAGCCCCCTAAAACTAGTGGGTGTAGGTCCATCAATCAGTAGAATAGTATGCAAAGATGCGTGGCACACATTGCCATGCATACCTCACCAAACATTTCTGAAGGCATTGGTGTCTTGTCCATTTGTCAAAGATCAGTGCTTAGTCCATGATTTGGAGTCAACTGCTATCATATAATTTACCCTGTGTGCCTTTGTAGACTCTGCTTGGCTAGTGAATCCATGACTCCACACATGCATGAAAATACATGCATGGGTGACACACTTTTACTTTAGTCACTCAAGCAGCCAAATGCAGTGCCTCTTTGGTGTTTCTCATGGAATTATCTTTGTCAAAGTCACAATCTCTTCCTTAGAGACTTACACTTCTGCTATGTGTTCTATGATTCTAATTCTTGTACTTAACAACTGGTAACATTTCACTAATGATGGCTTTGGGTAACAGCAGGATATTTTGGATATGGCAAAAATAACACAGTTGATCAATATCTTTGTGAAACATGGCGGGGACTCTCCAAAGTCTCCCATATCCCACTAGTAAAATACTATCTTTTTATCACTATCTGAGGAAAATTCCTTTAATATTCCATCTATAAATGCACTAGATAGAGCTTCTATTTTGCAAATGGAATTAGTCACATGTATGAAAGGACTAAGTTCTGAAGTCCTTGAAAATTATACTAGATCAATTTATAGTTGATTTGAACTCTAGGATATCTATCTCCTACAGAATCAAGGTCAGCAAACAATAAAAAGGATAGGTATGCATCACTTCCTTGTAGCACATAATTCAATTACTGTAATCTCTTCAGGTTCAACTAAAGGCATTCTTTCCTTTAATACATTTATATTCTGTTCGTGTTTGGTGTTCATTTTATATTAGTTGCTTGAGACAATCAATGGTTCATCTAGACCATATTTTCTAAGGATTTTGCTAAGTCCTGTCATAGTAGGCAGAATTTGCAGATGGTTCTGGAAGATGTTCCTCCCTAACCCTGGGAACTAGGAACATAAAGAGACGTTACTGCCATGCTTAGGTTAGGTGATGTGGCACAGTTGACATTTAAAAAGGGAGATGATTATTGTGGGTCTGGTCAATCACACAAAAGCCCCTTAAAAGTAGATAACTTTTCCAGCTGGCAGCAGACAAGGAAGTCAGAATTCAGAGTGTGAGGAGGTTCCACACACTTGTGTCCTTGAGGATGTCAGGGGACGAGTGGTTTCTGCAAGCCTAGAGAGAGCACTGACCAATAACCAGCAATAAAGCTGTGGACTCCACCACAGGGAGCTAAATTCTGTCAACAACCTGGGTAAGTTTGGTTGCAAAACATTCACATAAGTGCTCAGCCTGGCTGATGCAATAATTTCAGAACTTTGAGCAGAGAATAAACTAAGCCTGCCCAGAATTCTGACCTGTGAAAGGAAACAATAACAAATGGGAATAGAGTTAAACACTGTATTAGTGGTAATTTGCCAGCTGGCCATGAGAAAAAAAAAAACAAGCCCACCATCATCTCCCAAGATTTGAGCAAGATCTAAGGGATATAAAATTCATATGCATCCTCTCTAATCCAATACACAAGTCACTTCTCTACTCTCTAGAACTGGATACCTCTTAGTCTAGGTATTGATCTGGCCAATCAAGAACATGAAACTAGGTTGAAAATACTTACATTTTGTGAAGAAAAAAAAGGCAGGGATCTATTTTTTTTCAGCCATAACTTTACTGGCTGAAGAAAGGATATTACATGTAAAGAGATATTACAAAGCGTTCAGAATGACCCAAAACCAGTAACTAAAGGACAGTTTCTAGGATAAATTGGGTCTTGAAAACAATGGGGTCACTCTTTTCAGAATTATCAGGCCTCCTCACACTTCACTACATCCAATACTTTGGAGCACCCACATTACCATAAATACTTGTATTTTGTTTGAACATAAAAAAATAGGCCATTCTCTAGAGGCACTGGTTCAAAACACTACCAACACCAAAGAAAAGGCTTATTGCCAGTAACCATAGCTTATCTAGTTGGCTCGCAGCAATTGCAAAGGGCCATGTCTACGCAGGCTTCTTGTGACTGTGTGCTTGAAAAACCTCCAGCTGGTGCTGCATGCAGTACAAATCTATTGCTGGTTGAAAGCATTCAACAGTTTGCTGACGGTTTGTTCGCTAATCATTAAACATCACTGCTACTTCCCTAGCTGTTCACAGATAGAACTCTCTCATCTAACAACTGTATAAGGTTTACTCAGTGCAGGGTCCTAGAATTTTATTTCCAGTGTTCTTTCCCAGAAAATAGTTCAGATATGAACAAATTGGATGGGCCTTCTCGCCCCTTTGGATAAGAGACTTCCTAAAAAGAAAACTGAAGATTAAAGTCCCTTTGCTCTTAGGAAAATCCACTAATATCCACCTTTGACCACAGGAAAAACAAACAATAAAGTCGCCTCAGCTAATCAGTGGGAGCTTCAATCCAGTACCCAGTTCTCCGAAGGCGCCAACCACTCACATCCCCTCATCTGCCAGCTGGCCAATCAGTGAGCGCCATGCTCTGGTTGCCCTGCTTTCCCTGCTAATGGTTGGTGGGTTCCCACACAAGCTCCCTTCTGAAGACCCTGGGCCCCAGCGACATGAGTGTCTGCGCGGAAAAACTGGTCTTTGCTTTAAAAAGAATGAATGCAGTCTTCCATTCGATCATAAGAAGCAGCCTCTTCTGTTCCTTGAACACACACATTCTCTTTCACTTTCTGGTCTTCCTCCACACTGATGTTTCCCAGCTCCCTAAATATCTGTTTCTCTCCTTGAGAGATGCACTACATCCACTCACATGGCCTCTGTGTTCATTTTTTCCATTTCTATTCTTCCGCTTACCTCCAACCCACATAGTAACTCCTCCTGATGTTCTCCTCTCCTATGAATTCTTTATCTGCTAAATAAAATCTCTTTCCGTTGTACCCTAGTAGAATTCCCTGGGTTTCCTCTTTGGATTTAGACCAGGGAATCAACCCTAAATCATGGCAGCAGCTGGGCAGGTGGCACATGTCTGTAATCCCAGAACTCTAGAGGCTGAGGCAGGAGGATTGCTGTGAGTTTGAGGCCAGCCTGGGGTATATTGTAACATAAAATGGCCCCACCGGCAGTATACTTCAGCTTCTTAGTTGTCCAGGTTAGAGTTGCCGTTCCAGTTCCAGCTGCTCCTGTCTCTTAGAAATGGGTGGTCACTAGGATGCACGTTATATAAATTAATTGCCAAGTGACAAGCCATTCTGCCTATTTCTGCTTGCTTATCCCTGATAAGCCTTGGACCATCAGAGATCAGGGCCTGATATTTTGGGAATGATCCTAATCAGTGCTCATCTGTGTGAATAAATCTGCCTCCAAATCCGGGGGGTCGTTTTGGTGTCTCTTCTTTTGTGGCAACATAAGAAAGTTCAAAGCCAGCCTGCACTATGCAACTAGACCCAGTCTCAAAACAAAACAAAACACAAAGGAACATGGCAGCATCAGAGAACTAGAAGCCCTCGTGGAGCCATCCAGGAGCCTATCTCTGCCCTTCCTGTCCTTAGGACTGATGCCACACCTGTGTCTAACACCCTTTTGCAGCTCTAGCTTCTTAAAACATGAACAACAATTTGCCTACTGAAGTCTTAAGGCTTTGGGGGATAAATGGTAACATAATTATCAAAGCACTCCAAAAGAACACTGTACGGTCCAAGGACATAATGGGGAATATTGGTTTCAGAAATAGTTCATCTGAATCCTGTCAGTTAGGATGGTACTGTTTCTTTAAAGGCTTTGTCAAATTTGCAACAAAATGACAAAAATATTAGTCTGCAGAGGAATACTACAGTTTTTCATTTTCATTGATTATAAGGAAAACAGAAATTACTGAATGAATTCAAATACTAGTGTCAATACGTCCGGAAAACAAAAACAGAAATAAAAGTGAGCTCCACCAGCCTAGCTGATGTAGCCAAGTACATGCACACAAGACCTAACATCAAACTAGACCCTAGTCATGGGAATTCTCAAGGTTTCTTTTCTTCTTGAATTTCCCCAAAACCATGAGTGAAAGTGAAAAACAGAATTCAAGGAGTAACTGGATGTTTTCACTGTAAAGCGTGTTCACAGTAAATCCACTAGGAAACACCCGCTCACACTTAATCCCCGACTCCCTCAGCCCACACAGTCCTTTCCGTATTTTCCCCTCAGGTCTTGATGGGCGCCAGCTCCAGTTCTCGGTGGAGGTCTCTGTCCTCAGACCTTCCTGCCTCTGCAGCCCCCTGGTGTGGAGGCTCACAGCTCCCATCAGTCCAGCCACCTTGCTTCCTTCCACCCAGCTCCCTATCTCTGTTTCTGAGCTTTCCACGGGCTCTGAGCCTCTCTTCTGTCTGGTACGTGAAAGGAGTTGACAGAATGGGAGGGAAAAGGAGAGATATTCCTGCCTCCAGACGGGAAGACAAAGACTCATCCTGAGTGGCGTTAGACAGCATGATTACCTTCTTCTTCATTATGTGGTGTGTGGCTTGGAACCTCCTCTGCTGCTTCTCCATTCATCAGCTGGGGAGCTTCAGGGTCACAGGACACTGAAGAGAAACGAAGACAAGATGGACCATGCACAGGGACCCAGAAACACACCTCTGTGTGCCCAGGAAGAGCCAGGAAGTCTGGAGAAAAGGAGGGGTGTGCAGGGATCGAAACTGCACCATCAAATCTCTAGCGAAAAGAGTGAAAAAGAAAGAAGATGCTGTCTTTCCTTGATGCTTCCTCCTCCGATACACACCCATGACCACAGATGCTCCCAACAAGGGTCACAAGAATTCACAAGAATCTTTCCTTGTGTTTCAACCACAAAGGGCAGGGTACATGCCAAGAACTCTCTCTCTCTCTCTCTCTTGCTCTGAGCACTGGCTGGACTCAAGAGGGCACACTCAGAGCACAAGCAGCAGCATCCCCTGCTGTGTAGGGCCACTGCCATCCACTGTGTAGGCCCAGGCTGGAAATGTCCCCTTCCCCGTGGAGTTCTACTCAGCCATAAAGAAGGATAAGTTTGGGTCATTGGACAATGGTTGGCTCTTAAGACCCCAATACTAAACAAAATAAATCAGAAACAGAAGGTTATTATTGAATGGCTTCTCTAATACAAGAGACCTGAAATAGGAATAATTTAAAAGAACGCAATTAGAGAGCCATGGTAGGAGACATGGAAGTTGGCACTAGAGATAAGAAGGGGTCTTGGGGAAGGCAGGAGGGATTGGGCACAAAAAAATGATCAAAATGAGATATGTATATACACCAGTTCCCCAAGATGAATATAACTATTATGGATCACAAACATATACTAATAAAAAAATTTAAAGAGGAAGGTGGTACTTCCTTACCTGGCCCATGACTTGCAGGGGAGCTTGAGGCTTCTGGGCGCTCCTCTGTCTCAGACATCTCTACACAGTTGTTGCCGTTCTCTGAGGGAAAGAAATGAAATCTCTGTGCACAGCCAAGGGCACAGGGTACCCCTAAAGGGAGCTCAGGGGGGATTTGGTGAAGGCGAGGGAAGCCCCAGTGTCTCCTGGCTGGGACTGCACTGTCCAGGCTCTGTCTGTCCTCTGCTCCAGTCACCACCCCCGAGGCACAGCCCCCTCCAGCTGGCTCCCTCCCGCCCACCTGGCTCTCTCCTGCTTCCTCTCCCTCTGCCTCTGCTCTGTGCACTGCCTGGCATCTGCCCTGGTCTCCAGCACCCAGTGTCTCCAGATGCATCTCCGCTCAGATGTGCTCCTGTCCCCTCCTTTCGCTACTGTCTTGTTCTCTCGCATCCTGCCATTTACCATCTTTCCCCATCTCATCTGTTTCCTTCTCCCTACCGCACCCTCTGCCCTTTCTCTTCCTGGGCACTGGCAAAGCCATCCCTGGGGTAGGAGAACAGAACCAGATCAGAGGGGGACAAGGAGCAGAGAGAACCAAGGTGACAGCACCCAATGTGGGGAATGGTGTGCCTAACAGCTCCCTTAGAAAAGAAAGACCAAGTGCTGCAAACTCCAGAGCCATTGATGCTGTTGGTGGAAATGAGGCAGAGGATGTAGGGTGCAGCCCCGCGGTGGGTGGAAGCCACAGAGATCTCCAGGCAGCATAAGGGACTGGATAATCGGACAACAAAGATCACCAGCCATAAGTGGGAAATATCAGGGCATGACCTACATCTTGCTAATAGCAACTGTGCAAAAGTGAAGAAAATGAGGACAGTGCAATAGTGCAAGGCACTCATCCTTTACTGCAAGAGGGAAGCCTGCAGGACAGGAGTTTCTAGTACCAGAAAGATATTGGTTTCTACTGGAAGTGTTCAATTTCTGAAAAACGTTGCAATGGAGAAGATTCTAGAATAAGTATTCTGTGGTACGTGGAGGGATGTGTTTGCAAGAGATGCCTGGCAGATATGCTCTTCAGAACCATGCCGTTATCTGACAGCAGGTGAAAGAGCCAGGAGGTAGACTAGAGCTTTGAGTGTATCTCAGCCATTCTACTTGGGGAGACCTCAATCGGAAACTCCCTGCAGAGACTCTTTCCTGGAAGTTGCTCTGTCTGGTGACTCCTACTTAATAGTGACTTCTTCCCTTAGGCACAGTTTTCACCATCTGCAAATTTTTTCTTTGATTCACTTGTTTCTCTGCATCACCTTCTCTGCACTTCTGTCCTGTATTATGGTTATTATGGGGGGGGGTATTGGGAATTGAACTCACAACCTCACGCTTGCCAGGCAGGTGCTTATACCACTGAGCTAAATCCCCAGCCTGCATTATTATTAATAGTACTATTTCTTTGCCTCTCTGCATCTGTCTCTAATTTTCTTCCACATCGTATCTCTCATTGAAGTGCCTACTTTGTCTCTCAACCTCTGTTCTCCTATCTCTGTTTCTCTGGGGTTTATCTTAATCCCCGTGGGCACCTGCATAATTCCAGTATTTTCTGTATTTTCCTCAATCTTAAAGATCTTGAGCTCTGAGTTAACAAAAGTTCTCCTATTTTCACAGGAATCACGGCACCGGAACACTTCTGTGGTCAGCTCTCGCCTGAGAATCCCTTGCATGACTTCTCTAGCCTGTAAGATTTCAGTCACAAAACTTATGTCTAGGTACTTAGTACTAAGTACTTCCACCAGCAGCTAAAATAATTTCTTCACCTCAACTGCCTTAGCCTGGTGATACGCCTGTGTGAATCAGCCTGGCACCTCCTCAGGGGCACCTCAGCCTGACTTCAGCATATTCTCTCTCCACATTCTCTCCACAGGATGCCCCCACTCAGCCATTCCCCTCGCCTTTATCCTGGGTCTCTCTCAGTTTTGAAAAACAAAGCAGAAAATGAACATAATTCCATCCTCCACATGCAAACATGGGAAAGAAAAGAACAGGATGGAGGAAGAGGGAAACTTTTCCTGCCACAAGGCCACTGGGAATCGTTGCCCCTTCCCTTGCTGGTAGCTGGCAGGAGGCTGAGTGCCTCCTCTCCTCCTCTGTTAGCCTCCGGGGGGAGTCTGCGGGTCACAAGTCTCACAGAGAACAAGGAAACGATGACCCTTGACCTGGAAGCAGATCCCAGAATGAGGAGCCGCCATGATGGGAAACCCTGGGCCTGTTCCGCACGGTGAGAGCCACACTGGGTTTTGCTGTGCCTTTTTTCTGTCTTGTACCTCTCCTCCTTCTCCTTACTTCACCGGTCTCCCGTTGGCTTTGCCTCCACACATCTGCTTCCTCGGTGAGCTTCTCTTCAGCTGTGCTGTTGTCTCTGTGGCCTTCTCTCTGTCTGTGTCACTGAGTCCCATTGCTGTATCTGTTTACGTCGCTTCCCTTTACCTCTCCTATCCAGTGCGCAGGCTCCATTTCCCTGTTCTCTGTCTCTCTGAGTTTCCTCTCCTCCACCAAGATTTTATTTTTATTCTCAAAGTCTTCTGAAATCTATTTTTAACTGACGAGCATAGCTATACATATTAATGGGATATCGTGTAATGTCCACTATACATACGCATTGCATGTTTAAGCCAGGTTAAATGTATTTAGCTTCTTAAACACTTGTCATTGCTGTACTGTAAAAACTTCCAAAACCTTTCTTCTGTTGTAGAGTCTTGAAACATGCAGTCACCGTACGATGCAACAGCACTCAGGGCCTCTTGCTCCTGTCTAACTAGTTTCATACTAAAGTCGTTTTTTGTGGTTTTTTTTTTTTTTTTTTTTTTTTTTTGGTACCAAGAATTGAACTCAAGACCTCATACTTGTCAAGCAGGTTCTATACTACCAAGCCATAACCCTGGCCTTGAGCTATATCCCTGGCTCTAAAGTCTTATACAGGGCCCCAGTCCACTCCTCCAGAACCTGGAGAGCTCTGTGAGCTTCCTCATTCTACTCTGACTCTGTGACTGCTGTAGGCCCTGGCTCCTTCCTCTCTCATCCTCCCTCAGCTTCTCTGCTTACCGACCACCATGACGCGACCAGCTTTCCGGCACCACACCCCTCTGCCATGATGGCTCTGCCTCACCACAGGCCTGCAGTTGACAGAAGCAGCAACTATGGACTGAAACCTTCAAAACTGAGAGCCAAAAATAAGCCTTTTCTCCTTTAAGTTGCTTTTCTCAGGTTTTCATCATGATGAAAATCGGATTAATATGGAAAGGTGTGTTTGGGATTGAGTTATAGACGGAAGTAGATAAGGGTGCCTGGGCAGAGGCTGATCACCTCTGAGGATATTAGAGGCACCATTTTGATAACTGGGGACTCTGTCATTTAAAAACTCACTGCCAACTTGTCATCCTGGTACCAGAAGTTGGGTCTGTCCAGTGACTCTTCCATTAATCCCTCCAATGTTTCTTCTCTCTACATTGCAGACAGTTTCTGCTTTCATCTGTCTTCCTTTTTCTTTCCTCCTATTTGCTCTCTTTTTCTCTGTGAATAACTTTGGTGCATCCTCCCCAAAGCACCCAATTCATAGCATTTTCTGTTTCTCCTTTAATATAATTTTCCACCTTTTAAACTCTGCCCTTTGTTTGATAATTGAACTCACTTCTTTTTTTTCCCAGTGTGCTACCTGTTCTCTCTAGTTAACTAATCTTTCAAACTAAAATTTTAATCTAAAAATGTGAATTTAATTTCCTCTGTATATTGTCTCATCTCTCATATCGTCAAAGTTCTTTTCTACAGTGTAAGGTCCCATGCTTCTGGCACAACCACAGACGAAGTAGTTGAAAATTTCCTCTCTTCACTGATAACATGCCTCAAACTGGTGATGTCTGGAGCCCGTGTCTGTTTAGGTAAAATCAACAATCACCCAGATCTCTATTAACCACTCTATACATGTTTTCCGTTCTCCCTTGCTTTGTTTATGTTCCCATACCCTCCCTATCCGTCTGAACTCAGCCTTCTTGGCTGCTTGTTTCTCCTGAGGAAAAGCTGGCCGTCTGTCTGCAACAGGGATGGGGGATGGTGAGGAATGGGTGGGTGGATGGATGGAGAAATGGTGGGTGGACAGATGAATGGATGGGTGAATTGGTGAATAGATGGATAGACCAGTGGATGGATGAATGGATGGACAGGAAAGCAGGTGAAATACTAGATGTGTCTGTGTTGAACTAAATATAAATAGGCAAAATGGGTAGCCAGAAGTGCTGGCGCTTGCCTGGAGTCCTACCACTCTAAAAGACAGGCAGGTAGACTGAGTTTGAGCCAAGACTGGGCAGCTTAGTAACAGAGACAACCCCGTAACAAAATAAAATATGAAAAAGAATTTGAGGATGTGGCCCAGAGCAAAGGTCCTGGGTTCAATGCCCAGGGCAAAAATAGTAACAATAATAATAGATAATTTTAATCTTCATTACCGTCTGCATCGTAAGGTAACAACCTGGGCATTTCTTCTGATTCTCCTCCTTCATCTACTTGGACAGCAATTTCCCAGGGAACTGAGGAGAGAAACAAGAACATGATACACAGATGACAGTGACCCAGATGCCCACTCAGCTGTGGTCACGGTAGGCTCTGGTACTCAGGGTGCAGGACCACTGCTGGGAATAAGGGCACATTTGCACCCGCTAAGCTTTGTTCCACCCTCTCCAGCACATCTCGAGGCTCCCTGGCCCTGCCTCGTGTCTATCTTCTGTCTGTAACCCTGTCTCCACACATGGCTGCTCCAGCACCATCACCCTGAAACTACCCATGGATCTCTCTGACCCAGCTCCTTCTTCCTGACTTCCATGTTGTGCCGGCAGCCCAGTCACACGGGACAGGAGTGATGTTTCAGTCAGGGACAAGCCACATGTGTGGCTGTGATCCTGCGGGAGTTTGTACCTAGCGATGTAACTGTCCCCTAGCCTAAGTCCATGCTATGATACCCACACCACAAGGAAATCGTTAAACAACACATCTCCCAACATGCACCCCCATCACAAAGTGCCTCATCTGTGCTGAGATTCCAGATTCACTCAGGCCCATTTAGGAAACTCTATTTGTCCCCTACTCTGCATTTGTACCTTCTTCTGGCCACACGCTAGTGTGTGTTTGTGTCGGGGATGGTGAGGAGGGAAGGAAGGAAAGCGTCCCCTGCCTACAGACAGGCCTACAGTTTCAGTGGGGCTACTGCTAGTGTAAACCATGATTACCTCGCTGGCCAGCCAGTGCCACTCTGGACAACTCTTCGACATCTGTTCCATTTGTCCTCTGGAGATCCAGGGGTTCGTGGAAAGCTGAAGGGAAACACAGGATCTGACCAACCATACTTGGAGGCGGGGACAACCTTGGGCTTCCCGCTGAAGTCTGGCGTTCAGTGCCCAGGTCAGCACTCACTCCAAGGATATCATCTGGGACCTCCCACCCCGAGCCAGGTCCTGCCTCTCCTCCTTCTGCTCCACCCTGTTCCCTTCTTTCTCCTTCTCGTTTTTTGGTCACCGTGTGTTGTTGCTTCTACAACCAAGAAACACTATGCCAGTGGTGCTCCTTATGATGTGTCCAATGCATGTCTTGGTTTTTCCTTCTGATTCTATTTTTCTGGGGCTCTACTTCCCACACAGCACACTCCAATCTTATCCTACATGCGTGTAATCCTAGCACTTGGAAGGCAGAGGCAGGAGGATCACTGTGAATTCAAGACCAGCCTGGGGTAACATAGTGAGTTCAAGGTCAGCCTGAACTATATAGCAAGACCCTACCTCCAACAAAACCAAGAAGAATAAAAGAGAGAGGGAGGGAGAGAGATCCAACAGCCTTTAAGAATGGAGATAGGAAGAAAGGAAAGAGTGAGGAAGAGGGAGAGGGAGGGAGAGAGGCAGAAAATAAAGCAAAAGGAGGACCTTTGTTTTAACTGACTCAGGGAAGACGATCTAGTGAAAAGGAAAGGTGGCAGTGAAGAGGAGCTGATGCTGCCCAGTGGGACGGATGGCAAACCACAAAACCAGTGCAAACCTGCTTTCTGACTGGCACAAACAGGAAGTGACCATTGCCATATCTGTGCCAGTGATGTAGTAGGTAGGTGGCAGTGGGACATGCAGGAAGCCAGCTCTGGGCGCTGAATTTCAGGGCTGCACTTCAAAGTCACCCAGCAAACACAGAGGAATACATAAGACCCATGAGACAGGAAGGGGAAAAAAGCAACTATAAATGAGGAAAGATGCTGCCCAGAAATTCTGATAAGGGAGCACACTTTCGGGGGGCCACTGGGGATGAGGGAACAGGAGGGGAAAGGCAAAGAGGATCTATGGGAACAACAGATGCTTTCCCACACCCAGGACACACTGACGTCACATCCGGGCAACACCTGGAGCGGGGCATGGGGAAATCTGTGTGGTCCAGAGCCACAGAAAATGTATGTTAAGTACGGGATACAGGCAGTGGGACTGGTGGCAGGGAGCACGGTCCCCGTAATCCCTGGAGAGTAAATGTCCCCACAGGTCACGCTGACTGGGTCAGCAGCCTGTGGCACTATAGGCAGGTGGCAGATCTTTTAGGTGGCAGGTCTCATGGCAGGAAACTAGGTCATTCACCAGGAGCCCTTCCTCTCCCCTTCCTTTTGCTTTCTGGCCACCATAAATGAGCAACTTTGCTCCTAACCATGATGCTCTGCCTCACCCAAGGACACCAAGGACTGAAACCGGGAGTCAAAAGAAACATTTCCACTTTAAACTGTTTTCTCACAGTGACAGAAAGCTGACCCACACAGAGGGGATCAGAACTGAAGAGATATGGGCTGTGTAGGTAACACCATTCCCTGGGTACCCGCAGCCTGGATGCGTCTTGGTTACAGAGAGGATATTGCTCAGAATCTGTGCCTCAGTATTTGGTTTCCTTTGTCGCTTCCTCTGATGTGAAGGTATCACAGTGCAGAAATGACAGTGCTCTTCTTATAATCAATGTGTAGTTTTCCCAAATTCAACGCATCCTTCATACTGACTTCTACTTTTTCCCTGCTAAAATGTCCATTATTGCTTCCTTGGTTCTCCAAAAACCAGAAACATCAAATTCCTTAGCGCTAGGTGTCAGATTCTCCAAAATCAGCTTCCAAATCTCCCACTAGCCCCTTGTGATCCAGTGTCCCTTTCACACCTCACAGCCCCCTGTGCTGCCCTTCCCTGGTGCCTGGGCGTGGACTGGGCTTCTCTGGTGATGTGTCCCGGAGGGACAACCATTTGTGGGGTTTCCTGGCCTACATGTAAGCTCCAGAGATGTGGGTCATGTGTGTCTTCTCCATTGTATTTCCTTTGCCACATATTAAGGAAGAATGAGTGGATGGATTGGCCCTAACTCCCTCCCACTCAGAAGTCATTGTGTGTCATAGTTACCATTTGGGAAGCTTCTGAGAATCTCTCTTAAACCAGGATAGGCCTGTAGGTTGGCTCTGCTGAATAACACTTTCAGGAGCGATGGGCAGAATGTCTTCTCCAGCTCATGGAGGACGTCATACATCACTCTTGTCACTGGGACCAGGTTTGCACAAGTATCTTGAAAATGCTTAAAGACATTGAATGAAGAATGGTGTGACTTTGGATTTATGGGTTATAAAAGACGGTTAGATTGATACACTGATAATTTGTTTCCTCCTAAAATGCTAGAATTTGGCATAAATTTCAACGACTTAAGTGCCCTCTGCCATATAGAGCATTATTTTTGTGAATCTGGCTCTGTGACATTGATACACAGTTGAAAAGAGAGAGGAATTTTAAAGAATAAATGGAAACAAAGCTTTTTAAATAAGGAGAGTGTGTTGGTTACTTTTCTCTTGTTGCCAAGACAAAATACCTGATGCCCAAAATTAAGGAAAGGAAGGTTTATTTAGCTTACAATTTGCAGAGGTTAGTCCATAATCAGCTGGCTCCAAGGCAGGGTGGTGTGGCACAGGGACAACCATTCATAGCATGGAAGACAACAAAAGCAACAAGAACAAAAAGGGAGGAGCACGAGAGAAGACTCTTTCTGTCCCTTATCTTGTACGGAGGCCACATCCACTTGTGTAGCACTCACACCCATAATCCCAGCATTGGACCATGAATCAATCACAGACTCTAAACACCTGCTGCCATGACTGCGTGTGGCTTTGGAGAGGCATCCAGACACAAACCACAACAGAGGAAAAGAGGGGTTGAGGGAACAGAAGGGAAATGGGGGGGGGCACCAAGATATATCACCTACAGGTACAAATTCCCTATGGTGAATGTCTAAACTGAACTAATAAACTTAATTCAAAAAAATAATAAAAGTGTGCTCAAAGTTGAATGTCATGTAGGACTTTAACAGCCAGGCCACAAGTTTTCAAATGTGACCCTTCTGCTTCCTAGATAATAACCATCATCCTCTTGGGACCAGGCTGGCCCAAAGGACTGCAAGAAAACAAATGACCACTTTCCTCTTCTGTGACCCTCCCTAGGGGCAAATAAACCTCACAGTTCCTATATCACAGGGATGGTTCATCCTCAGTCTCCCCAAGGAATCCATCAGTGTCTTTACGTGCATTCTAGGGTTGCAGAAAAGTCTAAAGAAAAAGAAACGAAGCATTTACTTTCAAATTTATCCTGGTGTGACTCAACTAGCCTGTGAGTCTTAACTTTCAGGATTGAGTGTTTGAAATAAGTGGGCTTTGTAATAAAGCCCTGCCTGGATTGCTTACTGACTATAATCATAGTGAATGTTAGTACACTACACTGCAGCAGAAAATGCCCTCCTCAGGTCAGTCTGTTAGTTGCCCAGTCATAGTTCCCATTACAAGCTCCTGTTGCTTCTGTCCTCTAGAAACAGCTTGTCACTGTGATGCATGGCTGGTCACTATAATGCATATTATAAGAACCAACCAGTAACCACCAAATACTCTGCTTCTGTACTTCCTGCTTGCTTATCCCATATAAGCTCCACCAAGGAAAAGGGCCCAACATTTTTATAAGGATTGATTGTCAGTGCCTGTCTGATGTTAAATGGATCTGCCTCAAAATCCTGGGTGTCATTTCCATGTTTCTGCCTGCCATGGCACTACAAATGTAACCAAGACCCCAGCCGGGAAGAATTCCTGCTCCATCACCACAAGGCTTTTCAGCCCGTTGGCTGCACTCTGAAGTTTGGCAGAACAGAGCACAGGGCAGCTTTACCACTGCCAGGAACTTCCTGTCACTTACTTTATACATCTGCTCAGAGATGATGGCGTGGTCCCGGAGGATCATAAGGAAAGGATACGGCTTCGTTATTGCACTTGCAATATCCACCTTGTTTATTCTGAAGTGCTTGAAAATGTGCTCACATGAAACTTGCTGTTTTCTGTTCTGGTCCTCTGTGATGACTCTGTGAATATATCATGATGATACCAGGCTACTTAATTTTATTTGTCAACTTGGGCAATGTTTTTGGATAAGATTAACATTTACATAGGTGAATTCTCTGAAGATCAATTGCCTTCCACTCTGCGGGTGCTCTCATTCAATCAGTCAAAAACCTGAGTAACACAAAAAGATCAGCTGCTCTAAGGAGATTCTCCATCGGACTTATTTCTGACTAGACCTGCAACACGGGCTCTCTGTGTCTCCCCACTACAGATTTTGGACTCGGCAGCCTGCCTAACTGTGTGAGCTCAGTTCCTTATAACAAATATCTCTATGTATATTGTTGGTTCTGTTTCTATACAGAACTCTGATTAACATATACAGACAAAAGAGTAATTTTAAAAATGAGATATCGCCAAATTAACACCAGTAGGCCTGTCTTCTGAGTAAATGACAAAGAAAGAAATCTTAGAAAGACCTAAAGATGCCCTTCTTTAATCTGTTACCACAGGCGAGGGAAATGGTATTTTGCACCATAAAATTTGTTCAAAGACTCTCATCTGGTAATGTTTGAATTAGAATGGTCACACAAATATCAGTATTTTCCCCTGGTCCAACATGGAAATTCATGTGAGTTTTCAAAACCCCGTTTTTCTGTATATCACCTACCTGTGGAGGTTATGTATGGAAACCTCTAAGACCTCTGAATTTCAGACATTTAGATTATACCTGAAAAAGTAAGTCCTAAACTAAAAAAAATGTTTATAATTCTGATTCTTATTTATGAATTGTTCCTCTTATTAATAATGCCTTTAAAAACGTCTCTGTTTCTACCTGGTGTCATGGCTTATAGGATTTTTTTTATCCTATTACAAGTAGGTCACTGAAACTTCCTACTCCTGAAACATTCATCAGAATAGAATTAAATACCATTTCTTCATTTAATTCTTTAAAAAAGAAAAGTTTTTCTGGTCAAAGAGGCTTGATTGAAGTGCTTTTCTTTCTCTAGATGTCTCCTAAAATGACAGTAAAAGAACTTAAGTCTCAAGGACAAAGAGGGGATATTAGATGAGAAATTAAACCAGCGTTTGAAGAAAGTAAGTGGTCAGAGGAACAGTAATTGCTGTGAGTGAAAGATTCTATCTCCTCTGATCAGAAAGGGATCCAGCGGGCCCTGCAGACCAGTGGAGAGGTAGGTGTGCTTTGGAAGAAAGCATGGGGTGAAAGGCTTCATTTGAAAGGAAAAACATAAAACAATCTGTTCCCCAGCACAGCACAAATACATCTGGACAGGAAGCGAGGCTTTCATCTTAAGAAAAACCTAAAAAGGAAGGCTGTCATGCTCAGGCATGCAGGGTTCCCCCAGGAAACCCGCAAGTTCATAATGCCATTACATGGCATTTAAGTTAGTGTTTCATCTTCTCGCACTAAGAATGAACAACAGGCATTTGTACAAACCTCAATCCACTCCATCCATGGACTAGAAATTAGATGAGCAACAGGCAAAACCAGACCCAGCAAAACCAGAAATGTTGCAGGACACAGCAGAGAATTTCTAACAAAGCAAACATTACCACACAGGTATGAGACTATATTGTGGCCAAGATAATATAATGTGGAAAGAAACAACCCGAAAATAACAGCAAGGACCTGGAAAGCATTATGGTTGCTGAAAGTTTGCTTTTTTTTTTTAAGTTACTCGAACGGTTATAAAGTAAGATCATTTCCCAGAACAAGGTGGGGGAAAACCCATAAAAGGGAACAAAAGTGAAAGATATTGAAATGTTAAATGTCTAAAATAGTTACGCAAGTCTATAGATTTAGAGGTAAAGAGAAGTGGCAAAAATGCACACCCTGTTTAGCTATCCATACACAAAGATAAAGCAGACACTGACCTGTGCCCTGACTGAGAGGAAAGAATGAGCCCGCCCCTCCCGGCCTCCTGGCAGTGAAGGAGCCCCTCTAACAGCCCAGCATGGTTAGGCATCATATCTGCCCTGTGCCACTGTGCTGTGCTTCCAGGGGACCCCTGCTCCTCACTCAGAGAGTCTAGGCGGCTCCTCTTATCTGCTCCATTCTTACTAATGAGCCAGGACAGTTTCCTTGATAAGTACCACAACTAGAGTCAAGAAATCAGTCTTCCACGTTCTGTTGTATAAGAAGTGAAATGGTTGCCAAAACCAGTTAAAAACAGCAATGTCTAAAAGTGGTCAGTTGTTCTAGAAAAGTGATTCTCTAAGTGTGATCTAGGGGAATTCTGGGATTGTATAAGACCTTTGCAAGCATCACCAAGCTCGAGACTGTTTTTGGAATAATATTAAGGCACTATTTGCCCTTTACTTCAGCATTCTCTCTAAATGCACAGTAGAATTTTCCAGAGATTATATGGCCCATGCCATCATCAGTGCAATTTACAGGCAGAAGCAGAAAGAAGAGAGTGCAGCATGAAGCGAGACACTAAAGACACTTAGAGAAAGGGAAAGAAAAGCTAAATCTTTCTTTTTATTTTGGAAAATATTGCTATTTTTTTTTTTTTTTTTTTTTTGGTACCGGGGATCGAACTCACGACCTTGCACTTGCCAGGCAAGTGCTTATGCCGCTGAACTAAATCCCCAGCCCTAAATATTGCTATTTTTATAAAAATATGACATTTATATTAGCAGTCCTAGGGTCCAAAAAGACATCTCAAGAAAAATTTCAAAATACTTTGAACTGAATTAAATGAAAGCTCGACTGATCAACGTATGGGCTGTAGCCATGGCAGTGCTGAGAGGCAACTATGCAGCCCTAAGTGCATGTTAGGAAAGAAGAGGCCAGGCATGAGTACACACCTGCAATCCCAGCGCTCTGGGACACCGAGGCAAGAGGACTGAATTCCAGCCCAGTCACAGAGACTTGGTAAGACCCTGTCTCAAAGATTTATTTAAAAAGGGAGGTGAGGCTGGGGATTTAGCTCAGCTGCAAAAATGCCTGCCTGGCAAGTGTGAGGTCATGAGTTCAATCGCCAGCACCAAAAAAAAAAAAAAGGTGGGAAGGTGAGGGCTGGAGATGAAGAGAATTATGAAGTCCTTGGGGTCAAACCCCAGCACTACAAGGTGGAGGAGGAAAAAAAGTAGCGGAGGACTAGAGGGGAGTAGGGAGTGAGGGGGAGGGGAATGACGAACAGAAGAAGAGGCGGAGGAGGAAGAGGTGAGAGGAGATGAGTAGGAGGAGGAGGATGTAATTAATGGGCATTTTCATCTGAAGAACTTAGAGAAAAGAGGAGCAAGTTAAGTCACACACAAGCAAAAGAAAGTAATAAAAATGAAAGTAGAAATTAAATAAAACTGAAATAAAGCATGAGTAAATTCAATGAAACCAAAAGCTCATTTCCTAAACAGACCAATAATATTTCCAAGCCTCCCCCCAAATTCAAAGACCCAATCCAAAATGAGCATCTGACATGAACACACACTTCTCAAATGAAGAAATACAGTGAATAAATATAAAAGAAAATGTTCAAAATCACTGATCATTTGAGAAATGCAAATTGTTGAGAGAACTTAATTCATTAATTAATTGTTGATTGAAAGAAATCAACATATAACAAATGCTGGAGGGACTGTGGAGAAAAAAGAACTTCTTCTCCACTGCTGGTGGGAGTGCAGACTGGTGTAACCACTGTGGAAATCAGTGTGGAGATTCCTTAAAAAACTAGGATTAGAGGTTCCATTCAACCCAGCTATTCCCCTCCTGGGAATCTTCCCAAAAGAATTAAAAACATCATACCAGAGTGACATATGTGTACCCATGTTCATAGCAACAGAATTTGTAACAGCTAACTCTTGAAAACAACCCAAATGCTCATCAATCAAGGAATGGATTTAAAAAATGTGTATTTTTAATATAATGGGGTACTGCTCAGCCATAAAGATGAATAAACTGGATTTTTATAGGTACATGAATGCAACTTGAAACCAAAATGAAATAAATGAGATCCATATGTGTAAACATATTGTCTCACTAGTGTGAGAAGCTGAATGAATAAATAAGATCCATAATGTACAAAAGACACTGTTAATTGGAAGAAACTGTTTTTAAAAAAAGACAAAAAGAAAAAGAAAGAGAAAAACTGATGGGGGCAAGGGGCAAAAAAGAGAAGAGGGAAATATATATATATATAATATATGTATGGAATATATATAATATGTTTTATATATATATATATATATATATATATGGAATATATATATATATATTCCAAATAGTTCAGATAGTTATAAAGCTAGTTTCTCTTAGTTCATTGAAAATAAAGATTTGTGCTAATATTGTTTGGACAATATTTTATACCTATATCTTGTACTCTGAGTAACTACTATGAAGATAACAATATGCAATGTATTAATTATTGTTATTCTCCTATTAGCCTGATTTGAAACTGTTTCATTTTATTTGTATTTTTCTTCCCATTTTCTTTGAAATAATAAAAAAATTTTTTTCCAAATCTCTAGCCATGCTAACAAAGACAACACAAAAGGCAAAGACCTGATTTACTAATACAGAATAAAGCAGGATTATCACCATGAATTGCACAGACATGGAAAGGATAACAAAGAAATTCTATGGATAGCTCTGTCCCTATGGGTTTGGTAACAGGAAAAATAGACAGTTTTCTTAAAAGACACAAATTACCAAAACTCACACAAGGAGTGACGGACCATCCATTAAAGAAATGGAATCAGTAATTAGCAGGCCTCCAGAGGAGAAGGCTCTGGGCCCCAACAGTATTACTAGTGGATTCGACCGAATGTTTAAAGAAGAAATTATGTTGGGGCTGCACAGCACCAGAGGTTGCCATGGCTCATATTTAAAAGTTTTCATATATTTTTACAGTTTTAATTTGTAGGAATTTCTGTTTGCTACTTTCACTTCCTCTTACTGAGTACTAGAAGGTACTGAATTAACTGTGGGGCCCAGGGCCATACAGATGGCTCAGAATAGAACTGGCCCCCAACTGCACAGACAGCAAAAAGGTCAATAACAGATCGTCATTTGATTTGGATTTTAATTTTTCAAAAAAAGGAGATTTTTGGGCCAGTGTTGTTTTTTGGAGCAGGGACAAGGAACATGGGGGAGTCAGAGGTCACAGGGAATCCTTCCATCCTGCAGCGGGGCTCAGAAGGAACCAGGAAGCAGCGCCAGTCCAGTCCTGAGGCCGTTAAAGGAGAGGCAAACACCACCAGCAACAAGGCTGGTCTTGCTTCCCCAAAACTATCCAGCTGCAGTAAAAATCCACTTTTCACACTTTTCATCTATTGTTATCTCATCCTGTTCATACTCATAGGGAGAGGCTGGGTAGACATCTAACAAGTGTGAACATCGACCCTACCAAAGATGAAAGACAAGGAGAGGACACGATGACTTACCTGCAGCCGAGATCCCTGCCTCCGCTTGCCATCCTCTCCCTGGGGCCCCGCTGGGCCATTTACTCAGCTTAGAATCACACCGAGTCAGAACTTCACAGCCTCCGTGCCTGCCCAGAGCTGTGGGGGAAGCTCTTCCAACTGGCCCACGTCACCATCAAAACGTTTGCATCAAAAGGGGAAAAGAAAGTGCAAAATTGCCTGGGTGACGTGACTGCCACCATGTGCTGGCCCAGCCCTGCTCAGTCTCTCCACCCAGTGAGGGGCCCAGAGCCAGCCCCGAGTGCTCCAAGAGCCAGCGAGGGTCACTTGCTCAAACCAAGGAACTAGACTGGAAGAGGCATTTGACTGAAATGCACTGAGGCTATCTGCACAGCATCCATGGGGAGGAAGTGAAATCCATGTTCGCCGCTTCCCCTGGCGTTTCCAGGCTTCTCTCTGGCCTGAGGCTGGCTGAGCACCTTAAGCAAAGCCGTTACTGACGGACATAAGCCAAGCATCTGAACAGGGTCACTTTACAGCCGCAGCCAACGTGGCTTCTGCTGTCACTGGCAAGTAGCAGGCTCCTCAGGGAATGGGGATGGGTTTGGATCTGAGATTATCTAGAACTTCAAGACCAGTGTGAACCAGTGGGATGCTTGCCGTGCATTTCTTTGTACACAGCTGGTTGTTTGTTTGTTTGAACTTATCCCTGACCTTCATTCTGTAAAGGATTTGAACAATTTACAAAATAACTACACCAGTGTCGTTGAAAGACAAAGAAATAGAAACAAAGGGCACATAAAAATCAATAAATGAACCCAGAAGACTAAATTCAGGCAGAGTGAGTGAAAGACAAAGGGGCTGTAGGAACCCGGGCACCTGGGGACAGCGTCTGACAGAGCAGTGACCAATGTGCGTGAGGGCTGCCAAGCAAGAGAACAGCTGGGCTCTCCAGACACAGATGCCCCCAGGCCCCACTTCCCCTGGCTCTTCACGGATGTGCGAGAGAACTTGGACACATAGGTTTGCAAAACAGAGGGCCACTGATGTGTAGCCATTTTCCCCTTTCTGACTTCTTTCTCCCCAAGAAGCAAAGCCCAGTCTAAGACCAATTCCAGGACACTGACAAGGACAACTTTTCCTGTGGGCGGTGTCACAGTGCTGGGACTGTACAGGAAATTCCCTCTCCCTCTGCCTCCCTCTTTTGCTCTCTCTGATTTTGTGAAGGGGTGATGTCCTGTGTTCATGTCCTTTGTGGGTCACAGTGACGTAGACAAGACCTGCTCTGGGCAGCAGGCAGGCCCAGGCCACCGCTGAGCTGGGCATTTCTGCTACTGTGTCAGTTTCTTTTGCTAACAAGCACCAGGTCTGTGGTGCTCCTCAGCTAAGTGCTTTAAGACTGGGCCTTCAGGGTGGCTGCCAAGCGGGTCAGCGAGCTCTGCTCTGCAGCACCGTGCATTCGCCTGGGATCTCAGCTCTAGGAACCACAGTCCTGTTTTTCCCTGTGTTGAGGAAGAACCTTTCCTGCCCGAGGGAGGCCGAGGCTGAGACCATGAGCCCCCCTCTGCCTGCTTCTAGTGCATGGGCAGCGTTTTCTTCCCAGTGGGGCAAGGAGACCAGCTGCTTCCTTGATCTGTGCTGCACCCAGACGTAGGTAAGTGGGTGATTCTCTAGAAAATCAAGTCCACACTTGCGTCTGACTCCAAAGACTTCTCTTAGTTTTGCTGAGTGCACTAGGATCTGACACTTGGGATCAGAAAGTGATTTGTTCAGGCTTCACCACAGATTTGCCAGTTTACCCCTGTTTGGCAAGTCTGTCAAAGTCTCCTTGTGAATACTAATGAAATTAGCTTTATTTCCAATTTGGTCAGATAACCAGTCCAGCTAGGTCACATATCGTTGCAGATATGTTGCTTATAACTCATTCCCTGGAACTGGGCAGGGTGGCACATGCCCTTAAACAGCCCTTGGGAGGCTGAGACAGGAAGATCATTGCAACTTCGAGGCCAGCCTGAACTGCACAGGGAGACAGTCTCCAAAAAAGTAGTTAATTAATTAACTAAAATAAAACAATCCATTCCTTGGGACTCAATTTTTCAATCAGCCAGGATTTGGAGGTATAAGGAGCTAGAACCAGCTCTGGCTAGCTGATGGAGAAAATGAGTATCTTGAAGGTATATTGGGTAGCTCACAGAATTTGTGGCAGGCTGGTGGAGTAAGCTAAGAAAATGCACAGTCCAGACAGTGGGATCCCCAGCCTAACTCATTCTAAGTACATGGTGTGAGGCCATTGATTTGGTGAATGTATTTTTCCTTTCCGATTAGAAATGAAGATCAGGGGCTGGGAATTTAGCTCAGCAGCATAAGCACCTGCCTTGCAAGCAGGCGGTCGTGAGTTTGATCCCCGGTACCGATAAAAAGAGAAAAAAAAAAAAAAAAAAAAAACAAATGAAGATCAGAAACGTCTTCCTTTCACATGCATCATTTAAAATAATAATTATGCTGGCTTACCCACTCTTTGTAATAATGTGTTTTACTTTTCTCTCACTGCTGAGACAAAATACCTCACACCCAAAATTAAAAAAGGTTTATTTAGCTCACAGTTGGTGGAGGTTTCAGTCCATAATTGGTGGGCTCCAAGGCAGAGTGGCACACGGCAGGGGATGGGGGGCCCAGAGTTCATAGCAGTAGAAGACAGCAAAAGCAACCAAGGAAGAGAAGGAGAGAAGACTCTTTCTGTCCCTTACATGGTATTCAGGCTACCTGCCCTAGGATGGATACAGAACTCATACCTTTAATCCTAACCAGAGTTACGCCAAACCAGTCAGTGGACTGATTTACTAATCACACACCCCTAATCCCAGTATCACACACTCTAGACTCAGCCGTTTCTGTAAAGGCTCAGTGGCCCCATGAGGTTTGGGGGAGACATCTGGACACAAGGCATGTCAGTAATGTTATGGGCAACCCAGTTAGACAGAAATATTACAGGCAGTCAGACAGGGCTGGACTCTTGAAGGAGCCAGTGTAGAAGATGAGATACCCTGCCACTGTGGGGAAGAGTCCCTCTGCTGGGGGCCAGACCTCACAACACAAGATGAATCAAATGTACCACATACTTCCTAAGGATAAGCAACAGGAATTGATATTCTGAATAGGTCTCACCCCGAGGGAGCCAGGAGTCACTATCCCAGCCCCCTACAGGAAGAGTCACTGCTCTTTAAGTGTGCCTGCTTGCAACGTGACTTCCTTTCCCATTGGTCCCCAATTTAATCAATTTTACCTGAACAATTAATCTTATTGATTGGCCATTGTTCTGTCCCACCTCATGCCCTCCTTGTGAGTTCCCATTTTCCCACCTTAGACCCACCTCACTTTGTGGTCTTACTCTATAAAAGTCCCTAGAAAACACAGGGTCCTTGACAACTCATCAGGACCCCTTCTGTCTCTCTCTCCCAGACAGAAGCTTTCTTTCTCTCAGTAAATATATTCTGCTCTTAACCTCCATTGTTACTAAAATTCAGTCTTTGATTTTAGAGAATACAAGCTTGTATAGGACAGCTAGCAGCTGGGAGTTTCACTCAGTGAGAGACCTGGATCACTGTGTCCCCCAGAACATCACGCTAAAGATTACATGAGTGATAGAAGACTGATAAGCAGGATAAGCTGGGGGAGGGGCAGAACACTTGCTAAAGAGGAATGAATTACTGACCTGCAACAAGAAGAACGAATCTCAAAAAGAATTATGATGAGGAAAAAAAAAAAAAACCCATGTGCCAAAAAAAAAATACTATGTTTTCATTTGCATTACACTTTAATACAAGTGAAACCAATCTATAGTGCTCCAAGGTTGCCAGGATACAGGGGAGTTTTCTGAGGCACTGTAGGTTATATCTTTTAATGTGGCAATGACAACACTTGGCCCAAATCATCAAAATGTGCACTTATGATTAATGCATTTTATGCATAAATAAAATTGAGCTAAAAAGAATTATAGATAATTTTAAAAAGCTCTCACAACATAGATCACTTGCACGTGAATTAGCAGGGGAACTTTTCCTGTCCTTATTCTAATTCCTAGGCATGGGTCGCTCAGAATAAATAACTTTGATCTTTACATGCACATCAGTATTTTTCTCATAATTTTTGCCTGATCTGGTGTTATTTTCACACTTACTGCTCCCTTCCCCCATTTGCCTGGTGTATCTCTGAATGTGTCTAAAGTTTGTTCTTGAGGCTGGAGGGGAGGGGCTTGGAGAAATGAAGTGCGAATTTGCATAGAGGCCTCTGGGCCCCTGTGCCCACTGCCATCCCAGCATCTTCCAGCCCTGAGTGTGTGTCACAGCGTTCTGAGCGTCAGCCCCCTCCTCAGACACTAGCCCTCACTCTCTCCCTGTGCTCCCCTGGACCTGCCCTGGCTTCCACCCTGTCCTTCCCGGTGATGGTGGTCAGCTAGGCCTGCTGGTCTCCCTGGACACCGGGCTGGGCGGTGCTGCGTCCGCGGGGAGCTTGGAAGGACTCTCTCCTGTTCTCCTGAGCCTTGGCTTCAAGGTTTCCACAACCTAAAATCACCTTTTTCACTTCTTCCTGAGTGTGTCACGGGTTGAATATATTCAGGCTGAAGAGTTTAAACAGAGTTGGACACATTGCTAAGTGTAGGGTCACTCGTGGGCCTCGCAAGGCGCGCGCTTAGGAGCCTGCAAAGCGGCTGTGCAGAGAGGGGGCCGCCACCTCCCCTTGACCTGTGTCCTGGGGTCCCCCTCGGGCTGGACTCTGCCTCACCTGGTACCTGTGCACTCCCGGCTCCGACCACCTGCTGCCCGGGGTCCGCAGGGTAGGAAGGGACAAGCGGTGGATCCCAGTCCCCGGGGCCACCGAGCCGGCCCCCACCCTGCGCCCCTGCACCTCCGGCCTCCGCAGCTCTCATGTGAGGACCGGGCCGGAGGCGGGGAGCTCGGTGTGGGCTCAGCTTCCTGCTTCCCCGGCTGCGCGCGCTTTCGCTTTTCTTTCCTCGGTAGCCCGGCCCAGGCGCGCGCGGACCTGCTGCTCCGTCGCGGGCATTTCCGTCCAAGCAGATCTGCGTGTTTCCCGGGAGGATCCTAGTCCAGCCCCGGGAACCTGGAAAGTGCGGGAGGCCATGGCGAACCCAGGGCCCAGGTGAGCTGCCCCTTGTGGCCAGCGTAGCCTGCAGTTCAGGCGGCGCGGGCTTTCACCCTCGCCTTCCGGGCAGAGCAGCCGCTGAGGAGTGGAGCCAGCCCTGGGGCTCGGTCTTTGCAAAACAGTGTTTTCCAGAGAGGATTGGTGGGACTTCACGGGGCACACAGTGGAAGCTGACACACCTCAGCTCTGTGCCGCCCCTACCTTCCTCCTGCCCGCGTGGTGGACACCGAGCTCTGCCCTCTACCTCTGTGGGCTCAGACCCTGCGCTGGCCCACGTTCCTTACCTGCTGTGCAGGGCACAGCCCAGGCAGCTGGTGGAAAAGGGAAAAGGGAGAGCCCTGTGATTTCCTCCCTCGTGTGTCATGAACTTTTAATCTTTTCGTCAAGCATATTCATGATTATTTCCTTGAACTAAATTCCTAGAAGTGAAAATTCAAAGAAACTCACGTTTTAGAGCATTTGACACTGATTATACTATATTACTGTCCGAGACATTTGGATCTATCTGCATTTCCACCCGTGATAATATCCAGGCTTACAGGCTTAGTATTGTTTTCTGTCTTGGCCACTTTGTTAGGCAAATGTATTTTCAAATTGTCTTTGTATTCCTCCCTTCTAGTGAGGGCACCTGGTTTGCATATTGTTAGGGGCACACGTGGCTGACCCTTTTATTGCTGCTTAGATGTTTGCTCTTGCATATTCATACGTAGGACCCATAATGAAATTAAAGTTGAACGTGGTCATCAGTATCTGACACAGTGAGAATTAGTTTGTGAGAGTGCAACTAACTCTGCTTTGCTGCTGGATACCTTGGGCTGCTTCCTTAGCTTCTCTGTGCCCTGCTGCCATCTTTTGGGAACCCCAGCAGATGAATCCAGCCTCACCCTATTCTCTGTTGTTGTTACACAATGAATGTCATGCATTGAGCCCACAACACCTTCTGCTACTTAGCAGGAATTCACTGTCCCCCCTCCCCACTATAGTCCTTGCCATACACGCTTCCCCTACGTCCTGTGTGGATAGCAGATTTCTCTATTTATCTTCTAGCTTCTAGAATTTCTCCATGATCAAGGACTGCTAGTGGCTTATTTACCGTGGTGTATTATTGTTTTTATGATTTTTTTTTTCTGCCAGATATAAAGGATTTGACAATGAGAAGGAAAAGGCAGAGATGCTCACTCTGGCAGTGGGGTTAAATCCCTGGATGCGGGTGTTCATCACAGTTTAATTTTTTGTTTAACACAAAAGGAAGTTAGAAAAAGTGGATCTGGGTCTCCTTTGTGTTTTAAAAATCTCTAGATAATTTCACTTTTTGTGCATACTACCTTTTCTTGTGACAATTTGTCAAGAGTGCCATGTGTAAATTTTCAACCTACTGTAATTTACTGGTCTTTTCTCATGAGCCATAAATGGTCAATTTTTGTAAGTGTTGCTCAGGGTAAGAAAAAGGCATGGGCCTCTCCTGAGATAGGAAACAAATACGTGAAATGAATCAGTGATGTGACCTTCACTAATCAGACTTCATTCATGATTTTATGTGTGGCCTGCTTGTGTAGAAATGTTGTGAATGTTTCTCCAGTGTCTCCAGACATTATCAGGTCTCCTTTGACCCATTTGGCAGTGATCCCTTTCCTATGAGCCTTGCTAATGGATGGCTTGAGCACAGCCCCGCCATCTGGTTTACTCCAGCTCCATGTAAGTTACAGCCATCAGCTTACAACCAGAAAGTCGGCATTTGTTCCCACCTCTCCTCTTCTAAGCTGCACAACCAAGGGTGAGAGTTCATAAACCTCTGTGTGGCACGATCCCCAACAATTAAATGGGTGCAACCATAATAACCAGTTTGTGAGGTTTTGTGAAGATCACGTAAGTTACTGCCGATGAAACTCTTAGAGCAAATCTGGTCCCCAGAAAGCAAAGAACAGGAGCTGTTTTTAATATCATTTATACCAGCAGCCCCTTCAGGACACACTTGGCCTCCATGGTTGCTGGGCATTGTCTCTGTTTCCTGTACCCATAAGGCTTGTTGGCAGATGTTGCTTTGCAGACTACTGGGGGACCAGAACTGCAGGTGCCGCTGGTACAGAGAGCAGCTCCCCAGACCCCTCACAGTCTGTGGCTGTTTCTCAACCTGCCTCTTTGCCTAGGATGTTCACTGTGAGCAGGGCCTTGGAACAGGCTCTTCTTCGGCACTTCGTGCACCAGAAGCTGGAGATCGCCTATGCCATAAACAAGCCATTTCCCTTCTTTGAATCGCTGCGAGACAAGTCCCTCATCCCTGAGAGAATGTATATGGTGAGTCACATCAGCCCTTCCCATGCAGCCCAGCTCCAGCGGGCCGGGGTATTGAGAATCTCAAACCACCACCCATGAGGGCTTTGGGAGGATGCAGGACCCGCTTTGGTGTTTGTTGTCACAGAACAGGAGGTGGCTGGAAGAGAGGGCACTGTGGGTGCCATATTGGTTTGGGGGTGTTATGGGGGTGACCATGGCAAATGAACATAAACCAGGCGGCCTAAAACAGCTTTGGTGTATTGTCTCATGGTTCTGGATGTCAGAGGTGTTGACAGTGTTGGTTCCTATTAGAGGCTCGGAGGAGAAACGTTTACCTCTGGTAGCTGCTGATGGTGCTTAGTCGTCCTCGACTTGAAACACATCAATCAATCCAGTGCATCAATCCAGTGTCTGTTTTCACCTCACATCTCTTCCTGTTTTTTATGTCTTTTCCCTTTGCTTTAGGGTTCTGGCCCCATGCTAACACAGACAGATCCCATCCCAAGATCATTAGCTCAATTATATCTGTAAGGCTCGTTTTTCCAAATAACTTGCATTCACAGTTCTGGATGGATGTGTGAATATATCTCATCTTGCAAGGAGGAGCTGCCCTTCACCCGCTGCAGGCATTTTCCCTGTGTCTGAGAGCATACGGCTCACGGTTCCTTCTGACGCGAGACAGGCAGGCACTGAGAGATATAGGACAGCATTTGAATGGAAAGTGGTGCTCTTTTCATATAATGTTGAGAGAGTTTTTTGTACTGTTGTAGGGTTGTTTTTTTTTTTTTTGAGGGGTGGTTGTTTGTTTGTTCATTTAGTGTCTTTGAGCTCCAAGGTCCAGAAAGTGGCAACAGTGGTGGAATTGTCTTTCCCTCTATCCAGCCACCTCCAACTCCTTCTGCAGATTACTCTCTGGAAGGTCCTCCACAGCTGATCTTCTTAACCTGCTCTTCCCAAGCAGACCCCCTTTTTACTCTCTCATGGTAGTCTGAGCTTTCCTTTCATGACACTAGTCTCAGTTGTAACTGAGTATTTATCTCACTCACATTTACTATTCAGTACCCATCATTTCTGCCTGAAAATGCTCTCCCACCTTGTGGGCTGCCCCATAATGATCAAGGGCCCTGCCATTTGCTCAGTGATCTCCCTTTGGTTGAAATCCGTCCAGATGGAATGGCAAGCAAAACACAGCAGCTAACAAGTCCACGGAATTGCCACTTCCTGTTATGTCCCCTTCTGAAGCATCCTGCCCTGAACCTTGAAGAAGGACATAGTGGCACCCTTTCAAGAAGGCAAAGTGACTTATTCCCATGACCAGGCAGCAAGTGTATGTGAAGTAAACATGCAGGACTGTGACCTCTCTACCTTAGAAGATTTGACCCTATGTTTTCTGTTAAATTTCTCCTTAACGAGAGTTAACTAGCTTTCTCATGACTTAGAAAACACAAGTGTATTATAACTGTGTAATCATTCCTACTAACATGGTTCTCCTTTTTTTAAAAGGAGTCTCTGGAAGCCTGTAGAAATTTGGTTCCTATATCCAAAGTGGTGCACAACATTCTCACCAAACTGGAGAAGACTTTTAACCTGTCACTCCTGGTGACACTGTTCAACCAGATTAACCTGTGTGAATACCCCAATCTGAGGACGATTCTCAGAAGCTTCATAAATGGTAATGCAGCTGCTCAAATACCTTCTGCATGTGATAAGTTGCTGTGGCTTGTTTCCAGTGTGGTTATGCACTTTAGACCGGCTTTCCCTGTGAGAAGGTACAGACCACACTCACTCATCAGCAAGGCTGGAGCGGCAGCCCCTGCTAACTCTGAGCCCCACGCTCTGAGATGAATTTCTATAAGACGCAGACATTTCTGTCTTGCCTGGTCTATGAATTTGAAGGCAAGTGTAACATTTAATATACTGGACAAACTAGGGGATGCGTACAATGACAGAAATGCAAAGTTACAAAGACCAGGTGTGGCATAAAGAAGGAGAGCGAGAGTAGGAGAGAAAGACACAGGAATGGAAAACAGTAAATACCTTTCTGTTTGCTGTTGTTTATGCATTATCCCACCACTTGATATGATTATCTAATGTGATCTTTAAATAACACTGTGGAGTCATTATTAACTGTATTTGCAGACAAGCAGATTAAACCTTGGCAGTGACTTTCCCCAAGCTATTTGTCCATTTAGAAACAGGACCCGGAGTCCTGTTTGGTTCTGCCAATACTTGGGCCCAAACTTGTAACTGCTGTTTTAAACAAAGCCAGCAGAAAGGCAGACTGTAAGGCTGGAGGAGGGAAGAAAGGTAGTGAAAAGGAAGAAAAGGAATACTGGACATAAACACAGAAAGAAAGGACGGGGGGGAAAATTCAGCAGGAAGTCCACTGGGAAAGAAGACGAGCTGGTATAACAGCTTTCTGTCACCATAACAAAATACCTGAGTTAATACCTTATAAAGAGCAGAGGGTTGCATGGGGCCACAGTTTTGGCGGTTATGGCCCTGGCATGTCGGTCATCTGGTGAGGCAGAACACCATGGCAGAGGTGTGCGAGCAAAGCTGCTCACTTCGTGACCAGAGTGAGTAAAGGAGGAGAGAGCAGAGCTGCACAACCCCCTTCAAGAACAACGCACACACACACACACACACACACACACACACACACACACACACACGCAATGACCTAAAGACCTCCCACTTGGTCCCACATCTTGAAGCTTTCACCGTCTTCCTTATCACCACCCTGGGACCACGGGCTTTCCATAGGGGGACATTCCGTAGTCAAACTACAGTAGCTGGACACATCACATAAAGGAGTAGAAAAAGAAGCAGTGACAGAGAGGGGAAGACAGAGGCCAGAGTAAGGATCAGACAACCAAATCATTCTGGATTGGAGGACAAAGCTGTTTGGCCAAAGTATAGCTCAGCTCTTGGAGCATGGCAAGGGAAGGACCACCAGATCTGGCTGGACTGTGACGCTGTCATTGGTGGAGCCACCACTGTTGACAGTGCCACATGTGCCCCCTGACACTTCTCCATCATGCAGCTTCTCCCTGAAGGATGAAATGGCTCCTTGAGCTGAGGGGGTGGTGAAGGGGAAGTTCCCCTCCAGGCAGGAGCAGCTGCCTGAGGGCATGTTCTCCTGACACCATCAGGCTGGCACCAGGAGAAGTTCGGACTCCAGGGTATGCTGCATTCACTTGGGCGTCAGGATGACCCATGTGCCCAGGTGGCCCTGGCCTGGCTGGGCTCGAGCGTCTTTTGGATATGCAAGTCTGGGTTTTTTTTTTTTCCCCTGGATCCCTTTTCCAAATTCATTCCTTTCTCCATTCACTGGTCGACATAACTTTGCTTCCTGAAATAAAGGACAGAAGAATCATAGCAGAAACCCAAAATAAACCAATGCGGGGAAGCAGCCTCTGGGAATCTGAGGCCCTGGGGTATTAGGAATGGGAGAGAAGGTTGAGTGTGGCTGGGTCATGAGGTTCAAAAAAAGGCACAGGACCCGAATCTGCAGAATTGAGCAGAAATCAGAATATAAATGGCCTAATCCACTCGGATAAGGAATTTTTGTTTTATCTTATTTCTTCAAGGGACATATAATGTATTTACTATTAAAACAAAGACTTCCATTAAAGTTACAGCATGTACATAACCTATTAAATTTGATGAAGCCCAAAGAATTAAATCCCTGGGTACAAAGTCAAACTCAACTTTATGTGTGAAACCCCACAGGTAGCAGACTGGGGATAAATGCAGTTACTTTACCACCAATGCTTAAATCAAATAGTAAAATAGAAAAGACTCAAAACGGACACTGGTAGTGATGAATGGGTTCTGTGGAAACAATGGGTCAGTCCACATCTCCATCTTAGTTAAAAGTTCCATGCTAAGAAATGCTTAGCTTCTTTAGGGTCCGCAAGATGCTGATGTGTGATCCTTCCCTCCCCCTAGTTGGCACCGCCTACGGAGAGTGGAGCAGAGCCACACCAACCCCACTCAGAGTTCCTGCTGACCCAGAAGAAGGGAGCTCCCTCGAGACCCTGCTGCAGCTGCCCCCACCCCAGTCACCTCCACCAAGGCTTCTGTTCTGTGCGCACACAGTCCATGAGGCCAGAGCATCCTTGGAACAAGTCAGTGAGAGCCCGGACCAACCATCCGGCCCTTCTGCCCCTCATGTGCCACTTCCTGGGCTCATCTTGGGAGAAGGAAGCGCTCCAGGTGAGAAGCAGAGGCTGTCTAACATCCATGTATCCCCAGCAAGAGGTGCCTAGCACCCCAGGGTCCTCTGTCACTGACCTGGTCCTTTCCGTGCACCCACCTCCCTGTACGTAGCCCTTTCTGAGAAGGATCCCGAGCGCTCATCTGTTTCCCACTCCTGGAAGAGCCCAACCCTCCGTCCTTGGACCTCAGCGCTCCATCTGCAATAGACATTTTGATCATTCACCCACCTTCCTGAAACCCACTTTCCACAACCTGTCATGATTTCTCTTTCTACTTTAGTGGCCAGTGACAGCTTAGCATCTAACACAAAGACAGAAGAAGATTCACAAGAGATGCCCAGCCTTCCTTCCTGCCCTGAGCAAGGTAACGTGGTCTGAAGGGAAAACCTGCACCGCCAGCTGAGAGGCTGTGGTAGGAACCTCCGGGCCAATGCCCATGCAGACATCTTAGCACCACCACGTACTTATTGTAAGATGGTTGCTGCCTCGGTCGCCATCAGAACGCAGTGTCACCCTTCCCACTGCCCTCCCTGACTCTCTTCCTTCTGGTGAAGGAATCTCTCTAAGTGGACCTGACTGAGGCCCGGCTGTGTGCTTCCCTGATAGTCACACAGGTAAGGACCACTGCAAGTGACCAAATCAGGGCAGAGCTCCTAGGTAGGAGACACTGAGGTGTGCGCCACAGGCCCTCTTGACCTTTCTGGTTCTCCCGCTGATCATCTTCAGCCTGTCTGAGCTCTGAAATGAATTATACACAGGTGTAGCTGAAAAATGTGGTGAAATCCTCCTCACTTCGAGTCGCTTAGCTCACTGTTATGGCTCCTTTCTGGAGCCGCTCTGGAAGTCCTCTTTTAAAACAAAGTGTTTTTAGTGATGTTGTCATGGCTGCCTTGATATCCTGAACCAGTTCAAAATGTTTACTTTCCACGGTCACTAAGACCTTGGTGCCAGACCTAGTGATAAGGTGGACGAGGACACACCAGAATGTTTTAAGGGCCTGCCTTTCCCGTGGAATGGCACGAGGTAACAGCATTCAGTCATCATTTTGATCACACTCATAAATATACTGACGAAAGAGGACCTCCAGAACTGCATCAGAAAGTGGTGAGGATGACAGGACGAGTGTGCTTGAAGTGGGCAGGGGGAGAGGGTTTTGAGAGCGATTCATGGCAATGTGTCTTTTACTGTAATAATTGTTTAAATGGAAACATTTACCATAGTTACCAAAGAAACACCTTATGTTTCTTTTATCAGTGATACAAGATGCTTCTTCAGAACCCAAAGACCCAGCACAGCCCCAGGAAGTACCCAGAACATCTCCAAAACAGAAAGGTAAGAATTTCTTTTTCTCAGAAGATGTCAGCAAAGTGAATTCAGAGCCGCTTTCTGCTGTTCTGGTGACATCTTGTCATGAGCACCCGCTGTGTGACTAGACTCGTGATAGTCAGCCTGGTTTGCTTCCGAAGTTCCCTTTCACTGCACCTTCCCTGAAGACCTTCATGAAAATTAGAAGAAACAATAAGGCATTTTCCCCCAGCAGAATTGCCTGTTCTGAAATCATCAGCCTCTGATGTCACAACTTAGCATGTGAATTGTACAACCTCCTGACCCTGGTCCCTCCTAAGACCCGGCCAGGTATTCTGTGCCATCCAGCACTCACACCCATGGTGGGGGCAGCTTGGATACCCACCACCCCTTCCAGCCCCTTGCTTCTCCATCCTCTCCTCTCATGTCCAACCATTCAACTAAAACTCCTTCCCTCCCAGCCTACCATCCTCTGGCCTCATCATCACTCCCTGGCAGAGCTCAGGGACTATCTGTCTCTGTCCTCGGGACCTGCCAAAACCCTGGATGCCTTAAGGTACACATGGCTGGCAAACCTCCCATTCAGTGTCCCGGCCCCTCAAATTCTTCATCTGCCGATTTCCAGTGACTTTTTCCTCCACAAATCCCTGACCTCTCCTGCCCAGAAGCAATCCATAGAATTTCCCATATTTCAAACCCAGCTCCATTTCCCCATAATTAGTTTAAAGATTCCTTTTCTGATAATTATCCTTGAGGATTGTTCCACCTACACCTATCATTCAACTTCTGATCTCTCCTCAGCCTAATCTTTAAAAAACTTTTTTTAAATACTCTCTGCTTTCTTCCTTATGGTTTATTCTCTGCCGTGGTCTTTCAGCTCATTTGGATCGCCACTCCTGACCTGTGCCTCTTACAGGCTTCCTCTGCTTTTCTTCACAACTTTTCTTATCAGCCTGGATTCCAAGACACATCGTACAATCTTTGGATTTCAGAAAAATATAACATTGGCCTCATACATGGCAAAGAAAAACAAACCGGTACTGTTGATGTCAACATTGCACCATGATGGAAATATTGGTAGGGAAACCTCAACAAAATGGAAACCTGAAATGGTAACTTTCTACAATAAAACCTGCGGTAGAGCAGACCATTCATGCAGCGACTATGATGTCACTTGAAACACAAAACATTAGCCGATGTTTGTGTTTTGCTTGATCATAAACAAGTGTGGCATAGTTTGATAGTTTACCAAGAAAATAGCAAGTACAAAGTATCACAGAGACATTTTCTTAGAGGATTAGGACTGGAATTCATAAAAGATCATGTACAGCAGAGGAAAACCCGTGTTCCTGCCAAGGGAACTATGCAAAAAAAAAATTGTGGAGCACATTGGTGAACTGACAGGCAACAGGCAAGTGCAGCATCCCAAAGACCTAAAAAATGTCAACTCTGTCCTACAAGGAAGGACAGGAACACAAAATATACGTGTTATCAGTGTAAGCGATACTTACATGGAACTTGCAGTTTTCACAAGTGAAGACTGCCTTGGATGCAACAGTTGAAACAAAGATTATTTGTGTGGTAGACTTTTGCTTGTAATTACACTGTAGTTCACATAGGTTTTTATTTCTGATGTTCTTTTAGGTTTTATGAGCAAGGAAACAGCTGATGTGAAAATGTTGATGTCTGTTCTAAACACTCAGTCTCTGACCTCTTACTGTCCTCTTAAAATCACAATGGCGAGCAGAAACACTGAAAGGACACCCAGCATTGGGGGCAGATTTATTTTATGTCGATGGGCATGAAATTGAGATCATCCCCAAAGTATCAGACCCTGATCTCTGGTGGTCTAGGACTTTTGTGGGATAAGAAAGCAGAGGCAGAATGGCTTGTCAGTTGGGGATTGGTTTGTACAATGTGCGTCACCATGACCAGCCATTTCTGAGAGACAGAAGCAACTAGAATGGGAACAGGAACTGTGACCTGGACAACTAGGAAACTGAGTTGTACTGGCTGCGGGAGTGGGGTGGGGTTTCTGTTACCATCTGCCTTCCCTGTGTGTCTTTTCCTGGAACTCTGGTAGGTTTGAAAGGAATCTTTCCTGCTTTCTGCACACTGCATCTGAGAAGCAGGCAGTGCTGGGTGTCACACAGTGGACCGTGCACGTGCTGTGCCTTCGTGATCCATGTAGAAATGATCCTGTCACGCGGTGTGACAATCACACTTTCTGTGACAAGCCTCTCAAACCTTGAACTCTATTTTTAAAATCTCTGTTGCTCAAGAGATGACTTTGTTTCTGGCTTCGTATTAAGGGATCAGAGGATCATCTCCTCCTGTCCCAATAGCAGTGCTCCAAACCCTACCTTGCTCCAAACCCTGCCTGCAACTGCCTCTCCTTTCCTGTTCACTCCTCTCTGGGGCAATCCTTCTACCTGGCTTTGCAGGGCTCATACCTCTCTCTCTCTCTCTCTCTCTCTCTCTCTCTCTCTCTCTCTCACACACACACACACACACACACACACACACACACACACACCTCTCTTTGCCTGCCACTTTAGAGGGCAGAAGAAATCCTCCCCTGTTACTCCATGAAGCAGCCTCTTCTAAGGTGACTTCCTACCCACTGTGGTCTGAAAACCAAGAGTGAATGCTCAATAATTGTAACAAATAAGGTTGGCAGGGCTGTTTGTGACTATGAAAACTTATGTATCCTTTGTTTTCAGGAAAGAAAAGGAGACCATGTATCTGGTCAACTCCAAGAAAAAGACGTAAGAAGAGAGGTAAGATGCAGGCACAAGAGACAGCCAGAGGCAGAGGGAGCTCACGCGAGGCTTGTTAGTGAAGGGCAGGGCGGATGGATTTCATTCCAAATGCAGTGGGAAGTCATTGAAGAATTCTGAGCTTAAAGTGACAGGGTTTGATTTCAGACCTTGATGCTGTGTAAGGAATAAACTGGAGATGGGCAAGAATCTTTCTGCTTAAAGCAGATTACATGTCACAGAGAGGCGATGGGTGATGCGTGGGTTTTCTGCCTACATGCAGGAGGAACAGCCATCTGCCTCCCCTATTAATTGATGAATTTTAAAACTTTGCTACTTTAGATAAGATGGGAAGGGTCCTAGGTCCTCACCCAAACCTTTTAGAATTTCCAAAGACCAAAGAAACCCCAGTTGTCTTTGGCTTTTAAACCTAAATATATCTCCAAGTTCTGGACTTCACCTATTTTGACTTGTTAATACGTAGAAGGAAACTGAGCCAGTTTTCCTGACATTTAGTGACTTTGTCTAAGAACCCAGTCCTGGGATAAGCATTTGGACCTCTCAGGAGATAAGGGAAGTTTTATCCTTTTGGATGAGAGCAATTAACTAGACAAATAGCCACAAACCCAATTCTCACAGCGGGTGAAGAGTAAAATGTGTTTAGGAGAAGTGAGGTGAGCTTTCTCTCTTTTTAAAAATAGACATTTCTGTATCACCGGAAGCTGGGAATTTGTACAGGAGTACTGGAGTACTGAGAAATCAGGAAAAGTTCATCTCCCCACCATATGTCAGTCTGGCACTCAAGGAAAAATTTGGTCCAGAGGCTGGGATTTAGCTCAGCAGCATAAGCACCTGCCTTGCAAGTGTGTGGTCGTGAGTTCAATCCCCAGTACCGATAAAAAAGAAAAAGAAAAAAAAAAAAAAAAAAAAAAAAAAGAAAAATTTGGTCCAAAGCTAAAAACATGGGGATCATCAGTAAATGAAGGTGTCCAGATCCATGAGAGAAGAGAAGAGAAACCAGGATCCAGTCCTGCTTTCAGAAATCCCAAAAGAGGAGGAGGAGTACAGCAAAGCAGACAGAAGGGAGGAGATCAGTGGGGAGCAGGGGCACCAGAAGGGAAATGTCAGTAAGCCAGAGACACGAGAGGTGAGATTAGAGAAGACAGTCCCAGGGTGTCACTGGAAAGCCTGTGAGCACTTAGCAGTAAATATGTTTATACCCAGCCAAGACAGTTCCTCCTCACTCACTGCCACCGTGCAGGATGGGGGTCCACAGGTTAGACACCGTTGGTGGAGAGGGCGCAGAAGTCAGTTGGGCTGTGTTGAATGATGAATGGACACTGCCAGCCCGTGATGACCATTGCCGTAAAGGGGAACAGAACCTAAGCCAGTGACATAAAGCTCCTTTCCCCTGACTTAATTTACCCTTATGGTGATTCCAGTGTCCAGAATCATGGGTTTGGCGGCCTTTTAAGGTACTCTGTAAAAAAGAAGTTAGTCTGTGCCCTTTAACCAAAGGTGAGAGGTCCTCCTGAGCATGTTGTGCCCATGCCCTCCTGCCACGCTCTCTCACACTTCCTGAGTTTTGTCAGCTACGCCCCCGACTTCATTTACCACCTCTACACCGATGGTTCCCAAGTCTGCACTTCCAACTCAGGCTGCCTCCACGAAGTATATAACCAGCTGCTAATGGGTCATCGTGGTTTGCAAATTTCCCATTGGCATTATAACCTCCATGTGTCTAAATTGTCATAGCAATGACGTAGAAGTGGGGTGGGAGTCACTTTGGATGGGATGGTCCAGGCAGAGAGACTCCAAAGTACCAAGAACCCAAGGCTGGTGTTGTTGGATGACCATGATGATGATGATAATGATGATTAAAGGAGACTGTGGAACAAGGTAGGGGCAGAGAGAGATGCTAGAGCATGAGGGGCCTGCCAAACTTTGGGATGGTTTGGAATTTATTTAACTTGAGGTGAGGGTCTTTATCTACACAGGTTCCAAACAAGAGCCTAAGTCATTCTTGACTGAGCTCTGTTAGCTTATTGACAAGTTCCACTGAGTCTTTTCTGCTCTCCATATATGTTGGCTAGCTCCTTTTTATCAATGGTGCTGGCATAAATGTCTACCACAAGAAGGAATATTCTGACCACTGAATTAGTTAAGTCGGTCTTAACTATGTGTTTCAGTAGCACTCAGCACTGATTATTTTTTGTAAGATTCCACATACTCTAGCGGAATTACTTACATAGTATCTCTTCTAGGCTACATGGTAACATCCAGGAACAAATGAAGGAAAGCATATTTTCCATATTGCAAATTTTGAATAATGATCAGACAGAGGACAGTTTGTCTAAGCACAGTTATTACTGTGTTATGCAAATGGGCCACAGACACCACTAACAAAACCTGATGCTATTATAAATAAAATATTATTGAAAGAAATTTCTCAGTAGAGTGGTAGAGCCCAAATAGCCCTATAAATTCTTAGTATCCCAAGCTTAGGGCAGACACAGATGGTCCGTATGGGCCATGTACTGAGATGCTCACTCCCCAAATGCTCTGGGCATCAAGGGGTGGGGAAAGGACCATCTGTAGAATTGTGGGACAGTGGACATTCCCTGGTCAAAGAGTTTCCTTGAGGCAATGTCAGCTGACCAGCTCTGCTGAAGTAACAGATTACCTGATAACTTCTCTGTCAGGTTACAGAAAGGAGTAGGAGATGTCAGGCCCTTATAGATTTGTCTTCCTGTTGTATTTGAATGAAAAAAAGTGCAGATGAATTTTTAAAGGCATCGCTTTACCACTTTATTTTATATACAACAGAGAATGTACTTTTTAAATACCTACGCTTTTCCAGAAAGGGTCCTTCCTGCTCTGTAGTCCAGGCCAGCCTTGAGCTTGCTGTTTAGATCAGGCTGAGCTTAAATTCATACTCTTCCTGCCTCAGCCTCCTGAGTGCTGGAATTACAGTTGTGCACCACCACACTCAGTTTCCGTGCTTTTTTTATTCTGGTAAAATACACATAAAATTTACTATCTCAGTCATTTTTAAGTGTATAGCTCAATGTTCACAGCTATCACCTTCATCCTCCGTATTCTTTTCATCTTCTAAAGCTGAAACTCGACCCGTAACTCCCCATGTTCTTTATGTCCAGTCTAACAGGCATTAAGAGTTGTGCTCTTTTATAGTTAATCAAGCATCCTTATTAAAAATACTAAAACGCCTTAAAAGGCGTCTCAAAACTTAGGGGAGAAAGATAAATAATAAAGCTAAAAATATGCATATCACATTCTCCTGTGTTATAAAAAAGAAAAGCTGTCCTCTATTTTCTCTAAGAGATTTGATTTTATCATTTTATTTAAAGTCTTCCTTTCCTTATGGAGAAAAGAAGTAACTTATCAAATAAAGGCAAATCTTAAACCCTTCCAGATTATCCGGTCTCCTTTGGCTACATATTCACCAGGCCGGGTCCCTCATTACTGGTGCTTCCTCCAGAAGTGGCCTGGGCGTTTGGGAAAGGTCCTTGGTCCACCTGCTGAGAGGAGGTGTGGCTCTGCCCTGGCTAGGTCCTTGCTGAGATCCAAACAGACGTTCTTGTGCTACTGAACAGTGGTCATCCCTTTCTGAAGTCACAGCCAGTGAAATCTGTGTTTCCTTTCTGCAGTAAAGCAGACTCACCCTTGGGCTCCTGGCATTGCACATTCTTAGTTCCAGGCCCACCCTCCACAGACCCTCAAGGCAGCCACCGTCACGGGAGGGCTTTGCCCCCAATTCTTTCACTCCTTGCACCATCCCCCATAAAGGTGCCTGCATAGGAGCCTTTGGATATCTTCCTGTCACACCCAGGCCCTGAGGGAACCAGGAGAGGTGTTTATAATGGCTGCCACTCTACCTGAAACCATGCGGCTGCATTCATCTACTCAAATGTGGCCACCAAATGCAGCTGGGTCACAAACAGGAAACAGGAGATAAGCTCCACAGCTCTAGGAGTCCCCTAAAAGTATTTGGTTGGTTTCAACTAGCTGGTACCTGGAGTGAGAGCTGATGGTGATTTGGGGGAATAAAGAAAGGTTGACGAGATAGATAGATAGATAGATAGATAGATAGATAGATAGATAGATAGATAGAGTGTGTGTGTTAGAGTGAAATAGAATAAAATGAAGTAGGGAGTACAGAGATCTAAAAGAGAGAGGGCTGGGCATGGGAAGGAAAGTTGCTAATAAGAGGAAAAAGAGGATTACTGGGGGACCACAATTTAAATATTCACAAGTCACTGCATGGTCCAGAGGCAGCCCCCACTGGGCACGGAGTCCAGGAGAAGCCTCAAGCAGTGGAGCAAAGGAAAGACCCATCCTCGAACTCCAAAGTGGTTTCAAGGACCCAAGAGACAAGAGCAAAATGTGCCCAGAAGTCCAGATCAGCAGGTAAGGCTGGCAGTGGAATCTGCCTACGGAAGCGCAGGGCTCAGTGGGGAGGGTTTCTCCCGGAGAAGCAGGGAGGTGGGTGGATGTGTGCAGCCACTGGTGAATCGAGAAGTACCAGTAGAGAAACAGGACAACGGGGCAAGGCTCTGCCGCAGTGGTTGTTAGAAGTACTCGAGTCCCCAGGATGCAGTTCATGATGGTGTGTTTTCATGTGACCACTCCCCATTTGGCAAAGCCACCACCCACCCCTGTGTGGGGGCTGTTCCTCTCCAATCCCTGCAGACCCACTATTGGGAGGGCACCAGTCCTCCAAGTGGACACCTTCTCAGGATTTCTGGGTTTTTGTTGTTACTTGGTTATTGCTGTTTTGAGTTTTGCTTCCTTTTGTTTTGTTTTGAAGACAAGGCCAAGTTATATAGCACAAGCTGGGCTTGAACCCACCATGTAGCCCAGACTGGTCTCAAACTCATGATCCCTCACCTCAGCCTCCCAGTATTGGGATTGTAGGTCCAGCTCAGGATTATTTCTTGATGGTGCATTTCTAGAGGTCTGCATATTTTGAGTTAATACATGACAACTATCAAATTGACCCAATTACTTATAATGCGTTAATCTTATATTGTATGCTTTTGCCTGTACCTTCACCAACAGTAAAAATAAGTGAAGACTTTCCACTTTGCCAAACACAAAAGCCAAAAACCATATTCCAGTGGGCTTACCTTGAGTTTCTTTGTGCATTGCCTCCCGTAAAGCTGTGTTGCTGTTTGCCAGCGTCCCACCGCTCAGCTTCAGGAAGTGACGTAGGTCAGGGCAGAGAACCATTTCCAGTTCCCCATTTTCAGGTCACATGTTTTCTTCTTTGTTCCCAAACCAGCAATGCTCTGTGGCCAAGAAACCACAAGTGTCTATGATACAGGGCTATGCCCCATCTGAGGTGTGATGATCGAATAGCATGAAGGAAATGTAAACTTTTTTGGTTGAAAGCCAGCCCTTGTTGGGCCAGGGATTTAGCTCAGCGGCATAAGCGCCTGCCTTGCAAGCAGGCAGTCGTGAGTTTGATTCCTGGTACCGATAAAAAAAAGGAAAAAGACAAAAAAAAAAAAAAAAAAAAAAAAAAGAAAGCCAGCCCTTGGCAAACGTTTTCCAGAGTGGGCCAGCCAGTCAACAGTTCGGGCTCTGCTGATCATACAGCCTGTCATGGCCACTCAGTGTGCATTTAGAGCAGAAGCAGCCAAGACGAATGCATAGACAGCGGACATGGCTGGGTTCCAGTAAACTATTGGCAGCAGGCAGTCTGGCCCCCTCGGCCTGTAATGAAACACCGAGGCTGCTGAGGGTCGTGACTCACTGTACCACTGTCTAGTCTATCTTTACTAAAGAATCTGCTTTTAAAATAAATTAGTCATTTAAATGTTTCTTTTGAAGGCAATCTGTTTATATGTGCCAATTTTTATAAAATTCATTTCATTTTTTTAATTCTTATTTTGTTTAATCACTTAAAGCAATTAACCCTGTTATGCCTATTGCAATGTTTCTGTCTCGTTTTTTTTTAAAGAAAGACAAAACAAGATAGAAAACAGACAGAAATAGTACATACTTTCAAAGAAAAGAAATAGACAATAGTAAATCACTAGCTGATGTATACATATTGTCCCCCTATAAATAGTTGTTCAAGGTACACAAGTGGAACATATAAATGGGATTTTAATCAGGAAGACTGCAAACAGTTCTGTTCAACTATCCAACAAAAACTAAGTATTATGGCTATCAATCCTATACAATTAGACATGTATGCGTTTATCCATATCTTCATTTATGTTGAGACCTAACAGAGCATATTAGATAAAAATCCTTATGAACAAAGATTAATAATATTGCTGGATTTCACACCATAACACTCCAGAATCACGATTGGGTACTGCAGGGCCACTTTCTTTCTTTCAAAGTTTTTGTTCATTTCATCATGTGTCATCAGATCAGTGCTCATAAACTGTTTATAAGTTTTACATAAGCTTGAGTCTTAACATGTATTTCTATCCTTTCTATGTTAGAGGGGAAAACATAACAAAGCAAGACAGAACTAAACTTTTTCCTATAGACATATAAAACTAAAAAGACATAAATCTGCTATATAAGGAGTCCTGGTCACTGTGCTGTTTCTTGTTATCATCAACAGAATTAGCTATATCATCAGATAAAGTATAATTGAGCATATCAGTACATAACAGAATTAACAGAAATACAACTTTATAGATAGTATAGAGCTACAAAAACAGGTAGTAATCAAGTCAGAATGGATATCATAGTGAATCATTGTCATTTTCAGTATAGTTGTCTGTATTCCTCAACTTGTTGCATCAACCTTACAGGTTTTGAATAAAATCTATCAATAATAAGCAGCAATCAAACAAGTCACATTTAACTAAGATCGGTCATGATATAACAGGATAAGTCATACATAGATCCTGATTGAGTTAATAGGGAATTAAAGATGTCCCCCATGCTATGGACAGCCGTTCATGACCCTCAGATCCAATGCTTGTATACAAACTAGGACAGAAAGAGTTCCAACCAAGCAGAGTGGTGCGAGTAATAGGGCTTTTAATTCCTGATACACTATTAGCTGTATCTTCTGCTGGTTTTTTTTTTTTTTTTTTTTGAGGACTATTCCTCCCTTTTACTCCCCCAGAATGAACTGTGCATTTTTGGGTCTCCCCAACCCTCATGGTTTTGTATTGGGGGGCAACCTGCTATTTACTTAAGTGTTTCTGAACTTTCTCACTCCTGGGCTGGATTTCTAGTTATATTTCTTCATTTCTTAAAGCCTGTCTGTTCAACCTATCCATATATACTGGTCTAGTTACCCCTATTACTCTCTGGTTCCCTATCACATAGAGTTCCATTTTCTCATGTTTGATTTTGGTCCATATAATCTTCTTCAGGCTAATTAAATTTCCTATAAAGAGTCTCTTAGTGGACCCTATCTCTTGATCCACTCTGCCTGCTATTCTCTATTTTTTCCCCGAACTTAGGGTATCTAGGCCATCTATATTAGAAATTATGTCCAGCTTTCTCTGCCTCATTTCTGTTGAGCTCTTCTAGTTGTCAGTTTGTCTTCTTCATTTTGTTTTCTGCTCCATTCATTGTGGCCTCTCTGTTACTGTTTTTGGAATCTTGTTATTTTTTGCTTTTAGAATGTCCTGCAGTATTCTCTGTAGAGTTGAATTGGTGGTTGCAAATTCCCCTAGTTCCTCTTTATCCTGGAAGCACCTTATTTCTCCATTAATTTCTAGGGACAGTTGTGTAGGATATATCAATCTTGGCTGGAGGTTATCATCTTTCAAAGCTTGAATTATTTCGCCCCACGCTCTTCATGATTTGATGGTTTGTGCCGAGAAGTCTGCTGTAATTCTGATGGGTATTCCCTTGTAAGTGATCTGTTTCTTGTCTTTGACGGCTTTTAATATTCTGTTCTGGATTTCTGGAATTTTGATTATTATATGCCTGGGTGTAGTTCTGTTTGGCTTGTAGGTGGCTGGGGTCCTGTATGCCTCATACATCTGAGTATCTTTACCTTTTACTAAATTAGGAAAATTCTCCTGGATTATTTCTGTGAATAGCCTTTGTAGTTCATTTGTTTGTGTCCCTACTTCTTCTTTTACGTTCTTAATTCTTAAGTTATAGATCCTCTTATCATCTTCTAGCCTTCGTATTATTGCTGTTTGTTTCCTTGTTATTGTTAAGAAGTTTTTCATTTCCTGCTCCCACATTACAAATCTGTGCTCCAGTTCAGCTAATCTATTCTTAGTTTCTTTCAAGCTGTTATGCCAGCTTTCAGTAGAGTTTTTAGTTTCCTGGTAATCTCTTTGAATCTGCTTCATGTATTCTATGTTTTCTCTATTTTCTCCATCCAACAATTCTCCCCTGTTTTTCTGTTCTTCCATTCCACCATCTGTTTTTCTTGGGCGGTGCTTAGCATTTCTCTAATTATTCTACTTATGTCTTGCTCTACTTCATTAAATACTTCACTTTTGAACTCATCTATGAGTTAACTCTGGAGATATTGCTTTATGTCTATTGGTGCTGTGTCTGATATTGCATGCTTTCTGTCCTCATTCTCCTTTGTATTTACATTTCCTGGATCAGTGTTCTCAGGATTGGAGACCAAGGACACTTTCTTGTTGCCTCCTCTTCTCATATTTTTTGTTCCTTCCATACAGATGTATACAGGAGGCCCAGTTTCTTTCTTTGTCCATTACAGTTTGTTTTAATCTGCCGGCTAGGTGTTCCCACCTACTGCAGTGTACTAGGGAGACACAGACCTGGGCAGCCTCTGCTGGGCCCGCCCCTCCAGGTCAACCTACTGAAGGCTTCACTGCTAGGGTGCACGGCCAGGCACAGGGACCTGGTTTGGGCTAGCCTACTGGGTCTTAGACCATGACGTCACCCAGGTCAGGCACTCCCCACCAATCATGCTTGAATTGGGTATATGCGACTAAAGTCACTGCAGCGTCCTGTTCCGACTAGTCTGCCTGGTCCCAGAATGTCCTCTGTTGGAGCCTCCTAGTCTATGGAAGGGTCCCCATTCCTCTCACTCACCGTAGGTCGATGCAGGGCTCCCCGCCAGTCCCACTCTCAACTCGGTTCGCTGATTCCCACTCTCAGAGCTTTCGCCTCTCTATCCCTACTGTGCCGATTCAGACGCAGCAGCGGTGGCAGGAAATTCAAATTGCAGTTTCCAGAGGTGCGGTTTCCAGCTTCGGTGCTAAGATTTTTTCTGTTCCAGTCATAGCACCAGGATTGCATTTCCAGTTGGTTTCTCTCAGCTTAGTTCGTTCCTGGGTCAGCAGGGTATATCTCCCCCTGCTTAGACTCCCCACACTGCACCATTCCTGGATTCTAAGCTGGCTATCTCAGAGAGCCTCCGTAGCTATTGTTATCTATCCACCATGTTCTCCAACCCCCTTCTGTCTTGTTTTTGTCTTTGTGTGTGTGTGGGTGTGTATTAGAAATTGAACTCAGAGGGCTGGGGGTTTAGCTCAGTTCTCTGGTACCAAAAAACAAAAATTGAACTCAGGGCCTTCACTTTGAGCTATATCCACAATTTTTTAAAATGTATTATTTTGAAACAGGATCTTGCTAAGTTGCCCATGCCGGTCTCATGCTTGCCATCCTCACAGATTATAAGCTTGCTTTTGTCTTCTAACTTACTTGAAAAGTTGCAGGTCGTGAAGGCCCTGTTTGTTACTAAAATAGACAAACTGGTTTATCTGTAGCTGTGTAGCTCATGGCAGTTTCCCACTGTTGGCACCACTGATATTTCGGACCCAGATAACTCACCACAGGGCCATCACATGTGTCGTGGGACACCCTGCAACACCTCTGGCCACTGGCCACTAGGTCCCAGTAGCTCCTGCCTCCCATGCAAGCCAACAGAGGTTCCCAAGCACTGCCCCTTGTCCCCCAGGGCAAAATCCCCCAGCACTGACAGCCACTGCTCTGTGCCCCACTAGAGCGCTTGCCTCACAGGCCCCCGATGAGCACTGGATGCCTCCTCTCCTGTGCACCCCTCACACATACCCCAAAGGAAATCTCTCCCTCCCATCCTCCTCCTTCACTCCCCTGGACACCCACAGGCTCCCCTGGTGCCCACCAGCTGTGATTTGTTATCTAAGCACCTCAGGTCTATGGCGTGAGAGCCACAGGAGGTCAGGAAGTGATGAGTCCTGTCCCGCTGTGTCCAGGTCCTCGGTACCCCATAGTCCATAACCTAGGTAACAAGCCAAGTGGTCGGGCGTCTTCCTACACAGAGAGTGAATGCCTTGCAAGTGTGTGAATTGGGAAAAGCTGCCCTTCTTAACACATTACCTTGAAACCACAGCTTTTGCTGCCCTCTGCTGGGAGATCATTCTCAGTGTACACATGGGTCCTTTCCAGCCTGAGGCCTTTGCTCAGTGCAAAGGGACCCCTGGGCCCCAAGGCCCTGATGTGTCTCTAAGTAGGTGCATCACTTTGCAGTTGGCAAAGCACCTAGCGCTACACTTTGTTATCTAAGCTTCATAGTATGTGAGAGGTAATTCTACAGATATAGTTAAAGGGCTAAACACTTGCATGAGCTAAACTCTATATAGGTGGTTCTAATTCCACGCCTTTTGTTCTTTACAACTAACAATATAAGTAAATACATGAAGATACCTGCTCGTCTTTTATGAGCACAACCTCCCCCTTCTGTAAAATAAAGACAGTCACTGCTTCTGTTTACTGCAGACCGCTGGGAGGGTGAGGGACACAAGTGCTCTCTGTTCCTGCTGTTCCCTTGATGACTTCTCCAGCTCCCGGGTCCACCCTCACCCCACCCCAGGCACCTCGTGTGCATCACGAAGCTCCAAAGCTCTCCACAGGCCTCTGTCTTTCCACCCATGATCTTCTCCTGGTGACTTTTCCCCATGAACCCCGAGAGTTCGCTTTCGGCTGGCCGAGTGGGATTCTCCCATTCCACTACTCAGCTACATCAGGCTGTTCTTTAATTTCCTCCTTGTGTTTTCACGTGCATGAGCAGTGCTGTTTAACCATGTACCCTCATGCTCCTTGTGTTCTGCTCACACTTAGTGACTGTGATCTCAATCAGTTGCTCTGTGGCCTCCTTAGAAAATGGACTGGCGGCTGTGGGAGAGTCACCCACTCACACTGGACCACGGGGATGCATACTGATGGGATAGCGAGATGACAGGCCCACCAGGTCCGGCTTCTAGGGGGAGCTGACCACGCCGTGGATCGAGCTGGCTGGCTGTTAAAGCAAAGCTCTTCCCACCCAGTGCGTCCTTCTCACCCCCACCTCCTATCCATGCCTACCGTGTTGCCAGCCCCTGCCCCTGAAGGCTGGACTTCCTTTGAGGCTCTGTTGGGGGAACCTCACTCCCCAGGGGTCCCTCCCTCTAGCCTGATTCTGCTTCAGATCTTTCCAAAGCAGCGAATGGCTTCTTCACCCCCATGCAGCTGTTTTCTTTTCCAGCAGTGCTCTTGCTTGTCCAGTGTGTTACCCTTCATCTCTTTCAACAAGTGAGGTGCGAGAACATTAGACCAGGGATTCACCTTGACCTGCTGCGGGTGCAGCAGACTCCGTACCTCAGTGTGGGTCACGAAACGCCTGCCCTCTCATGCCTGCCCTCTCATGCAGGAGACAGCCCTGCGTGAATTCACACCACAGAGGCATCGGAGGGGAAGCAGCAGGAATTGCTGGTGTTGATTTTAGCCCCTTTCACAGTTGCTTCTCCCCCATCTGAACCCAGGATGCCTATTCTGCGGCTCTGAGCTGCCACGTTTCCCCATGAGCAATCGGCAGAATAATCTAGAATGATCCAAGGTTTCCTTATAAAGAAATAAGGAAGCAACAAAAGGAAAATGACTGCAAGCCATGAAGACTGCAACCTCCACTCAGTGATCACCATTTGACCCAAATCTTGGTTTGAATCAGGAAACAAGGTTGTCCACAAAGATTCCTCTGGTTACGGGGACACTCAGCAGTATTTTGGGGAGGCGGTTTCCCTCAGCACAGAGAGATAAGCAGGCCTCTGCCTAGGACTACAGGACTGTAGATGGTGCCCAATTCCCTTGCAAATTAAAGCACATTTAGAAGAACTCCTGTATGTTCTACTAAAAAATGTGTTATTTGACATCAAGGTGGCAGCAGTTTATTCATAAGAGCCTCCTCACTGGGCAGGGTCTAAGGAAGTCCCCCCAAACAGGAAATGGGAACCCCACCTCATCCTGCCTATGAGTAGATTATATAACAAAAGGGTTGCTGCAAAGAGTTTGTTGACTTCACCACAGGAAAACAATTTTCACGACGCATCCGTGAGAGGCAGGAGGAGGTTTATGAGGCAGAATTTTCAAAGTGCACCTCACAATAGAGAGGGGGCGCTCAGGAGAGGCACATTAAGTCTGGCACTGGTTGTATTTGTGGGGTTTTGTGGATGTGATCGAAGCAGGTGATCTAGGATGCATATTGCTGCTGGCGGGTTACCAGTGGTGGCCGATCACATGTGTTTGAAAGTGAGATACTCTGTGCATCGGTGTCCCTGCCTCCTCCAAGATCAAGGGCTGTGGGAAGTAGCATTGTTGACAGTTGAAAGGCACAAGCCAGAGCCCAATCTCCAGGATTGTTCTGTCTTTGAGGCCCTTAGGACTGATTGATTGATCAATTGATCAATCAATTGATTGATTTTGCAGTAAGTTTCCTCAAAGAGAGCAAGCCTTAAGTAACTGTTATGTCCTGCAGCTGCTATGAAAGTACAATTTTAGGGCTGGGGATTTAGCTCAGTGGCATAAGCATCTGCCTGGCAAACTTGAGGCTGTGAGTTTGATCCCCAGTACTGCAAAAAGTAAATAAATAAAAATAAAATACCATTTTACAATAATGATTGTCCTTGTCACCTTGCTACCTACCTTCATTGCATCTTCATATCTCACATTTTAAAAAGTCTGATGCTCGAAATGGGAGACTCCCAGCAGGTTGACCAGAGAATCTCGCTGATACCGTTTCTATTATTACAATAAATGTGGTTACTGTGAGAATCCCTGGGATGGAAGCATTCAGGAGAAAGAGTAAAAGGAGACCCAGTAAGCTCAAATTGTCTCTTTCAGAAAATCCTAAAGAGAACACCGTGGATTTCCGTGCCCCTACGCTTCCTGTGAGCTGTGGCAAGGCAAAGGGGATTTTATACAGGCAGAAAATGGAACAAGAGGGTGAGTTCTGTGGTCTTCTGCTCTTCGACTCTTGGGATGAAGGAGCTTCTAGAGGGAAGCAGGTGCTTGTGTGGGTAACTGAGCAGGAGTGGGACCTGGAACCAGGCTGCAGGCACTGTGGGGCTTCCTGAGAAGGAGTTCATAAACTTTCATATCCTGAGCTCTCCGCTCCTGCAGGGATTTATCCACAGGCCCCACCACACTCCACCCACATGTCCTTGCTGCTTGCCGATGTCACAGGAAATGCAGTCTGGCCCACTCTCGACCCATGGGCAGGATTCAGAGCCTCTTGCAAACTAGGAGAAATAGAACCCAGATTCCCCTGCCACTGCCCAGCCTTCCCGGGGTCCCTCTTGACCCAGAAAAGTGGAGCACTGCAGTTAGGAGCTGGGACAATCGAGCTGAACCCAGGAATGGTCTGTCTTTCATCACAGGAACCTCAGGGAAGAGCATTCAGAATGAGAAGGGAGCTTGGATCTCCCTGAAAGAATTCATAATTGAAGGGCAAATGGAAAGATCGAAAAACTGGAAGAGGAGTATACGCTGCGGAGGGAAGACCTTGGAACAACTGATAATGGTATTGTCATGACTGGGGCGGACAGGAAGGTGGTGGGGTGTGGAGCTGAAAAGTGAAATTTCAGGGCCGGGGATTTAGCTCAACAACATAAGTGCCTGCCTGGCAAGTGCAAGGTCGTGAGTTCAAACCCCAATACCAAAAAAAAAAAGTGAAATTTCCCTGAAGATTCAACAGCATGATCACAAAATTTAGTAAGCGCTAAGTCCCCATTTTAAAAAAAGTCTTGGGTCAAGAGTAGGAGCACAGATGGGTGCTGGTGGTGAAGTCCTTACGTGCAAATAAAGTAGCAGGAGAATTTTAAATGCAGGCAAAGAAATTTGAGGTCAAGAGAGGTTGAAGCAGCTCTGTCTGGTGGTTTAGGGCACATGGCTTCCTGTGAACTCTAAGCGGTTAGGCCCGGCTCACCGGATCCTCTCTGAGGCGTTTCAGGGCCACTGTGTGCAGGGTTGGTCTCTCTTCTGCCCCTCTGTGGGACCGTGTTCCTGTCCTGAGGACATCTGTGGAGCGGCCTAGTCTGTGACACCAGGATCCAGCAATGTGCCTCCCAGGATCATTTGAAAAGTTATCACAGGCATGAGATTTTAAGGATTTTTACCTGGACAGGAAGAAATGGGAAAAGAAGGAAGGGTTAGGGAAGGGATTTAAGTAACAGGGACAAAATGGTGTTATCATTAAGTGGAATCCAGAAGAAGATTGTGAGAACAAGCTAATTTTTCTCCTATACATGTTGGGTTTAAATCTAGGGTGCTGACCAGGGACAGATACTTACACAGAAGGGAAAACTTCAAAACTAACAAAAGGGTTGCTGCAAAATAATCTCATCCATCAGCTGCTTCTCTCTTTCAGAATGGAATTTTGCACTGTCCTCCAATGAAGAATCTCAAGAGAAGGGCAAACAGCAGCTAAGTTCCCACCACCTTCTCCATCAGCCCAGGGGTCATGTTTGTGTACAGCAGCTTCACTGAAGTTACGCTGACACCCGACCACATGCACATGCCACATTTTCCATGGTGAAGTAAATGGCTCTCTGAAATAAAAGTTAAGAAACAGAGGGCTGGGGATTTAGCTCAGCGGCATAAGCACCTACCTTGCAAGCGTGCAGTCGTGAGTTCGATCTTCAGTACCAAAAAAAGAAAACAGCAAGAAACAGCTCACAATGTCCATGTGTTCTTGAAAAAGATCTGGATATTGGGACAACTGCAAATCAAGGGTATCAGGAATGGCACACTCAGCCGGGGATGTAGGTCAATGGCATAGGCACCTGCCTGGCAAGCGCAAGGTCCTGAGTTCGATTTCCAGCACTGAAAAATAGCATGTTCTATTGAAAAGCAAATATGACACTGAATGGGACCAGAGCAGTTCTCGGGCCTTGGGTTCATCAGACACAGTGATGCCCAGGAGACTGGCCTGGCCCTTGACCATACATGCCAAATGTAAGGCAGTGTTCCCCTGCTGTCACTGAAAAGGAAGAACCACCTTTCTCATGCTGATTTGAAATACCGTGGAATCTGGGCTGCTCCTTGAAATGCCATAATAGCAAAATAATGTGGAAGAGCAGAAATTGCATCAATGTTATAAAATAAACCAGTACATCCACAGAATGAGCAGAATGAGTTTTTTAAAAACCCATGTATTCGTAGGAACTGCTAGAGTCTGAATGTCTCCACAAAGCTCTTGCTGAAATCCAGCTATATATTTGGAGGTGGGGCCTTTGGGAGCTAAGGAATGTTCAATGGGTCCAGAAACTAGGGTCCCTACCCAAGCAGACTGTGAAGTTCCTCTTTCATAAAAAGACCAGGAGAGCCCTGAACTAGCACCGGCTGCCTGTCACATGATGCCCTGCTCTGCTCAGGGCTCCATGGATGAGGCCGCTCAGTCTTGAACTTCTGACCTTTGGGAACCTTGGGAACCTGGGCTGAATAAACCTGTGTTGTATATAGGCGTCTCAGGCTGTGGTATATAGTTACAGTAACAAAATAAACTAAGGCCAGGTCAGGAGGCCCTCAGGAAGCCTGCGGTGGTAACAATGTCTGTCTCGGGAACCCAGCCTGGTTTACCAGGGTCTGCCCGGAAAAGAATGTTGGAAGGATTGACAGCACTCATTCTGGGGTAGGATGAAGGGACCTTTGGCTTCTGTGTGATACACTCATTGGCAGCTGGGACTTTTCTAACCGCCATTTACTTGTATAACCAGAAAAGCTGGGATAGGATTACAGCGACCTTTGCCTTCTGAATTCTATACTTAGGTACAGTTGGGACTTTTTAAAATGACTATTACTCTCTCTCTCTCTCTCTCTGTCTCTCTCTCTGTCTCTCTGTCTCTCTCTCTCTCTCTCTCTCTCTCTGTCTCTCTCTCTCTCTCTGTCTCTCTCTCTGTCTCTCTCTCTTTCTCTGTCTCTCTCTCTGTGTCTGTGTGTGTGTGTGTGTGTGTGTGTGTGTGTGTGTAAAGACTATTACTTTTGTAACCAGAAAAAATAAAGATCTTTAAAATCCAGAGCATTAATTAATCGCCATGTTATTGTAGACCTTGCGAGTCTTACGATGCCCCCTGTCGGCAGCAGGACACAACAGCCAGGGCCCACCCTCGGCCCATCTGCCTGAGGTTCTGTAAGACTCCGGAGCCTGAAAGCCGGTTGCAAGCAAGCATGAACCCACACAGACCTTTTCTGCAGCCAGGCTGTCTAGCGTGTCGCTGCCACCGCCGCCCCCTCTTCCCGCACCCCGATCTCCTCAGGGTCCAGCTCTGTGTGTTGTATGTACAACAAGGAGCCCAGGTGTGTTCTGAGTCTGCGCTTGCACAGTGGTGTGCAGTCCCGTGACCCCGGTGTGCTGGGCAGGGTTGCAGCATCAGATACCCAAAGCTCTGAGCCTGCATCTCCACAAGCTCACGGTGCAGCCCCTGCTGCCTCGGGGTGTTTTATATTTTGTTTTGTTTTGTTTTGTGTGTTTAGCAGAAGCCCACGCCCACCAGGAGTGGTCCGGAGACCCCAGGAGACATCAGAAGAGCTTGAGAGTGGCTCTGCAGGAACGGGGCACTAACAGGAACGCCTGTGGTGGGGTGGTCTGTCGGACAGGTGCAGTTAGAGCCTTTGTGTGGGGCGGGAGGAAGGGGGGCTCTCATGGACCAGTTTGGAAGTAGCGTGAGAGGGCTTAAGCGAAATCCGTGAGGAGTGTACTGCTCCCAGAGCAAAATATTTGAAATTTGTTGAAGGCTGGGGCCTCAAGGGTGAATAATTACTCCCCAGGGTCCTGATTAGAGCCCCTGTACCTGGCCAGGTCATGCCCTAAAGCTCACCGCAGGGATGGGCCCTTCCAGATGGGGAAGAGACGCGCTTTCCTGTGTCCTGAGAGGGTTCACAGGATAATGCCCAGGGGTCCACTAAACTGTCCTTTCAATCCTCTCTCTCCCCACCCCACCCCCATCGATCTTCTTTCAAAACCCAAGGACAGAAGTTTGGCCCAGCTGATGCCAAGGCTGTCCTGCAGATTCCTACATCTTTCAAGTGACAGCTGACACTGCCCTTGGGATTCAATGGCTCTGTGGACTCAAGTCCACCAAAACCCGGTCCCCTCCCTGTTCTTCTCCTCCCCAAACCCTCCAACTTTGCCACATGATGTCATGCTCAGATGCAGGGAGCCAGAGGGCGCGGCAAGCGGTGGGCGCTGAAGAGACAGAAAATAAAACTGCGTCCAAGCTGCGAGGTCAACAGAGGCCCAAACGCATTTCCACTAGCGGGGATCGTGTGTTCATTCCCCGTCTTCGAAGGATAGAGGGGCAGGGAGGGCACCTGGTGACTTGATGTGCCTGCCACTGCCCTCCCCTCCTCCCCAGCCGGTAACTCCAGGCTGTGCAGGGCAGGAGGGACCAGGGTTTCCCTTTTCCCAGGCTGCAACTTAGAGACACCATGCGTTTTGGTCACAGTCCTGCCACAGGAAGGGCTCCATTTCAGCCCCCAGGACTGTCCATGGCACCCTTCGTGGGTTTGGGAGCCACCTGCTGGGACCTCGAACTTCTCTCATGCCATCTGGTCTAGGGCGTTATTGTTTTGAGGCAAGGACTCGCCGTATAGTTCAGGCTGGCCTTAAACTCACTATATAGCACAGGTTGGCCTTGAGCTCACCACAGTGCTCTAGCCTCAGCCTCTGGAGTTGTGAAATTACAGGGGGCACCACCATGCCTGATTTGGTCTGGGTATTCTTATAATTTTAGCCTTATATTTACCTCCCTATCTAAAATGGTATGTGATTTCTAGTTACTAAGTGGCGTCTCTAGACTTTAAAAATCATTTATGTTGCAGATCCCTAGATATAAAGACTTTATGTGTGACTTGTTTTTATCTATATATTTATTTTAAGCAAAGCTCAGATGTTGTCTGTGACTTCCTTTTCCTGCCCTTCTGATCTGTTGGTGTAGATTTGAGTAGATGTATGCAGGGGACAAGGACCCTTGTTCTAGTCATAACAATGATGGGACTAGCTAGTACTGCCTGACCTTGAGACAGACTCTTCCAAGACTGGCAGGGACACCAGAGTAGACATGCCAGGAATCGAGGCAGGCTGCCTCCTGGGTGGTTTCACCCTGGGAAACAAAATACAACTGCTGCCCATGGGCACTTCCCACCCTGGGAGAGATGGGGCTTCTGGTGGGCAATCTGACCTGGGATTCCATTTTTTCTCTTTGTTTTGTCTCTGTACCTGTACATGAGGGAAATCTCGAAGCTATGCAATGGGTGCTAAGTGAGTATGAGTCACACAATGTCTGTCCCAAAACATCAGCTTTAGGTTGTGTTTCATGGACTTGGGACCAGTTTAAAATGGAGAATATTGAAGCAAGCACCTCCCCTCCCTGGTAAGCGGCAGCAGTGTGGCCCACTGCAGCCCTTCCAGGGGGAGAACCAGCAGCAGCTCCTGAGATCCATGCCATGTTGGAACTTAGGACTCTGGGAAGCCAAGCAAGCACTTCCCCTCCCTGGTAAGCGGCAGCAGTGTGGCCCACTGCAGCCCTTCCAGGGGGAGAACCAGTAATGTCTCCTGAGATCCACGCCATTTTGGAACTGAGGACGCTGTGAAAACAAATGACCATCCTGCCTCCCTGCTTAGCAATAGTGAACCTACTGCTACATAGCCTAGAGTCAAATATCCCACTTCCCCTATCCTCCTTCTCGCCCCCCCCCCCCATTATCAAATGGAACCAGAAATCTGAGCATCTCCTGGCAGGTTGACCATAGCAAATAAGGGGGACTTCCTTCTACCATTTCTTTGAAGGCAAATATTTTTATTACTGTTTTGCTCTTTTCTGATTAGTGGTACTGCTCTATTCAATATTCTGTTTTGATAAGTTCTATAGTGTTCTATATTTCATCTCATTTTGATATGCATGACTGAAAGAACAACTATTATAAAGATAACAAAATATACTGTGATACCTATTACTGTTATCCCGGTAACCTGCTGTGAAGTTCTGTACCAATTTCACTGTACGATCTTAGTTGGCTTTATTCTGACTTGTTCTGTTGTATACTTTCAAAAGAAAAAAAATGGAGAATATTAACAGCTTGGGTTTTCTTTATATTTTTCAAAATATAGGTTAAAGAGTAAAAAGGCAAGGCCACAATTTGATTTTGTAAAAGGAAGGGAAATAGACAAAGGTCCCATCAAGCCTGTTACAGTTCTTCTCTCCCTCTTCTGATCCTTATTATTTATAAGTCTATAATGTTAACTAACAAAAAGAAGTACTCAGAGTGTTAAAGAAAATATGTAACATCAAAAAGAATTGCTAATTGATATCCCCTCAGGAAAAATTCTGGTTAATCTGTAGTTTTAAACCTAAAATTAAAAGTGCACTTTAATTTAATGTAATTGTTTTATGTGTTCTATATGTTTTCTTATCCATTTGTCTGTTTGTTAATTGCTTTTACTAACTGGTTAAAATACCTGCAGTTGCTTCATTTAAAAAAAATTTTTAAACTCATAATAACAATTTTTTTCTATTTTTAGTTTTTACTTTTGCCCTTACAGACTTCTGGCTCTGTTAGAGCTCTCCATAGAAAAATAACAGTTAAACAAATATTATAGGGTTATCAGACTCACTGAACTATCTGTTATCTTCTCTAGAATTTATACATTCATGCTGTCCAGAGCCAGCCTCTGTGAAAAGTCTTCAAAATAGAAGCCAAATACAGGTTCTGATATTTTTATTTATTTGTTTATTTTTGGTACTGGGGATCGAACTGACAACCTTGCGCTTGCCAGGCAGGCGCTTCTGCCACTGAGCTAAATCTCCAGCCCTCAGTTCTGATATTAAAAAAATAATAATAATTAATGGCCCAGTGGTCAAAAATACATCTCTGTATGTATTTCTTTGCCATTATTATAATTAAAATAGGAAAACACTAAAATTTCTTATTAATAGCTAGGGGAAAATCTGTATGCTGTTAAGCTCCACCTGTTACAATATTTAGATAAATATCTCAAAATGAATAGAAATTAGTATTAAAGATAAGAGACATGCTGAATGCTACTGATTTCTACCACTCTGGGGGGATCAACTGTTCACCCACATTCTACTTTAATATCTAACCCCTGCTTGAATAATACGATTAGAAAATAAAGCCTAACTGTTGGTGAGTGGTTAATGTTCTTGTCCTCTTTCTCAGACCATCCAAAAGTGACTTATCAAGCAGCCAAAGCTTGGTCTCCTTTGGATCAGTCAGGTGAGATTTCTGATCCCTGTATTGGGACTGCATCCCCAGAGTCAAAGTTCATCAGTGCAGATAATAAAGCTCTCAGACACTAAGAAATCTAACAAGACAAGGTTTTACTTCTGCAAAAGAGCACTGACACATTGTAGCAGGAGGCAGCAGGCTCTGCGTGAGAAGCATCTGACCCTCTTCCCCATTGGCCGCATTGGAGGTTCACAATCTATCCTGATTGGCTAGTTTAAACAGCCTGAGGGCGGGGAGCAGGGAAGCCTCTGGCTGTTGATAAGTTACCTTGGGCTGGCAACTGTGTTCCGACAATCTAAACTGAACAAACACTTTTCATAACTCAGTGTGCTTAAAAAACGGGGGGGGGGGGGCAGCCTAGAGTGAAATAGAGTTCAAGATACAGACACTCTCTTATTCATGTTTTTGATAGGAAAGACAGGGCTGGGGTTTCTTACAAAACCTAACTCAACACCCCGCCTCAGCCCAGAAGCAGTTATAAGAAATGGACCTTCACCACTTATGCACCCCTTAAGAATAAGGGATGAAATTCTCAGGCAGGGAGATGAGGTGGGATAGCAACTTTAAACATCAGTCAGGGGGCAACAATGGTACACACACGGCACACTGTCATCTCCAAATCATTCACCCAGAGCACAAGACATCTGCATTTAATTGTCCAAATAGTACCAGCATAAATCTTTCTCTTGGATAAACTCAGAGAAATCAGCAGTATAATTACCTTATCTTTTTATATACATATACATATACATAGTTGTTTCTTTCAATT